TTCAATATCGTTTCTGAATCTACCCCGGAGTCGACCACCCCGCATCCACGGTAATTCCCCAACTGTCGATCGCCCACATCAACAAAACATTTTGTGGGTTCGACAGGAGCAACCAATTACGCTTTGATAGGAATAACACGACCCATCGGCAATTAGATACGTACCAGCGACCACAAATTGGAGCGATCCACAAGATCCAGATTGGAGTACTCCGCAGATACTTGCGAAACTGTTGGAAGGTGGACGCAGCTAAGCTTTATTCGGAATGCACTGCGAGTTTGCCAGAGCAGCTGATTGGTCCTGAGATAGATTGTCTGAGATTCATCATTTCTCAGTCTTAAACGCACCAGGAGTGAAATAATACTCGTTTGGGAAAGGAGTGCGATGCACTCCAGGTATGACTACGGTGCCATGTATATCCTTGCCGCCACGGTTCTCGGGGTGTTCAGTCTCAGGGATGCATCATCTGCCCCGAACTCGGGGGGAGAAGTGGGCTCGTCCTGACCCGGAGATGGATAGTTGTATCAACTCCTCGGTTTCATCTGTTTGGGATCACCGGCTAAAATATCATTGGCATATTTGGTTTACCTTCAGCGACATGTTCGAATTCGAGAACTTCTCAAAAGTTCACCTACCGAGTCTTTCAGCACTGGATGCCTCAGACTTCCCTATCGAACCTGGAGTGCATGATATTGCATGTATCTGATATTACACTATCTCAATGTCGCTGAGCCAACAGGTTGAGCCACTGTTCACTCGATAAGGCTCCTAGCAAGAAGCGCCTGAGGGAACATTCTCGCACTTGGAGCTCGTCTCCCCGCCAGTGATGTCCACGCCCTCCCAGGTCCAGTCACTGCAGCTACCGTCTCCGCAAAGAATGTACACCTCGACGGCGTCAGACTCGACTGTACCAGTGACACCGTCGATGGTCAGGTCAGTGATCGGAACACCAGTGGTCGGGGTACCCGTCGGGCTGCCGTTCTCGTAGTCCTGCTCGATGACGATACCATAATCCGTGATACCGGACAGCTTGATGTTGGAGTAGGTGACCTCGCTGACGGAGCCGGTGGCATCGTACACGGTCTTGATTCGGACGCCATTGGCCGAGTCGGTCACAGTGGAGTCAGTGATGGTGACGTTCTTGACGGTGTTGTCGTCGCGACCGCCGACCGAGCCGATGGACAGACCGTGGCCGCCGGAGCAGGTACCGCCGGAGAATTCAATGTTCTGGAGACAATTAGCTTCAACGCCAACCTGCAAAAAGGACAGTGGAGCATACCTCGCCCGAGTTGATGGCAATGCAGTCATCCTGGTTCTTGACGGTCGCGCCGCGGATGTAGACGCCGGTACTCTCGCTGATGTCGAACCCGTCGGTGTTGTGCCCGCCGTTGTCATCGCCGTCCGAGTTGTCGATGGTGATGTCGATCAGGTAGAGGTTGGTCGCCTGGACACTGATGGCCTGCACGGGGGTGTTCTTGATGGACAGCCCGGTGATGGTCGAGTCCTCGAGACTGTGGGCGTACATGAACTTGGGCTTGGTCTTGCCGCCGTTGGTGCCCTCGCCGTCCCACCAGCGGGAGCCCTCGCCGTCAATCACGGCGCCGGAGTTTTGCTTGATGGTGATGTCTTTGCCGCCAAAGCGGATCAGGGGGCCGCTCCACTCTTTGTAGCCGAAAGTGGTGGTGCCTTCGAAGACGATCTTCGGGGGTTAGTATAGTGGATATGGCAGGGAGATGAGCCATGGCGTTGACATACGGTAGTTCCATCATCGACATCAGACAGATCCAGTGTCTCACCCGCAGGAACCTCGATGTTGTCCAGGACAATCTCGGAGCAACCAGAGGCGCTCTCGGTGGCCTGGGAGGCTGCGGTGAAGGTACAAGTCGAAGACCTCTTGGTCAGATCCGACACGCGAGACGGAGCAGGGGCAGCAGCGACGAGCGAGCCCAGGGCAGCCAAGCCAAGAAGCTCAACGGAACGCATGATGAATGAATGAATGAAAGTTCCGATCAACAGAACAGTTTTTGGTCGGTAAGGATGAATCTGGTCAACAGGTAGGAAAGAAAGGAAGGACGGCTTGGAGATTACAGCTTGCTAGGTAAATCAATGCTTCTACGACACACTCCCTTATATACCCATCGACGTTCAGCACTGCTCAGTGAAACAAAGCTTCCACAAACTTGGCTCCAACTTGGCTCCGGCCAAGCCAGTACATGAACGCCTGCAACATGAATGATCATTGGTGGAAATTACAAAGTTCTTCAACCTCGAACGGCTATCGGAGGTTAGCCGGGTCAAGAGGATGCTTGGTCTGGAGATCGTCGTCATCAAGGAGCTAGGGCGTGGTGCGGGATATCAGAATGCTCCACTGGGAGTCAATTAGTGCGGTGGATGGGCGGGCCCGTAGGGGGTTTCGGTGTCGCACGAACACATCCTGAAGTATTTCCTTCCATATCTTTCTTCAGCATAGAATTAACCCATTGCAGTGATGCTCTGGGATCATTTTCATTGCTATCGGCCTGCGTACCACAGAACGCCTTAGCATGCAGCAGGAAGCTTGAAAGCAACATCATCTTTTCAAGGATACAGTAGACGGTTTCAGATTAATTCTCTGTTCCAGTCTCCAGTATCGGTGAAAAAGCACAAGTACTGTCTACTCATTCCCTTCCTGAATGGTGGAACAATGTCCATTCAGGAGATTATAGTGACGATCGGAAGTCATAACAAGCATTCGCCAGGTGTATAGTTCGCATCCACCTCAATATACATAGATTGATTGCCGCGCAATGCTCTAGAACAGACTATTTATCCATCAGTCAGAAATCCCGAGTCGACTATTTCGGTATGATTCAATGGGTTGAAAACCAGACATTGATCTACGCATAAAATTGCATGCACCAATAACACGAGGAAACCCGCGCAGAGGATATAACACAAGAACTGTCTAGATCTTTTGTGCTTGTGAAAAAGAGGGGCTAGACTCGCGCCACGAAATGAGTCCCCATGTTGCCGGATGACGCGGCCATATATTATGGCCCAGGAAGAGTAATGGGGGCTGGAGTGACTGCCGTCAGTGCCATCACTCTGCGTCGAGATTGACGGAGGTGCGCTCTCTTCTTCTGTCCTATTTGAAGTCACACCAATGACGTCCCATAGGTATTGAATCTTTGGACTTCTGATCAGCTACTTTGCTACTATCGGTGCTGTCTTACCTCTACCAGTAGGCCATCTAACTGATGTTCCTATGAGCCCTTGAATATCTACTTGACCGACTGGACTCAAGTGGTTCGGACCCTGGCTCATGGAAGAACCTCCAGCTCGTTGATGGATGCAGGCATGAGAGACAGTATGTGTAAGATGTTGATCCCAAGTTTCCAGCCTTTGGTATACATTAGCATCTTGGTAATAAAGCTTTCCATTATGCGCTTTAATTGGTAGACGATCTTAGCCTAGATATAAAGTCATGCATGCTTCATGAACGATGCCATATTCAAGGATCTGATTTTGATACGTGGGAATGTCCATGTTTGTTGAATTCTAGAGTCTTGTTATTTCGCTTAAATGCGAGACTACCATAGGGGCGTACTTTTCTTGTCGGCTTCATGGCTGGCCTGAGTCTACTGTCTCATACCAAAGTTGTGGAATTAAATGAATGTTCCGCGGAAACTCGAACATGTTCCATGGCAATAGGTTTGTCATTCCTTGAATCTCTTTCTTTATGGAAACGCATTTAGGAAACCCTCGGGCCCGCATGGAAGATGATACTCCTTGTCTTGCTACCTGAGGCTGGGCCATCTGTGGTGTAGCTGTGATGGGCATTATTGGACAACGGCAGTAATAATCCTGCCAGATCAGGCATCATCCACCCCAACCCTTCCTTTCCAGATTTTTGCCGTCGAAGACTCCTGCCCCTTCAACGGTTTACAGGCTATTCGTCTCCACGCTGAAAACCACCCAAGTAGAATGACTCGCTAAGCGAGGGGTACCTGAACGTAGATGGTCATCGGCACCTGGACCCCGGATTGCAAACCAAATACATCCTTTCGCTAGATCAATCACATGCCAACCAGCGCGTCATGGAACAGACAGTTCATACATCCATGGATGGCCTCGCCTCTTTCCTCAAAACCGCAAGCTGGGAGAAAGACGACCGGGAATCGTTCACACCGGACAGATTAAGTGACTAGGAGGGAGCCAAGAATCTAGGCAGAAATACAGGACTCCCCGATGTCGACAATGGCGGGCTATTGGTCAATAAGCTGAGATTGGAAAAACCTAATCTAATTGCTGTTATCGATCTGTGTTGCGGACCAGGACTCAGGGCTTGCAGCTTGGCGTGTGTCGGAGAGAGGTCGTCAGGATTCAATGGAAGATAGGTCAGCAGGTGTCCAGCCATAACTAATCTATAACACAATATGACCTACACCCGTTAAGGTTGAGCATGGGTCGGGGTTGAGCCAGGTTTGGCCGAACTCAGCGACCGCTTTCTCCAACACACGCTGAGCAGCACATGCGGGCATATATCAAGTAGCTTTCTTGGTATTGACTGAAAGGATGACTTGCGGCTATTAATAGAAACATGGGTAATGGACGACAAAGAAGCTGATATATCGTCCCTTATAGAATATCAAAGTTGAGACTTAGCAAGCACAGCCAGAATTCACATGAAAGACAGCCTTGTGCTTTGAAGTCTTTTAAAGGGGTTAAGTATGAGGAGCCTTAGGCATCACTCCCTACTCCCTACGGACCACCTTATTGGATACTGTTAGGCACTACTTATGCAGCTCTAGTCACCTGATTTGTTACTGGACTGGGAATTCCCATAACAAAAATTAATATGACAGCAGTCCATCCAGCGTTTATTCACAGCCCAGACAAAGGAATCCATTCCCTCCTTTGTTTATCAGGCTGAGCAGGTATTCGCCTTCGGTCATCAAAAAAATATAAGAATTCCGTCCTTCCAGTCCTTAGATACTGGTTTTAGATGCAATAAAGTCGCTATGGGTAGTTCTGTTGACCTGGCGTCGATGGACGATCTAAGCAATCGCTTTAATAATTTCTTTAAGCAGGACGCGGAAAGGGCCCAGCTTATCGAGGTGAGACGCCTCCACCGCCCCGTTTCGCTCTCCAGCTATGTCGCTCGTGAAATTGCTGATTGTGACTAGGTCGTGTTAAGAAAAATCAATGAAGATAAAGGCCGACTGGATAGCCTTACCATCGAGCTGGAGCATGAGCGAGAATCCCGCCTTAGGTACCAGGTAGAGCTCCGCGATCTGCGAGAACAACGGCAAAGATGGGAACAGCTCTATGTAAGCTGAAGTCGTACATAGTATGAACTGCCTTAAGGTCTAACCCGACTAGAACAAAGACCCATATGTGGCAGTCCTGGTTGATGGTGACGGTGCCATCTTCAATAACGAGTTGCTGCAGGACCCTCGTCAGGGTGCCTCTGAAGCTGCTCTACGACTCACCGAGGCGGTGAGAAACTACCTTAAGGATACACCTCTTGGCTCCGATGACGTTCCCATTGTCGTGCGGATCTTTGCAAATCTGAACGGGCTGGCCAAGTCGCTTTTACACCACAATGCCATCGACTATGAGGATAAGATGCGGGTATTCGCCGAGCAGTTTACTAATAGTCGTGCCGAGTTCGATTTCGTCAATGTCGGTCACGGCAAGGAGAACGCTGACTCTAAAATGAGAAGTAAGTCCTGATCAGATTGGTTGACAGGTATCTTGCTGACTTGATATTCTCGCAGAGATGTTCGGTCATTTTTATAGAAACTTCCAGTGCAAGAAAATCTTCTTCGCTGGTTGTCATGATAACGGCTATCTTCATGATCTTCGCGAATACGCAGGCGAGTCGGGCAGACAGCGCATCGTTCTTTTGGAGACTACTCCTGCGCAGTCAGGCTTCACTCAGATGGGCTTCGAGATGACCCGATTTGATTCTGTTTTCCGCAGTGATGTTCTCGGATCACCGCCCGTCCCCCTTGCGCCTTTGACTGCTCTCAGAATACAACCAATGACTACGGCCCCTGCCAGCAGCGGAGCTACTACACAACCACCGATTGCTCCTCCGTCTACTGTTAGAAAGGAAAGTCCTATCGCGCGACCAGCAACGACAAATACTGTCCGCGCCAACTCTCCCGCGGTAGTCCCGCCCGAGCGCCAAGCATCCCCCGCAACTGGGACAGTGGTTAGCTCCGGCAACGGTGGTGTCTCGATTAAATATCCCACATACGCCACAGCCAGCGGTGCAAACGGTCACCATAACGTCGTCATTGCAGCCAGTGCCAAGCCTAAAGAGCCGCGAGTCATGTACTACAACAGCAATGGGCAGCGCATCGATCCTCCGAACAACCGGCCCGCGAACCTGAACGACCATCGAACCTACAATGAAAAGTGCCTGAGAATCAAACCAAAAGTCTTCTGTAACGACTTGTACCTGGCAGATGGCTGCCCCAAGGGCCCGAATTGTCCATTGGAGCACGAAATCAAACTGACGCCTGGAGAGCGCGCGGTCCACCGATGGAAAGCGCGGGGCAGTCTATGTACTAGCGGTCCTTACTGCGAAAACTATCGCTGCTATTTGAGTCATCACTGTACATTTGGAGACGGTTGCACTCGGGGCGCGACATGCAAATTCAAGACAGCCCGCTGGGGAGATTTGCATCATTCCAAAGTTGATTTGAAACCTCTGTAAGTCATTCCATCCTCCTATCTTGATGATTCGCTGACATATTCCTAGTACCAAATGGGTTGAAGGAAACGATTTCCCAGAGAAAGTTGGATAGCCGTCACGGAGAACATATAGGAGAATGTCAAACTCGACCTGCGCATGCATCGTAAACGGGTTCTCGTGTGCTCACAGCGTGGAACATCAGTTCTTTCTATCTCTTAACACGCTTACTCTTCGTGATGAGCACTGAGTCATCTTTACCTTGGTCTACTTTCGACTGTCATTTCATATCAAGTATCTAACTATTATTCCATAGTGCTATGATCACGTCAATCATCATTCGTTGGACCCTAAACCTAGCCAGAATTCCCAAACTCATTAGACTGGAGAAACTACACTAAGTATGGACAGATGGGATACATATGACTTGTGAGCCTTCTAGTCTGTAAGAATCCTCTAATCCAATGATCTTCCAGAATGCAGTTCTGAAATGACAACACTTCTAAGTCTGAATCAATAATAATAACCGCATGACGGCATCCAGCAATCATGCCATTTAAAAGAAACGCAATATAGCCTGCTATACCTCCCAAAAGTAAATCTAGTACGACCACCTAAAATCAGCACAATCCGGCCCCTCATGCAACCTCTCCGTCGAGACATCCTGCGCGCGAACTGTTCTCCCCTGAGCTCTATCCCTCCGCTTATTATCCACCATCATCCACCCACCCAGCACCAACGTCAACAGAATCCCCGTTCCCCCAAACGACGCGGTGGTAATAAGCGCAGGCATATACTGCGGCGCGTCCTGGCTGCGGAAGATATTCGAGCTCACGACGCCCATGAGGTTCGCGACCGGGACGGCGATGCTGGTTAGTACAACGCGGCGGCCCTCGTTTGCGATGTTGTTGTTGTACCAGACGTCTAGGAGGACTGATGGCGCGGAAGTTCCCCTTTGCCTACTGTTAGCTCATCAATGTAAACTGAGGAGGGAGGGAGGGAGTGAGGGGACATACCAAGTCATCATGAACGAAGCAAAATACGCAACGTGAATATCCGCCTGGACGTCAATCGCCGCGTAGATGACGAACCCGATAAAAGTGAACAAAAACCCCAGCGCCACGAACGGGAACCGCCAGCGGGTCCAGTCGCTGCAGAAAGCAAGGATGAGGAGCATAGCTGCGCCGGAGACGTTGGGGGCCACGGTGTACAGATTCGTCTTGACGGTGTCGTAGCCGAGGCGCTTGATGATGGAGGGGAGGAAGAGCTGGACTGATTGGAGCGGGACACCGAGACAGATCTGGATGGCGAGGATGAGCCATGAGGTCCAGTGGCGGAAGATCTTGAATGCGTCGCGGAGGTTGAGCTTCTCGTTGACGATGGCGGAGCTGTCGCGTTGGAGGCGGAGGTATGCGAGTTGTTTTTCGTCGGGGCTGAGGAAGGTTGCGTGTGCTGCAGAGCGAGGGAGGTACCATAGTGTGAAGAGTGCCACGAGGATTGTCCCTCCCCCTTCGATGAGGAAGAGGTAGCGCCAGGGTGCTAGTGGGCCAGATTGGATCCGGAAGACGCCAAATGCGAGCAGGCCGGAGAAGGCTGAAGCGATGCTCTGCGCTGCGTAGAAGATGGCGAGCCGGCGGGCTAGTTCGCCACGGCGGTAGAATCTGGTCTGTCAGTTATGTTCGTTTGAGGCTGGTAGAAGGACATACGTGGTGAGGTAGTAGATAACCAACGGAAAGAATGCGCTCTCCGCCATTCCCAGGAACCAGCGGATCGCCAACAGACCACTGAAATTGAACACCGCGACGACAAGGACGGTACACAACCCAAAGGCAAACATCATGCACGGCAGCACGCGATTAGGGCCGTACTTCTTGCCTAGGATGCCGAGAAACGGCGCCGTAAGGACGTACGGAATGAAAAAGATGCTGAGGATCAAGTTGTATTCGTTTCCCTTGAGATTGAGCGTCTTCTCCAGTCCGGCAGTCTTCGCGTTCCCCACATTGGACTTGTCAAGACTGTTGAAGAGGTACATGACGGCCAAAACCGGGAGAACACGCAGATCGAACTTCCAGACTAGGGCACGCTCAGCGCGAGGGTCGATATCTGCATCCGGAGGGGAGTCATCTTTGGAGAGGGCAGTCTCCGTGGGCTCCACGGGGTATTTGGTGTCTAAGGAAGTCATGATGTGTTTACGGATGCTGCCATGTTGGTATGGGCTGCGTCTCGTCCATGTCTATATACTGGCTCAACGTCCTTATCTCTCATATCTCAGGAAGATCCGGAGATGTACTGATATCGGGACAATGTACCCCATATTTCGGTCTAGATAAGCACCGGCCAATCAAACCATTCGGTGGCGCAAACCTTAGATATGATCAATGTGAATTGTTCATCCAGCGTTGATAATGTCCAATTATCCACCACTACAAGAGTCGATAACGGGAAATGATTCCGATTGTCTACCATCCAGTTGTTCTCGTCCAGACATCCACAATCCTCGATCCTTCACCATCCTCGCTCGAATCAACCACCAAATACCACCCATACAACGCCCCAGTCACACATGCATGATTCGGAAAAAGCCTCACAGACTGCCCAATCCGGAGCGGGATTGCCGGCCCATTACCGCCCTCCCATGCAAGAATCCCATGCTCCTGACTGATCCGCTCGACAATCAGGCGTGACCCGCCAGTTCCGCTTTCGCGTCTCCAGTTTCCGACAACCGCCCAGCCGGGATACGACTTGCACGGTTCCCTACCTAGAGCCAGTGTCCCCGCCGCCACCAGCGCCTCGGGCTTATCCCGCTCCGCCTCGTTGTAGACGCTGCATACTTCCGCAATCACCGAGATGGCGATTTCCTCCTCGAAGCTACCCGAGCTCTGCGCATTCGTTGCGAGCTGTTGCATATCGAGGAGAGTATACACCCCCGCATGCAACTCTACCCTAACCTTATCCCCGATGTGAGCACTAGGATCCCGCAGAAGGCCCTTCAACGCCTTTGCATCAGGAGTTAGGGAACCATCTTCATGCAATAGGCTCTGTGCTGAGACAACCTGTGGCGTTGCGCCCACGCTGATAACCAACTCCCTGTCCGGGAGGAGGGAAGCATGCTGGCGCAGCGCCTGTCCGCATCCGTCGATCTCCGTTTTCAGGTAGGATATAGCTGCTTCGGGGCTACTGGCTGCGTAGCTCAAGCTGCTGTGCGAGTAGACCCCGATCAGGGTAGCGTGGCCTAGTCTCTCTTCTTGTAAGACTTTCTCAAGAAGTCCGCTTTTGTTAAGCATGTCTGGCGGGACACCAGCTCGGTGGTATCCCGTGTCGATTTTGATAAATACACCGGCGGGGAGGCCGGCGATCTCGTGGAACTGGCTCAGATAGGATAGTTGATCTGGATGGTCGATCATGACGGAGACTGGGAGATCATGGTCAAGATCAGTCGTGCGTAGCTGACGGGCTAATGCCGCTAGACGAGGGACCTGGGACGGGACGAGCGGAATGCCGTAGAGGACGTTGACACGGCGGTTTTGCGCTTGAAGCTCCTGGAGTAGTGGGAGGAGAGTCTCCAGCTCGGCGACCGTCGAGACGACGAAGTTTGCGTCGCTGGATTCTGTGCCGACTTGCAGATGGGCGATTTGCGGTGTCTAGGTATCGTCAATTGGACGTAGGGAATCGCGGTGGAGCACGTACCTTGTGACTCTTGACATGGGCGCGGAAACCTACGCCTAACTGCTTTATTGTCTGCAGCATGGTTTGACAGTGGCGTTTGATGATTGCGATGTCGAGAACGACTGCTGGTTTGGGAACGTCGCCGATGTCTTTTCCGATGTAGAGTTGCTTGAATTCCTCGTTGGAGAGAGAAGTCCTGGAAAAGGGGTTTGATGCCATTGTAGACGTGGATGGGTTGTTTCCTCTGTGCTGATGGTATAAATGCTAAAACAGTTGCGCGACCTGGCTCTCGAAAGATGGTCAGATCACTGCGGGGATGTTCTCCACTTCGCTCACCATATTCTGAAAGTGGACGTATTTAAGACCGGTAAAAACATCAGGCTGAACTACCTTCCACTACAAACGTAGACTCAATGAGTCAATCAAACTCAGTCTTTTATCGAGTCTTTTATCGAGACGACGCTTCATTGCAAAGAATTAAATTCTTTTCTTCCACCGCGGTGGTCAGCCAAAATACAGTAACATATCGCCCAATATCAATGACTTAGACCAGCTGAAGAGGTCGTTCGGCTGCAAGTCCCAAGCTTAAGGCTCAGACGACACTTGGTTACCTAGTAATTTGCGATTTGCCTCGATCGTACGACCAATGCGCGACCAAGCCCTACTCTTCCGTGGCGCACTCTTCCGTGGCGCAGAGCCCCCGGGCCTAGTACCATACTGATCAAGTAAATCGATCCCACAAGAAGCACACCGCAGCACAGCAGAGTCTATCCGGTTCTGGTGCTTGCAAGCCCGACACTGCCAGTATAGGCCCGATGATCCTATTTCCAAGGATTTACGTTTGTGCGATAGCAGGCTCTCAACAATACCACGATGTTGCCTCCTGATTGCCCATTCCAGGCTGCACATCTCCGCTGCATCCTGGATAGTAGGGTCTGCGCCTGCTTCTAACAATCTTTGCACGGTCGCTTCCTGGCCTCTGTAACAGGCGACGATGAGAGGAGTTGCGTCGTTACGGCCCCCGGCGGCGTTGACGTTCGCTCCAGACTTGATGAGTCGGTCCACCAGCGGTAAGATGCCGTACGAGGCAGCATAGTATAATGGCTCTGTGCGGCGGGCTTGTTCCGCGGGAGCTTCATAAAGAAGGATCTGGATCCAGGACGTATAGTTTCCCCCGCCAGGGAGGTGGCGGGTCTCAAAGAAAGATAGAATCTCGTCGATTTCAGCATCAATGAGAGGATAGCCTGGTGGCCAGGATGGACTGCAGTGGCTCGCCCAGTTCTCGGAGGCGTACTTGAGCAGCGGGTACGCTTCCCGACGCTCTGCGAGAGAGTCAAAGTTCGAACAAGGCTGTTTGAACTCGTCAAACATCAGGTACGTCAGACATTTTTGCCAGATGCGCCGTGATCCCTCGGTCTCGTCCAGGCTGTAATACGCTGCTGGCCCGTCTTTGATTGCATCCGATGTGAGGAAAGCTTTGACTGAGGAATGCGCTAAAGCAACAAATGTAGTACGCTCGTCGTAGACGACCAGCCCTTGGCAGATTGAGAGAACGGCGTGTGGGTCAAAGAGCCTACAATCGTCGTCAATGCTCTTATCCCCTTTCGACACAACGAGTGCCTCGCTCAGCTCCGACAATGTAATCTCCTGGTAACCCGAACTAAGCCAGAGCAGTGTTTCTCTTGCAATTTCCCGGTCATACGAAGGGATTCGACATAAGATAGTTTCGTAGGTGCCGTGCAGGCTTTCCGGCATACTGTCCAGAGCGCGGATGACGTCCCGGCCAGTTTTCTGGGCACTTAAGAGCTCGATTTGACATTGCACATATCGAAACCTGCAACAATGTGTTAGTATGACATCTTCAGCTTGGCGATGCGCATTCGTACATTCCGCCTGCTTTCTCAAGCAAGACTGTCTTGATGCGTGATTTGATATGCTCCGGTAGCCGTTGAAGAGCCGGGGCGGATTGCAGCTGAGTATTGAGAAATGCCTCAATGTCAATTCTATTAGTTGAAGGTCTCATCTGCGCCCTGAGGGTACTAATGGTGGGATTCGACACCGGTGGTGAGGTCGTGCTCGTAACCATAATCCGAATGTTGTCTGATGATTCTAGGAGGGTGAGCAGTGCTTCGAGGATTTTTGCACTTTCACTGCTCTCGTTGATCGCATCCACGACGATGAAAAGCTCCGACAGTGCTTTCGTGTATTTCAAAAGCAGCCTTATCAATACGTCTGGTAGAGGAAGGGCGCGTTTCTTGAAACTTTCTTGCAATTCGTCGAGGATGTCTGGACAAGTTCCAGATAGCTGCACCAGCAATGCTCCTAGGAGGTAGACGAGCTCCTGCGAGGAACTCAAGTGGAATGAGCAGTAGTAGTAGATCACTGTGCTGGAGGGACGCTTGGAAATAGAATTGTTGACAGCGTCGATTGCCGTCGAGCTGATGGCAGATTAGCAACCGCCATGGTGAAGAGTTTCCAAGATATACCATAGGACAGTCTTTCCTGATCCCGCTGATCTTGGTCAGCATATCTCTACACTCGACAGCAGACGACTCACATTTTCCCTCTAGGGAAAGCAACCGGCACTTGCCCTCCCTTGCAATCCACGACTGGAAGGGCCCGTGGATAAACCAAGCTCCAGTACCAGCCTGGCACAGCGATCGAGCCTTGCGATGCATCGAATCGAAATCAACCGGACATATCCACGTCTTAATCTTCTCGTGCGTTTTCTCTTCAAAGAATGAGACACGAGCAAGCAAAGTATCAGATAAGTTGTGACCTACCTTCTCGTAATTGCCTCATTTCCCTACTCCAGTCAACCACAGCGTCAATAGAATGTGCCGTCTCCTTCTCGACAGCCCTAGACAATCGTCAACTCCGCCCATGATCCTCAGCCGGAAAAGCACACGCACGATCGATCATTCAAAATCACTAAAATAAAATACGTCTTCAGCCTTTCCAGCTGGGCAATATTCCCCTCCAGAGCCCCCTTCCTACCGGGCCACCCCAACTTCCCCAGCCGCGACTGCCGCATCGTTCTTCTCTGCAGATCGTCCAGGATCTCTTCCAGGACGGTATTCGCTTTCAGTAACGCATCCCGGAACGTCGATGTCCCATTTTTCTCGCTGTGGTCTGTCTGCATCTGTTCGAGAATAGCCTTCAGAGCGAATAGTTCCCCGAATAACTCGCGGATCTCGCTGTCGGCATTGTTGACTTGCTTCGCAAACTCGTATACTCTTTTTGTCGTATGTACTACCTGTAGTATCAGGCCGAGAATGGAGATCGGGTCTGCCATGGCCGTCGTCGTGGTGCCTGAAGCTACTTTACCGGAGGCGAGTAGGAGGCAATAATGTCTAGTTTAGTGCAGTGGATGAGGATGAGGCTGAGGCTGAGGTCAAGGTGCATCCATTAGCTTGCAGTAAGCGACGAATCATTTGGCGTTAATGGATGGTCGCGCGGGGTATTCTATTTCTGCCCTCATTTTCTTCTTAGTGAATGGAATATTTGTTCTTTGTTCTCTTGGTACTTGGACCAGGCTGTCTTGGGTTAAAGGCGATCTCCTGGAAATTGCAAGCGACGCAGATGAACTTACAAGCGCCCTAGAAAGACGCTACAATGCTTGTCTGTATTAGTATTGTTTAGAGGCCTAGGGATTTCAAAAACATATTCATTCCATACTCTCACAGTATTAAGTCGAATGGTATTAGTAAAATAATGAATACAAATGAGTCGAGAGGTGTTTCAAGTGAATATTAGCAGTGCGCAAACGTACTTGCAGCGACAGAGAATAGAGAACAGAACTCTCTCTTTCGTGTAAGGAAACTGGCATTTGACCTCGATCCCACGAAAGCTATTAATCCCAATCAATGCCTAGATGCATCCATCTCTGCAAGCACTTGGTCCACATGCTCTGCAACATTATATGAAAAGACCTGCTGCGCGAGATTGTTCGTCACACTCGGAAAGAAGCCTGTGACCAACGTTAGCCAGATCCTCCAATCCAATTTGGCATACATACCCATGATCCACATAATCGAATACATCAGATACTCCTCGATCACCCCCATATCTCGCTTTTTGTTTTGCTTCTTCCTCGCATCATCCAGGATGGCCTGAATCCGCGGCCGGCGTAGATCCATATACTGCTTTGCTGCTAATTTAACTGCCTCCTTGCACTCCTTGACCCCGTCGTCCTCCACCTTGCCAAGGAAGTAACTCAAAAACTTCGCAAACGACTCTACATCTTCCAGTGCCTGGGACGATCCCTGGCCTGAAGTCGACGGAAGCGCATGCGCCGCATCCCCGACCAGAACTACACCATCTCGCTCCCATGTCGGCAACTGTGGCGACGTCCAAGTTGGATAGATACTCTTCACACGCGCGGAGTTGAGAACTTTCTGCACGACGGGATCCCCCCAGTGTTCATGTCGCTTGTGCAGCTGCTGGAGGACATCACCCATGTCCAGTGATTTGGTGTCGGGGCACTCGTCCACAGAATAGGTCGACCACCAGGCAAGAAGATCGCCCGGCTCAGAGACATGATGCGGTGAGTCCCGATGCGGAGCGGTCGACGAACTGGTGCTGAAGAAGTAGCCGAAGAATCCATTTCCGCCGAAGATGAAGTTCATTGATCCTTTCCCCACAAGATCTTTGACCTCGCTGGACGGCAGAAAGCCACCAATACCGCAGACACCTCTACTCTTGTCAGCTCTGGTGCTTGGAAGAGAAAGGATTGCTCACTCATAATGAGGAGGGAACGGGTCCTCCTCCGCCTCTGGGAAAAGAGCCCGTTTAGCTACGCTTTTGATTCCGTCAGCGCCAATCACCAGATCTGCTTCGTCAGCTGGACTGCCATCTTTAAAATAGATCGTATTCCGATCATCAGGACTGGCGACGACCCGTTCCACACGCTTCGTCACTATATCCCCGTCTGGGATCCTCTCGCGCAGAGACCGCCATAGCCATTCGCGACTACAACCGACCATGTGCATCGGCGGCTCATCTCCTACACCTGGAGCAGAATTATCCATACGGATGAGAAGATGACCATGCTTGCTTTTCAGATTTCCGTGCGGGGCTACGTATCCGCCTCGGACAATGTCGCGGAGGAGGTCCTCGTCCAGACGCTTGAGGACATGCAAACCATTAGGCCCAATACCTAGACCTCCGCCGACAATAAGAGTAGATGAATGTGTGGCATCCTCCTCTTGGCTACCCTTGGAGGCGTCGAATTTGCGATCCTTGCTGGTATCGTGAGATTCGTAAATGGTGATTGTGTGGAATCCACGGAGGTGTTTCTTGAGCTGCAGATAGGCGGTGCATCCGGAGATGCCTGCTCCAATGATGGCAATTTTCATTTTGATGGATCATGGATTCATGCAAGATGTTAATGACGAGATGAGGTCTGAAGCATCACAGATCAATTTGTCTGCCTGGTACCCATGCTGACTCATCACGCGGGTTCCTTAACTAGGCGAAACTTTGTATGGCTGCAAAGAGAGGAATCTCGCTAGCACTGAGAATACGCAGATTCACAACTAACAAGGTCAAGTACGGATAATTGTAGTGTCCGGTTGCATAGATATCTGCAAGCATACCATGTTTGTACACGATGACATCGCTGTAATTTGTTGTTTTGGACTCGACCATCTAACCGGTCCTCTGGCAAGTATAAATATATATTCACTCCTTGGTCGAATGTCACAACGCCATACGCTTTCAACGCAAGACCTTCCCTCAATAAGTCTGCTGGTTCTCGCTCAGAAGAGCTATCTGAGCAGCATAAGGGAGGAACGCCTAGGCTAAACAGAGACCCTACCCAAGCCTAGGGCTTAAGGCCAGACAATCATTGAGCCATATCGAGGCGATTACCAAGACGCAGGATATGCATGACCATCTTGGCTGAAGCGAGTAAAAATGTCCGTCAGTATATACTTACTATTATGAAGTCCCAAAGTTCTTGGGAAGTCGCTCCTTTCTATAACACTCATTGGTACAATATCGCAGCTTAACTCGTGGCCGCAGCTTGGGCATGCCCTGCCTAGCTTGGATAACCCACGGACGCTTCTCATCGGGCAAATATTGAGACAGTCCTGATGAAATCTTCTTGCTCCAACAGCTGAGGGAGCCAAGCGGAACCCGGGTTCGTCCCAAGAATGTTGAGGTTTTCTCTCGTGCCGACTGCCACATGTACGCGAGGATGGTCTATTCAGCCTGTCTTTCCCATGCCTCCACGGCTGTTTGGAATTAAGGACTGATAAATGCTTTAAAGAGCATGTGCACGGCTGATTCCTTTTCTAATGCGTGTCCCTGGATAATGCTTGAAAATCTCTCAACCAATCCTTGTCGTCAACTTCAACCATCTGAACAGGCGCATCGCCCAGCAACCCGAACAGGCCAGATCTCAGAGCCGCTTTCCTCCTGATATGCAGAGAAACAGCAGCCATGGCTACGGCTAGCGCGCTTTGACTTTTTGCACAATACGCAGTATTGGCCACATCCTTATTCCTTACACAGTGTTACAGAAGCCACGGGCTGTCAGATGCATCCACACCATCCAGCAGCGCCTTCAGCCTAAAAGGGTGAATAATCTCCGCCACGACAGAAGGCTGCATTCCCAGATCCTCCGCCCGCCATAGGAACATGCCAATCAGACTCGAAGGGTCGTCCGCGTTTTCCCAGACAACGTAGCGCCGTCGCGTCCAGTTGAGATGCAGCACATCCCGACGCGGCTGCAATCATACCGACTCCAGGCTAGTCGTCTCTACCAGGTCAAATCTCCGTCTCGCGGTTGACGAATGCAAATGACCGGCGGCTGAGCGTTTTTTATGCGGTCGGCCCAGCAGGCTTGACGGCATTCGTTGCCGTCGAGAAGGAAGTCGGGGGTATCTTCTTCTGCTATACGGTGGGGGAGGCAGTGCTTCCAGATGAGACGGCGTAACTCTGTAGGCAGTTGCAAAAGGTAGTGGAAGACGACCATTTGTAGTTATTTCATAGCTCCTAAGAAGTAGATAGGAAAACGTAAGGTCATGTCGATTTGTCGTAGTCTCGTAGATGGTTGACTAAAGAGCTTTTATATTTGCAGGCAGGATCCTGGCTGGTGGCAAAAGAACAGGCAGATATTTTCTCAAGACCTCTGCAAAAGTTAGTTAAATGGTTATTTCTCTACTGCACCTGAATCTAATTAGATTAGTTAGGGTAGATACAATGTATCATTATACTCTATACTAGCATAGTCTTGTAAACAGCTATTTGGGTTTCAGTCCCTGTTTACTTCAAGATTTGGATGGTAGGACTCCCTCTCTAATAAAGTATTATCTAAGACTATGGCGGTCCTATTATTAATACATCAAGTTCATAAAGAAGGGTAACCACATCTGATCATGTAGGCTCTTTTACCATGCATAAATAATCATTAGATGTTACCTAAGTGTGGGAATACCAACAGGCAGCAGTCTACTCTGGTAACTACCCTGTACTCATATTGCTCTGTTAGAGAATTTAGTCCAACCATAATTGCGTTAACACTCATAACTACGTAGGCTTTCCTAGGCTGACATACCATCTACCATCCCTGGTGGATTGAAACATATTAATTTTTCTTCTCATCTTATGGCCCCTCGAAAGTATAATAGACGTTGCCCATAGCTATGGGCCTCTTAAAACCCGCAATCTGAAGGAAAGTGATGCCCTTAGGAATGCAGATAACTAGGCATGGATGGCTACGGTAACTTTTCTGTCGTCCAACTTCTTGAAAGGGTTGCTCTAAGCCACCATCACCTTCACAGATATCTTTATAAAAGGATAAAATGAGATCCCTTGAAGATGCTCAGGAAAAGATTCTACTCTCTTCGGTCGGTATGGTAATCCATGCTGAGATTGTAGAACAGTACTACCTCCATTATGGTATTTAGTTTCCCAGAGTGGAGGGTTGTACTAATTCAGGTTATGGAGTATTCCTTTGGCTACGTGTGTAGAAGCTCGGGTTTCTCACATACATATGCACTGGATTTGATCCTGATATAAATATCACATTCCTATCATGGTAAGTTTTATCTTTGACATGAAGCTACCCAACTCAATCTTCCAAATTTCAATATCTCTTTAAAAACTAAGACTTCCACTATACTGTTGTATAATACGACCAAAAGGATCGATCAAAGTACAATGTCCGCATCCATATCACACCTTCAGTCAGGAGTCAAGGTACCAATGCAGAAGCCAACTCTCTAGCAGTAGTCGCTGCGGTCATTGCCGCCATCCCTGCAGCCACCACCGCAGTAGGTGATGAAGGAGATATCACCATTGTCGCCACCATTGCAGTGAAAGAGGGATTCACGGATATGGCCGTCGTCAGTGGGCTGGCCGGCAACCTCGAGGGCGCCATTGACCTGGGCCCCGTAGTTGCCTATTGAGAGGGCCTCATTAGGGACGTTGAGTCTGGACGGTGGAGGCAAGTTCACAGACCAATGTTCAAGAGGTTCCAACCACAGTAGTTCAGCCCAGTCTTGCAGTTCCTTGCGGCGGCAAAGGGAGCCAGTGCAGCGAGAAGAGTGAGAGGGAGAAGGGCGGTCTTGACCATGATGACGATGATATGTGAGTTAAAAGAGAAACAGATCTTGTAGAATCAGAATCAGAGTGAGATATTGATGAATGAAGAATGAGATGAAGACTCAGGATTGAGGCGGATTTGTTCTCAATCTTATACCCCAAGGCTCTTTAACTTCACTCCGGATCAAACTGTATATCCCCAGATTGACGAAGTAACAAAATCATTAAGGACAATCAATGCATCATAGCACGCCTAGTTGGACGCCTGACGCCCTTCCCAAGCGCCTATTAGATATGTTTGGAGAGGTGAGGCATTTGTTGTCCTATCAGGCCATCATACATGTGTTTAGAGGGTCCACTTGGCATACTAGGCTCATATTCTTAATGTAGTGTAATCTTCTGAGACATTTAATATATTCAAACGCATGATGGAGAGGACTCGTTGGTCCAAAACTATATGGGCCGATGGCCCAAGCAATTAGTATACAGGCTCCCCCTTTCCAAATCTCTCTTAATTAGAAATCTACATTCATCAGCATGTCAGGTTGGTAAGTATAATCCTGGTCTAAGTACCACTCAGCAGTCACTACAGCCTCAATAGACTAAAGTCAGGCCCCTGCATGGTCTCTGCGCTAGGCGATCCCTTCTTTATAAGTGTACATAATTCTTGTACTATTGACAAGCATCTACAAGCTCCAATGAAGCTGGTGTTTACGTGTTGGGGTCTGCAACTAGAAGCGCCCCTCCCCAGGGCTCATCCTCTAGTGAATCAGGCCTCCCATTGTTGCTTACCAAGGAACCATCTGCAGTACCTGGTCTAAACAAGAGCGTAACCCTGGCTGACATTGCTGCATGGCAGAGAGCAGCTCTTTAGTCTCACTCAATAGTTAGACTTGTTCCACATCACTCTTCATAGGCTAAAGTGTTATCATAATTATACCCTTCATGCGAACGAACAAACTCGTACTATGAGAAACCATTCGTAATTCCTAAGATTTGTAACATGGAATCTCACTATGCACAGTGTGCTTAGGCCGACCGCGACCTTCAGCGTGCCATATACAACCAGCACCTAAGGTTAACTCTATTGCACAGGTTTGACCAGATCGAAAACCTGTTAAATACAGTGAATAATGTAGGCATCTGAATTCAAAACTTGGCTAAATCTATTTACGCTAACCGGCACAGGAATTCAAGCTTTGCAAAGTGGAAATCGGATAGTTGGGAGACTCTACAGAGACCACGACTCCTCCAGATACTTCAGTGAGTGCTAGTTCATCTTTCCAGACCGCTCAATCACGTCCTATACCAAGTGAAAAGGGCGTAGCTGCTCTACGTGTCCCGCCAAGGCTACCCTTCCTACAACTGCCGTGGGTTCAATCAGAAGCAGCAACGTCGCAGCTGAGAAGGCCAAGGCAAAAGCCTGACTGGACAAAGTTGCCCAGAATCATGGGATACAAGTACGGCGTCTCTCACATATAAAACTTCTCATGGTGTGCGCCTCTGGATGCCGTACTGACTGGCTCATGACTGCCCGCCTCTTCTTTGCGTAGCCAGTCTGTTTGCTATGGCTTAACTTCAAGAACTTCTAACCACAATGTGATGAAATGGAAATGCTCTCCCTTTTCCAGAAGTTGGCTCCATTAATGATGTTATGGATTATCAGCGAGGCAGTAGTCGAGCATTCGCGGATTCTGAGACTACGTCAGATATTATAGCTGAGAGATTCTCGCTGTTAGAACGAGGTAGCTCAGAGTTCAAGCGTTAATATGAGATCCTTCAACGCAGATTATACGACGGCAGCGACTGGCACAGGATTGCTCAAAAATTTGGTAGTGCTATTATCTACTTAGTCCCATCCAGAAGGGAATTTGACATTTCTAACTTAGCACATGTAATCACCCTCCTCAGTATTAGTACCAAGCTGACATTAACTAGAGTCTAAAGGATATTAACACACCACTTTAATAATTTTCTAGAAGTGCTTCGTGAAAAGCGAGATGACTTCTTACAAAATTATGTCTAATATCTGGATAGAAAGTTAAGAGATCTTTCACATTTAGGTTAGTGCAGTCTGCTGTGACTGAATCAACAATCCTAAGTGAAATTAAAGGGAAAAAATTTAATTTAAATAAACTGCTCTCACTACTCCATCCTCTTTGAGCTCTCTTTGGAGTTAGCAGGTACTAACACTGGATGAACAAGAATGTGACTCAGTCTACAGCCTTTTATCTACATGCAAACTAATTGCTAACCTAAATTCTGAGGTTGAATTGAAACTGATCTGGAGTGCTCCATCTGCATTTCATAGTTTGGGGGTTTTTTGTCTTTTGCTAGTAGTCTGTCGACGTATGGTTTGATCACTCGTGACCCATGTTCATGAACGAATGGAGCGCCACAGCTAGTTATGGCGTTGCTGCGGAAATGCTTGGCAGGCACCGGTAGGAATGTGGAACTAAGCTTTCTTCAGTTTCTCCAGCCACATCCCACTCAAATAGTGGCCAGCCCTGAGGTCCCTCAATGCCTCAGCGTACCAAACCCGTTTCCGCATCGACCCACCCCTTCGATTGTGGCGTTCCATGGCCAAGGTCTCTTTTGAAAGCTACCTGATCGTTTCGTCTCCAGCCTACAAATGTCAACACGATTGCATCTCAGAATCAACCCAGAATATTGTAGGAAGGTATTATATAGTCTTCCTAGTTAGCTATCTCAGCAACCAAAGCCACTAAAAACATAGATACATCCTGTATCCAACATTTTTCCGTTAATCGACGTAGTTCACCGTTCTAGAACAAACTCCTGCAGGTCGACAACAGGGTGACGTGGGAGGCAGTTGATTGGCATAGCTATTCCCAAACATGTCATCCAGGCAGCTAGACGGGTTTGCATGCAAGCGCCCAGTCCACATCTTCTAACCCGGCCCATAGAACTATTCCCATTGGGTGGTGAGCAGCAATCTTTGCTTGGCCATAAGCGCTAAGACAAGAGTAGATAACTTATTGCCATTCATTGGCAACGAGGGGACTTCCCTTGCCCCATACAAAGCTCACCTTCTCTCATGCAAAGTTCGCCTTGCCCCATGTGAAGCTCACCTTGTCTCATGCAAGGTTCGCTTTGCCCTCTTAGAAGTTCACCTCCTTTCAAGGAAGTTCCCTGCATATATAAAGAAATTCTCCCCTCCCGCAAAGTGGAGTTTTTTATCTCCCCTCATTTTCTACTTGCTGTATTCTTTGAAATATCCATCTCAAAGATCAGAAACAATCTTTCCCTCACGAGCAGCATCGAATCATCCTCCATTGCCAAGGTCCTCTCCAAATTTTTTGGATTAGCTTAGGATAGTAAGAGCTCTGCCAATCTTAGCATAATAATCATCCTGAGTCTGTTTGTAACATACAAGTTTAGAGGATAAGAAAGCCCAGAATCCTGATCTGTCCGCTGAGAATGTAAAGACGCGCCCTGTGTCCCGAATACGAATACCAAAGCAAACATCCGCCTCGCACAGCTTGCTGTATTAATGTAGTTTTTTCTCCAAATTCAATCTTCGTCGGCCTCTTTTTTGTCTAAGAAATTTCCTGTCAGACCCAGACTGAGTCGATAATTTGCTACAATTTTTATCATTATAAAAATGAAGAGAACTGGGAAGATAGCTCTCAGAATCCGGTGGGTGATAGACTATGATTAAGAATCAATTGTCTTATTATTATGTACACAGCCCTGGAAATCACGCTTGCCAAAAAAGCGTAAAATGCTTTTTCAGGGCAAGTAGACGGGGAAAGAACTCTCACGGTTTGTCGTGTGGTCTAAGAAACCGTCCAGTTTCTATAGTCACCCTTTTGGACGAAGGGTATCATCGGCGCTAACCCAGGAGATGTGGTAGGCGGAATGCACACGGTGTCACTAAGTACCTCTCTCGCCATGTCTATCATCATGATGTTGGTGATGATAATGGCCAAAGCTCCAATCACTGGAATACAGCCGATGTTTCCATTTACCCCAACCCACATCAACGCTAAAATGTCCTGTATGCCCATGGAACGCTTGATTGCTGTCTTTTTCGCCGCACTGGGCGCTGCTGACTACCTCCCAATCAGCATCGCAGTTATCATGGGCATCTGCTTGCTCGAGAGCATTGGGATTGGAGTGACTGTCATTTCGGACAATGTCATTGGACGCACGTGGTGTAGCGTTGTATTTGCCTCCTATTACGTATTAGCTTGTGATTTGGACCGGGGTAGGGATGGATAGAAGATGTACCATTTGAGACTTCCCGCTTTGCCGGTCCTGTCTGAGCACTTTCTATCTTGACTGCTTGAGACTTGGTGTTCTGATTTTGAAGGGTAGACATGTTTGGTAGTAAGTAGAGCCCAAGCGGAAGAAAACGTCCTTTGAGATGCTGCTTCAGAGATTGAGGGTCGGTGGCTATAAAGAGAGAGCAGAAACGAATTTAAATAGACATAGGAAGGAGATGAGGAGGAGGAGGAGGAGGAAGAGGAGGAGGAAGGAAATTAGGTGCGGCCCGTCATGAAAAGAAAATGCCTTCACACTTGTCAGTCTGAATTGCTAACCATCTATCTCACCTTCCTAATAAGGAAGTATCAAAAGTTTATTTAATATCTATAGCACTAGATTATAAACATTAGATTCCGCTTCGCGATGCCTACTTACCTGGGGGGTGTTTAGCCATCTCTTACCACTATTGAATACAGTGATTATCAGATATTGATATTTAACTAAATTCTGGCTGGGCCAATCAGATCACTGGATTCTATCATGGATTCAACTCGCCGGATTAAGGAGATTTTATAGAGTTTTCATTTTGTTGATTATAAGTAGTTAGACATCTAGATTGCCAGGAATCAGACCTTCTTTCATCCCGAAACCTACCGCTTACTAGCGATTCCCATAGATTCGCTATTATCGGGGATCGGTTGACATGTCTGCACTTCAGAGGTGATATTTGAGTCCATCACATTTTGACAGAATCAGGTGTAGATTTGATAGAAGAGTCTTGATTACAGAGGGGAACATATTAATGCATGGCAAGCCTAGTGTGGTGCACACGATGGTGCAATACGTCGCTATACAGGCATCCGATGATGTGATGCCTGCGGGGACTTATATACCAGTTACCCCCACCTTGCAGTAGGCAATCAAAGATATCCTAGAATTGACGCCACAAAATGGTCGAAATTCAGACACTCAGACAACCTGATATTCAGTATCATCCAGATTACGAAAAGTATCTCGCGCGCGGGCAGCGTCGCAAGGCAACCGAGGATCTGCCCAAGTCTCTTCCTCCTGGCTTCCCCGAGAAACTTTCTTCTCCTCTTGTCTGGGAGGGCAAGGAGATAGAAAAACAAGATGACTGGATCTATAAGCTCAATGACGCGCAGCGAGAGGAGATACACGCTGCGTTGAATAGCTTCAAGTGTGAGTTATCCAAAACCAACGGCAATGGCCTGTCTAACTTCCACAGCCCTGGGCCTTGGTGCCGGCCACATCAACCAGGAGACATTCCCCTTCCCACTCTCCATCCAATACTGCGGGAACTATCCCACGAAATCCACAACGGCCGAGGCTTCTTCGTCCTCCGCGGCTTAGACGTCGATCGGTACTCCCGCGAAGACAACATCCTCATCTACGCCGGCGTATCCTCCCATATCGGCAGCCTCCGCGGCCGGCAGCAGGACCAACGACAAGAGGACGGAACCTCCGTCGTGCTCGCGCATATCAAGGACCTGACTCGCACCGATCAAGCTGGGAATATCGGCGGGCCCGGCAGTACAGCCGACAAACAGGTCTTTCACACCGACGCAGGGGATATCGTCTCGCTGCTCTGTCTCCAGACAGCCGCAGAGGGAGGCGAAAGCCAGATCTCCAGCAGCTGGCTCGTGTATAACATTCTCGCCAAGGAACGACCGGATCTGATCTGGACGTTGGCGACGGATTGGCCTGTGGATGGGTGAGTGCGCGCCCTCTCACCTGGTTAATATCTTGCTTACAGCGCTAGCTTCAATAACCCGGAGCGCCCATATACCTCGCGGCCCTACTCTACCACCAGAACGCAACGGCATTGACACCCGAGCGCGTCCTCATCCAGTACGCCCGCCGCTACTTCACCGGCTTCCTCGCCCAGCCCCGCTCAGCGAATATCCCGCCCATCACCGAAGCGCAGGCCGAAGCGCTCGACGCGCTGCACTTCCTGGCCGAGGAGCACAGTGCCGCGCTGGATTTCCAGAAGGGCGATGTGCAGTATATTAATAACTTGAGTATTTTCCATGCGCGCAAGGGGTTCCGCGATGCGCCGGGGAAAGAGTAAGCTTTGCCCCGGGCAATGTTTATACGATATATATATGATATACTAACCGGTCGCAGGCGACATTTGCTACGGCTCTGGCTGCGGGACCCGGAATACGCCTGGGAGACGCCTGAACCTCTGCGGGAGCGGTGGGATATTGTGTATGGAAATGTGACACCGGAAGAACAGGTGTTTCCTTTGGAGCCGAAGGTGCAGAAGAAGAATATAAGTGCTTAGTCCTAGCTCTATAGCAGTTGAGCGTATGAAGCAGGTCTCTTTAGTACCAAATCAACTGTGACAAGCTCTGTGGCTGCAGGAACCGACTTGGTATATACTTGGCGAACTTTACTCGAATCATCCTTTGTCGATTCCATATTTAAGCTTTCTGGTCCTTGGCTGTAACTTTGTGATATAAAAGTTAGAATAGCAATCATACGGATTGTGACTCGTGTACATGGGGAGCATAATAGATTCGATACTGATTCGACTTTGACACGAATAGATGCCATCACCGCTGAGAGGATGACCCTGTGGGCCATCGGAAAACTGAATCGGCAGTTGATCCAGCCTCGGCAAGAAATGACAGCTCTCTTCGGCGAGTCGGACAGAAACAGACCAGAAAATCCCCGGGTTCGTGGGGGATCAGCGTATCAGCGAGTGGAGAGTCCTCCCCGGATTCCCACCACGGCAATCAAGTAGCAACAACTACCGGGCACTAGACTGGATAGCTTCATTAGGAACCAATAGTCATCTCGACTATTGGGCATCACGGTGTGGTGATCCCCGCTTCTCGATCAGCCATAAGGGGCTTCTCCTAGATTCAGTCAGTCCCAGGACCTTTATTTATTCGTGTTCTACCATTTCCCATCATGCCATCTATCGATCTACCGGAACTGGCCTCTGCCATGGACGACACATCCAGAAAGACAAAATCGCAGTCTGACTTTCTCGAAAAAGCAGAAGCAGAAGCAGACATCGACATCGTACCAGACCCAGCCACCGAATTATCCGAGCCTCATCGTGCATATCTCCTACAGCGACATGGCACCCTCGACCTCGATCCCCTCCCGAGTATGGACCCGGCAGATCCATACAACTGGCCTTTATGGAAGGTAGTTTTGCCCCTACTGTACGGAGTAGCTGTGACAGCAACTAAAGAAAACAGAGAATAACCAACCTCCTCCTGGTGGCCTTCCACGCCTTCATGGGCACCTTCATCGCAGCAGGCATCATCGCCGCGTACGAAGACATCGCGGTCGACCTGGGCGTGTCCATCCAAAAAGTCAGCTACCTCACCTCGCTGCAGATCGCCATCCTGGGCGGCGGCCCGCTGGTCTGGAAGCCCCTCTCACAGCGCTTCGGACGGAGGCCTATCTTCCTGGTCTCGCTGGTGCTAAGCTGCGTGTGTAATATCGGGTGTGCCAAGAGCCCGGACTATGCATCTATGGCGGCTTGCAGGGCGCTCGTTGCCTTCTTCATCTGTCCTGCTATGGCCATTGGCAGTGCAGTCGTCGCGGAGACGTTTTTCAAGCGCGAGAGAGCGAGGTATATGGGTGTCTGGACGGTGATGGTCACGCTGGGGGTGCCGATTGGGCCGTTCATCTTTGGGTTTGTTGCGCAGCGCGTGGGATATAGGTGGATATACTGGATTTTGGCAATTGTACGTTCTTTTACTATCTGAGTATGATCTACCACTGACTGAACCACAGACCAACGCCGTCCAATTCATCCTCTACCTCGTCTTCGGCCCGGAAACCCGCTACATCGGCACAGACATGACCTCCAAAACTTCCAGCCTCCAACGCGAATACCTCTCCCTCCGACGCATCGACCCCTCCCCCTTCACGGTCCGCGAGTTCTACCACCCCCTAACTCTCTTCACCAACATCCCCGTCCTGACCGCCGCGTGCGCCTACGCAATGGTCTTCCTCTTCGGCAGCGTCCTCAACTCCGTCGAGGTCCCTCAGCTGCTACAATCTAAATTCTCCCTCAACGCCCAGCAACTCGGCCTGCAGTTCCTCGGGCTGATTATCGGCTCCCTCCTCGGCGAGCAGCTAGGCGGCCACGCCTCAGACACATGGATGGCCTTCCGGGCGCGCCGCATCTCCCGCCGCCCGCCGCCTGAATTCCGACTCTGGCTTAGCTATATCGGGTTCCTGCTGACGATCGCAGGCATGGTTGTCTTCCTAGTGTGCACTGAGCACGCGAAGCACGGAGTGTGGACTGTGTCGCCGGTGGTGGGGACTGGCGTCGCGGCGTTTGGGAACCAGGTTGTGACGACGGTGCTGACGACGTATGCGGTTGATGCGTACCCGGCTGATGCGGGGAGTATCGGGGTGTTTATCAACTTTGTGAGGTCCGAGTGGGGGTTTATCGGGCCGTTTTGGTTCACGGCTATGTTTGAGCGTGTGGGCGTTGCGAGGAGTGCGGGTGTGGTGACGGCGTTGATTATGGGGGTTAGTTTTGTGCCGACGGCGTTGTTGCATTGGAAGGGGGAGAGACTTCGTCTTCGTCAGAAGGAGTAGAAGTAGATTGCATTGTATGGAGTATAGATGCTATAGATTACTCTCTAAAGCCCTCCTCTCGTCAACGGTCAGGTCGCTCTTTGCCCGACTAATCCTCACAAATAACGCGTTCACCACTAGTCCCAGCCCTGACAGCGCTACCTGGAACCAGAACGCGGCTTGGTAACTCTTCCTCAGCCCTTGATCGTCGGTGTTGACCTGCACGATGTCCGCGAACCCCAGATGCAGCGCAATCCCCAGGTGCAATGTGCAGTTGATCAGCGCCCCGGCCAGCCCCTGCTTCTCCAGCGGCATGTTACTCGTGATGAAAATGTTAGTAACGTTGAAGCTGATGTCGATCCCGATCGTCCCACAGATCATGGCCGGGAAGACAAACGCCCAGTAGCCTCCGTTCTCCGGGAGAAGGGCAAAGAAGAGACCTGAGCCGATGTATCCCAGGCAGGAGATGAGCATGAGGATCGTACCGGGGATGCGGTGCAGGATGAAGCCGCCAACCGTTGAGATGAGGAGGCCCCCGAACGCCATGGGGACTGTCCAGGCGACGATCTGCAGCGGACTGGCGTTCATGATGCTTTGCATGCTGCGGACGATTAGCGTAGCTACACAACATAGATCAGGAGGAGACGTACTATAATGCTCCGTACAGCAGAAATATCCCCAGACTGCCATACAGACAGACCAGCGAGAAAAGCAGCGGCTTCATGTACTTCACTGCAAACACATCCGCCGTCACCAGGGGATCCCCCACCACCCACCCCTCCACATACACAAACACCACGAGCAGCACCACCCCCAGCGCAAGACACACATCGATATACACCGTCGCCCACTGCCTCGGCGCATGCGCACTCCCCGCAATAGCAAACACCAGCAACACCAACCCGGGCACCAGCACCCCCGCCCGAGCCAATCCATCCCAACTTTTCTCGTTTTCCTGCGCTCCGCAAAATCACTCGGGATCGAGAAAAACGAGGTCGCAGCCGTCACAGCGGCAAGAATCCCCCGATAAAGAAATACCACCTCCAACTGAGAAACCTCCCGCACAGCCCGGAAAAGAAAATCCCCACGAAGAACCCCAGCGCCGCGCAGGCGCCGTACACGCTAAAGACGAGGTTCTTCCGCGGTCCGGGGCGGTACACGCTCCCCAGGATCATCATGCCAGACGGTAAGAATGCAGCGAGGGCGAGGCCCTGCAGTGCGCGGCAGATGACGAGCATTAGCCAGGTTTGCGAGAAGCCGGCGAGAATGGATGAGATGGTGAGCCAGGCGGCGCCGAAGAGGTAGCATGCGAAGCCGCCGTACATGTCTGCCAGGCGGCCGAAGATGAGGAGGGTGGAGGTGACTGCTAGGGAGAGGGCTGTGGAGGGCCAGATGGAGGAGGCGAGGGGGATGTCCAAGGCGGAGATGAGGGTTGGGAGGAGGATGTTGGAGCCGGAGATGTAGTATTCCTAAACTGTCAGTCAGTCACCAACTGGAGGCAGGGAGTGGAGGGACATACAGCGAGGATTTGAGACATGACGATGGAGAAGCAAAAGGTTAGTTCGGACCACAGGCTGGAGAAGCAGGGTGGGCGCTCGCGGCCTAGTCTTTCGATGCGTGCTTCGCTGTCTTCTTCTATATCATGGGTTGCCATCTCGGCAGGGTCCTTTGAAACTGACTTGTCCTCCATGGTCTTGATCGTTCGACTTCGTGTAGTCCACGACGTGGATTTATATCTACAGGATATTCTGATTTCTAAGCATGGCCGAATCTGCTCGTCCATCAGCCAAGACACTTGGTAGAGCCAACCTTCCAGAATAAGTTTCTACTCGGAGAATTGAATCCACCTTCATCTACCATGCAAGATAATGTCATAGTCCATAGAAGCTTGGCCTCTTGGCGCTGACTCTGGGCTTCCGCTTTAGGAAGTTGTGAGGAGTGGGTCTATATACGAGATCCACCACAGTCTGTTGCTGGCCTGCTTCAGCGCATTTAAATGCCAATTTCAGTTCATATCTTGTCGTAGAATGGTAGTTACTTATAAACAGAAAGATTTTCAATATAATCGCCTGTTGAGCTTTGAGATGTTGTGGCTCTTGCGGAAATTTCTCGATGCCGCACGAAATTCACTATGATTTGTCTACAGATGACTATGGCAGACTACAAGACTTACTTCGTGCACGAGTAGCTATAATATCCGGGCAAGTCTTCTAATTGCTCCATTGGGTTGGTAGTCAAACACAATTTTGGAAGACCATGAACGCCGGCAGCAGAGCACACACTCATGACTACGAATGCTCTCATCCAGGCCGAGCACAGCGCTAGACCGTGGAGACCGAATCTAAGCTTCGTGACCGATTCTCGCTAACATCTGATGCCAGAGACCTACTGTTTATTGAGACAAGTTACGATTCTCTCAAGATCACTCATAACGGAGCACGCCGTTCTTCAGCTGGCAATAATCTGGCAATGCACACTCCATGCACTTTTACATTAGCGCATGAAGCAGTGCTTTTTCGAATACTCATTGCTGTGTATAGATTTATATTACGATGATGGCAGGGTGAAAATAGTGTCAGATTGTTTGACACAAAGCAGTAATTATGACTCGCTCTGGTTTACGGAGTGTTGCATATGTACCCATCGCTCAGCTTCGGAGGTGTGTGATAAAGAAAGTAAGGAGGAGTTGACACAGTATCAAAACAGAGCCGATTGTCTACTCATTCACTGTTATTGTGCTGAAGGTAGGTTCTCGACTCCATAGGTGACCGTCAATGTGAGGCATGGGTGCCTGGGAAGGCCAGTACTCTCTGTCTTCTCGTCTCTCTGTCTTCTCATCTCTCTGTCTTCTCATCTCTCTGTCTTCTCATCTCTCTGTCTTCTCATCTCTCTGTCTTCTCATCTCTCTTTCGCGTCTCTCACCTTGCCAGTTCTCGTCCCTCCAGACGCTAAGCTGTGGAATACTTCTCTATCACTTCTTCCATTCTCTATCCAATCTGAGCCTCAAAGCCAGTCAATCATGGCATCGACAACTACCTTCCTCAATCTCCCGGTAGAGATACACCTACTGATCCGCGAGTACCTTGACCCTGCCTCGGCAGTGGCTTTGAAAAATGCAAATAAGTACCTCCGGTCTACCATCGCCGTTGACACAACAGAGCTTGAGCTTGAAGAGTGGGAAGCATTCTACATCACCCTCGAAATGTGGCCAGAGTAAGTGTGGCGGGTGACTGTCAAAGAAAACAGTTCAGGTGGGAGGGGATAGAAGGTATTATCCTTACGCTTACATTCCTCTAGATACTGGAACCATTTCTTCTGTCTGGACTGCAGAACATTCCTCTCGGCAGACAATTTCTCCGATGATCAAATTTTCTGGGACTATCGGAAGAATTGCCATCGAGCTCCTTGGAGATCCTGCATATCCTGTGGAATGAAGAACGGGACGTACCAACCCTATGCTCGGCCCATCATGATCAATCAGATGGCCCACTATTACTGTGAAGGGTGTGAAAGGCTGCAGGGCAGAGGTATACGGAGTAAGTCTGGGTGACGACGGAAAGGACACGGTTATGCGTGGCTTTTGCGCCAGAAACTGTGGCCTTTCCACGCTGTGTATCGCCACTTTTATAAGAACTAGTCAACCTTACTCAGTTCGTCCTAGCGCCATTCACATCTTACTTCTTTTAAGACGAGCCCGGCGCATACACCATGATTATAAGGAGCAGAAGCAGAGCATTAAGGATGAGGGGAAAAGATATAAGAGGCTTTCCTCTTCCTTCTTGAGATGTCGTTCCTCAAGATATTTAGAGACTCTAATATTGTGCTGATATATCTTGGTCAGAGTGCCTGCAGTCTTATATAGTTCATTCCATCCAAACCCAACCCACGACCAGTCTAGCTAGGTTCTTCTGTGGGCATTGATTCCAATGTGTTATTATAGCTCATAGTCTGTCTGTCTTGCTGGTTCGGCTGTCTTGCTGGTTCGGCTGTCTTGCTGGTTTGGCTGTCTCACTGGTTTGGCTGTCTTGCTGGTTCGACTGTCTCGCTGGTTTGGCTGTCTTGCTGGTTTGGCTGTCTCACTGGTTTGGCTGTCTTGCTGGTTTGGCTGTCTCTTTCTTCTCCTAACTATCTTAGGGCGAGTGATTTCTAATGTCACGGGCTAGAAGCCGGTTCGACCTATGACCTAGGTTTGGATAGTAAGAAATTACTAAGAAGTCTAACTGGGGGCGTATCGTGGCTGGACATGAAAAGGGGAGGCTGGGTTATATGACAGCGTTGGGTTATTACATTAGTTAGTATAAAAGTCACGTGACTGACAGCTGGTGTCCAGTTTGGATAAGACCTTGCGAGGGCTGTTGAACAGCATGAGCACCCAGCGGGCCCTGCCCGCTACAGTTAACTTCTATTGCAGTTAAATATTTCTATAGCTATTAATTAAAACTCTGCGCTAAGGTGGATGCTATAGTTAGGTAGAACTACTACTATAGTATTATATAGCTGGCAACATAACATACTCTGGGGTGCTAAACCTGATGAATTAGAAAAACTTAGTGAACTCCAACATACAACAGCCGGGATTCACTGGTGGTCACCCACCCAACTACTAACTGGCTGGCGTGTGGCTTAAGTACGGCTGAGCAGACAGGAAGCCCTGTTTTCCACACCCTATGGTCGTATGTGCTTTATGTTTTAGGTATAGCAAATGATATCCTGAGAGAAGTTTGCTGTAGAGACGTGTGACAGATTTTGGGCTGCTAAAGAACGTACCACTTTCTTCAACAAGAGTCACGATATCCTTTCTTGCAGCAACATAATCCAATATTGTTGGGGTTGCTCACTTTATTAAATGAGAGGCAGAAGAGGAATAAAAGGAGAGAGTCGGACACTTCGTCTTCATAAGTTGCGTCAGAGACAGCACTAATTCTGCAGCGATACACTGTCTGCCGTCGACCTCGGGCGTCGCGCTTCAGCCTCTCGACTTCAATTTTCAGATAGTTCCGCCTCATTAGTTAACTGATTACTACTTTTTTGCCATTCAGTGCTATCACACCCTCTTAGCTTGGTTTGACATGTCTGCAAATAAACAGCTTCTACAGTACCCAATCTCCTCTAACAACCCCTCAGGTGGGGCTGTACTCTGCTCATAGCTCACAAATCATGCATATGGCCTCTTGTTATAAAAGCTCAACATTTATAATAATAAGTGTCATAGAGTGGCTTTCCACAGTTGGGCTACGATGCTTGGAAGATGGTATCCCATAACTCCCTGTGAATGCAGTCAGAGTCACCGGAATAGTCAGCTGAACAGGGCGATGAATGGGTTCACATCAGAAGCAGGAAAACAATCCACTACCCGCAGTGGAGCCCCTAGCTTATTGGTGAAGAAAGCAGCAAGGGCCCAGCAGCACAAAAATAAATAAAGAAATAAAACTATACAACGGGATATATATGTCAGTGCTTACCCCTATCAGTGTCTATTCCCTTTTGCTGCTTTGCCGCCCAAGTTCTAGACTGCACCGCCCTCTACAGCTAGGAAGCTGTACATCCTGTGTTCTGCACTTCGCCACCTCCTTTTGCGCCCGTGAATTGGAGCTTGTCACGTCCGCCCAACTGTCCTTGATTTTCGTGAGAATGAAAGTTTTGCTTGCCTGAGAGATTATCTGACCATTGATCCTTATTTGATAGACAATGCGGGATGGACAACGAGAGGGCGCATAGAGTTGGTGATATCAGACTATTCTGAACGGACTAGCATGCTTTCTCACTTCTATAATTAACGCCTTTTCTCACATTTGAGAAGTCCGCGTGGCGGCAGAAGTGGTTGAAGGACCGGATGATGATGTGGAGAGGTTTCCCGGCGGCAACGGCTACTGCCGCGTGGTTGACAGAGACTTCACACAAACAACACGTCGGCAGACTTCGTTAAGTACGTTGACTACAAACGCCAGGTGGGCGCCGACCTGGTTTCTCTCCTCCGACCACTTACGCAACATGGTGCCAAAGCACAGGGTCAATGCAAGGTCGGCCTCAGCGGTTGCTGTGTCAGGATTGGACAGGATGTTTGACTGAAGGATGAATATATGGATAACTGGGTAGGACGAAACGAGACTGAGGTTTTCAACGGGTTAGCTGCTGCATTCTGCCTAGGTCCTCGGATATACGCACCTGATCGTGTGGTAGGGGTTGCCCGTTGGCAATTTGGACCAGTGCTCTAGTATATTAATTGACTGACGGGCTGCATAAAGCGACGATTCAGGAATCTGCTGCAAGGGATAGGATGTTTTTGTAGATTGTTCAAACGATATGATTAATAAGTGGCTGCTGAAGAGGAGGTCGGCATAAAGATACGTGTCTGTTGGGTTTACTGCAGCTCTAAATGAACGCTCCTTCGTTTGTTAGTGGAAGACTATAATACGGATAGTGATACCGAAAGACGTACCAAGTCCCATTCAGCTACCACAGATTTAAGCTCAAGGACAAGTTCTGTTACTTGGTCCTCCGAAGCATGACCGTGTGTATCGAGGAATTCCAGAAACCTCAAAGTAATGAACGCAAATCTCATACTAACAATGAAATACACTTGAAGGGTAGATTCTGGTGTGACCCCATCCGGATGGAGAGGCAGGTCAGGAAAGCGCACGCACCAGCTACCAAAGGGTATGACTGGCGACTTGCCAAAGAGCTGCCTGAATAGACAGTCGGTCTGCAGTAGCTGCCAGAACGCATATCGTTTTTGGCTTTTGGTCAATGTGCAGTCAGTCGACGTACTACTGTAATCCCCTGGCGCATCTGAGCCCTCCATGTGTTCCGCGTCAACCGTGAAAATCCCCAACTGTCGTCCAATGGAGCACGCTCGACGGAAGCAATCCCAAGAGAGATCGTAGTTGAAGAAGTCGGCCGCCAACCAGCTCTTCAAAGAGTTGTTAATTGTGTCCATGTTCGAAGAGGGGAATAAACTATGTTCGATCCTGGCAAAAATCAAGTGACTCACCAGTAAAAATGCCGCTTGGAAATCTATGGGACGTTCCCCTGCTTCATGCTGCCAACGTTCTAGTAATCGAATAGTGGACTGATACAGAGAGGTCGATATTTCACGGCGTTGATGGCACAAGGTAGCATCCAAGAGCATTCCACGAAAGATGACATGATGGTAAATGATGAGTGCAGATGCGTCGATTTGAACATATGCCAGGCCAGATACTAGTGTAAGCTTAAACATCAACTGCTCGTCTATCGGTAGTTGGGCGTCCAAAGCTCGAAAGTTTTCAAAATACACTGTAGAAGTAGAATTAGTGCTGAGTTCGAATATATCCTATGTCCTTGTTAATGAACGGGCCAGACGGACAGTTCACCCATCGCATCGCTGTCTCTTCCGAAATTTTGATGACATCACACGGTTCAACCGCCTGCATCATCCTGCACAGTTTCGCAACATGAGGAAAACCGTTCATCATCTCATTAAGCTCATATTCTCGGGGCGACCAAGGTTGTGAGACATGCGTCTGGAGTGCATCACGCGCTTTGGCTATTGCGTCAAGCACAACAACCGAGAAGCTAGGGTCTAGTACGGCGTCAGTTGAAGCTCACAAAGGTCAGCGGGGAGAGAAATCCCCCACTACTTAGTCCAAGGCTCTCCAAAATGTCATGGTTTAACTCTCTGGGCGTCCGAGCTGTCGGATTCGCCGTTTGTGTACGATGAGGCGATGGGACGCTCTCCAGAGAGAACCCGCGGTTAATGGAAGCTACGTGTTCCTCGACGCTTGAGAGGCGCTGTAGAATGTCAGATACGGTGTCATCCAGACTTGCTGCTTGAGCACTGGTTTGAGTTAGCGACAGGCATAGGATGGTCAGGTGATTGGGGCTCGGAGACATCACTCACCGTTGCCCCTTGGGTCTTGTGGCCCGAGGGGCATATTCGCAATCAACACCTCCTTCCACGCATTTGCCGCACTGAGGTAAGGTTTTGCTGCACCGAATCTGTGCCAAATTTAGTTTACCATGAGGTGGTGTCCGTACGGTAATCTGCACCCATTTGCTCAGTATCTACCTTTTTTTCCTTGCATCTCCGGCACTGGAGGCTTGATTAATAATAAGCAGAGACATTGTCAAGAGACCTTACCGAGATTGGATTCATGGGTACCGTCTGCTCGGTCATTGCTTTTAGCCTTCAAGAGCACTGACGACGAGAGTAGGCAGTGAGAGGAGATTTCGGCCGCCTTGAAAGTCGTGATACATCAGGACTCGGGGTCTCGGACTCCGGCCTCTAATTTCGCCCCACCAGACGTTTTATATGATTTGAGGTCAGCCGACCCTTAAAGTGTGGTTCAGTCACGTGATCTGGGCTTGTCTCATTCACTGTATCAGCTATCTTGGCACTGGCCGAACTTTTCCGAAAGGCCGGCTGACCTGTATCCTGTATACGATTTCACCATAAATTTGCACTTAGTAAGTTGTCGTCCAATCCGCGCTAATCAACTTGTATGTTTATTCTCAATATTCAACTAATACTGCGTCACGCCCCAATCGTCGCGTTCTGCATAAATCGGAGATCGCTAACCAACAAAGATATTCAAGCATTGCCGAGTACCTCCCTGATTTACTCGATCCTGGAGACTCTATTAAAATTGGATCTATAAATACTGTCTGTTCGCTCAATATGTCTACCTTCTGAAGTTTGCTTAGTCTCAGTGCTGTCGATTGATGAGAGTAGGAGAGTGAGTGAAGACTTCGGATGTCATGAGGAGTGGACAAGACCCGCTCGGGGTCTCGGACTCCGGCAACAACAACAACAACAACAACCCTGTCCATTCTCCTCAAGAAATACTGGAAAGTAGACTCTGTATAAGTTCTCCACAAGTGTCCGACTTAGCGGTTCATTGGTTACCCTAAATTGGGGGCGACACGGAGACTCAAGCTCTTTGTAAATTTATAAATAAGTGATTGGCCACTGCATGTGAAAGCGGCGTCTTAAATATCTTTTTAATCATTAATTGCACTGCAGTCGCGATTGTAATCTTCTACATCCAGATCCCAGCATAGCTCCTGCTGCTTGTGATAGTCAAATACGGAGTTAAGCTTAAACAACAATTCGAAAGGCCCGCTATTCAGGCGAGGAAGAGACACTTCCCCCTCCTTGAAAGAAAGAAAAAGAAAAATAAGAGAAAAAGAGATAGACAAATGGCTTCTATTCCACATAGCAACTCAGCAGTTAATTTTCCAACACATAGTGCACCGACATAGAATTCCAAACTAGTGCCCAGTAGCAGGACCGTTAACATTTCCTTGCTCCTCTGGTAAGTGAATGGCGAATAGACATGGTGCAGTTGGTATATGCTTACCCTTTGCTGTGACTCTTAACAGGCCTTCCCATTTATTCGAATTTCTCACCGTCCACAACGGCGTCTGATCCAAAGACGCCTAAGAGATACAACGTCCTTGCCAGAAAGAGGAAGGACGGTATAAGGAAATTGGCCCAGGTTATGGTAGTCCAAGAAGAAGCTGCAGCCATCCCTTCTCTTCCTAAGCACCAGGCAGTGCTGCTCAAATGTCCTAAGTCTCCCCACCATAACGCTGAGAGATATGCCTTCACGACCTTTAGTTCACTGGTTGTGTTGAGCACAAAGATATTGATAAATGCCAGCAGAAGATAAACATTGCTCAATTGAAGAGCCAGAATGTGCTCAGTAGGAAGTAACCCATGAGGCCGGGAGGCAGACGATAGAGAAGCAACATATGTTGGGGTCGAGATCACCGAGGTTGCGAAACCTGCAAAGAGGAGAACAGGCTCTATATTGCAGAAGATGTAGCGGGGAACGGGTTTGAGGAGGGTGGACATGATCAGAAGAGGCCAGCAATGATACAGACGTTGTACCACAACTGTAGGTGATAAGGGCAGTATATAGATTCCCAGTCAATATGGATGAGATTGCGGTGCTCGGACACTCGGAGGTTTGGGTAGCCCGGAAAGCCCACCACGGCTGTCTTGGCCAGAGAGTCGGACTCCGGCACATGTCCGTACAGAGACGCATGATGTCTTAACGTTGCGTTTTTGAGTTCTTGTCTCTGCTATAAAGCTGGCTGGCTCACCGGCGAGGTTGGGGATGGGGTCTCATCGGCTTAATTGTTTTTCTTCTACTACACTGCACCCTTGAAATTGTTGCGCTCATCGTCTCGCAGAGTTCCGTTTCCGAACCATCCCAATGCCAACACTTGGATTGGCAGGTGGCACGTCACCCAGCCTTGGGCGGGCAATCGTGACCGCGCTGTTTTCTGCTCCACATGGGCCGCAATGGAAGATAGTTATCCTCTCCCGCTCTCGTCATCGTCCACTCTGGCTTCGTGCTGTTGACCCCGAAGAGCTGCGCGTCCAGATTCGCACTGCTGACTACCTCTCTGTGGAATCGGTTGCCGGCGCGCTTAAGGGCGTGGACACACTTATTTCAGTAACATCCGCGCTAGATGGGTCCCAGCGACAAGTCCAGCTAAATTTACTCCACGCAGCGGTTAAAGCTGGCTGTGCACGCTTTGCGCCATCACAATGGGGATTTGGGCCGACCGGATTGGAAGCAGTCAGCGCCACAAAGGGAGCAGTTGAAGGCGTGTGGGAAGAATGCATGAGATTTCAAGATAAAATCGAATGCACCAGGTTTAACCACGGCTCGTACATGAATTATTTGGGACATGGAATTTTTCCTAACCCTGAGCCACCGCTGCCGGAGGACAAGCAACTTATCAGGCTGCAGGAAGGTGGCGGGTATGCAAAAGGTGAAGATGAGGCATGTCAGGGCCTTCACCGGCAAGGAGATATGAAGGATGGCTCCGGGGCATTTCTCATATCGCTCAAGAATGGCATCGCTGAATTACCTCAGACGGACGACGGCAAATGGCCCCGGATTACCTTGACTACGATGAGGGATGTGGGTCGCTTCGTCGCATATTCTTTAGAGCTTCCCAGGTGGGAACCCAGCATGACCATGGTTGGTGAAACTCTCACCATGGGTGAACTTCTTACTCATGCGGAGGCGGTAGCGAAACGCAAGCTTGATGTGACGGTTGTGAATTCGAAGAGCCTTGAAAGAAAGCTAAAAAGTGTCTCTTCTGATGATTTTATGGCTTGGCTATGGGTTGAACTTAAACTCGCATACTGCAGAGACCGGCTAGACGAAGGGTACCTGGAACCAGTTGTTAATAGGCTGTGCCCAGAGGTGAAACCTACGTCGGTGAAGGAGTACTTGCAGAGCCACTGGATGGATGCAGATTAAAACCAGTTTTGGAGCACATCCTCTAGGCCTAGTGGTGGATTTTACAATGAAACTCAAACTAAATCAGAACAGATTAGGTTTGGTTCTGATTTCTAAAATTTAGACTAAAAATCACAGCGCTTCAGTTCCAACTGGGGTTGGACTTGCCTGAACTCAGACCAAATGTAACTCTAGTCCTTTCTGTTGTCACCCAGACTTACTCCACAGAGTCTCTACTTAATAAAAGATATATTTTATACCTAGAAATATTCATTCTAGCCGCCCTTAACTTTCTATGATTTGCTTGTTTCCTACCGACCTGCTTCGGAAATAATTTCTTAAATTTTTTTTTAAACACACACACAATGCTCGGCTATTAAGAGCTTGTACGAAAAAGATAACCATCTGTCAAGAGGAATCAGGTTCTAGCAGATCAGTATATATAACTACATCACCAGGCTGAGTCATCTTTTTGATCTTGTGGCTGGGTTTTATGAAGGGTGTGAGGAAAGGATTGACCCCATTAGGTTGTTACTGGAAAAGCGTTAGCGAGATACCAGAATTATAAATGCATAATGCATAATATGCATCTACAAATATTTTTCCATGATGGATTTCAATCCCTCATGATCCACTGCTTTGACTATCTTTCCCTAAGGGCCTTCCATGTCTTCAGCGCCTACTAATGCATTGTAGATTGCTTCCTTAGTGGCGTCAGCTGTAGACTGGTCGTGGATTGGGTTTGGATGGATCCGCAAGGGGTTCAATCCAACCCATGTGGGTTATGGGTTGATCCACCACCTATCTAACCCACCCTCATATCCATGCGGGTTGGATTGCGGATAATGGATATATCCATACTACCTAGTCAGGTGACCCCTAGTATTCTAATTACCACCCATTTTTCTAGTATTCTAGCCACACCACTAGGATATCTATATATTTTATTTATTAATATAATAACTTACTATATAAATATTATATTCCCTGGCTTGTTTTACGTCTGAGGGACAAGTACATAGTGGAAGTGAAGCATCCTCATAACCGGTATATATACAACTCCAATGTAAAATAGATATCTTGCAACGGCTTCAAAGTAAACACCGACGTACATGCTGCTGGATCTATGGCCAATGCTCGGGTTGGCTATAACAGAGTCAGACAATTTTCTCTAAGGTCCGTATACGGGTTGTACTGTTTGCTGTTTGCTCCTCCATCTTGATTCCGATGGATGACTACAGCCATGATTGGCGCAGTGAATTCCAAGCCTGAGACTCAGCCCTATCCATGTGAAATTTGTTTGCTTCTCACTGGATTCTACATAACTACCTGCACGCCAAAGATAATAACGATTCATTCACTGTAGATAAAGGCGGGTTCCGCTGAATCAAGGGAACATTCAGACCCTTACGTATACATGTTCACTCCACAGCCAATGAACAGTGAATGACACTGGAAATATCCAATATAAAAGGAGATATCGAATGATCAGAGCCCAAAATCTCAACAACTTCGCCACTGTGCTCTCATCATGGATGTAAACCTTCTCTATCATGCTCTGCTTCTCTCTTTCCACTACCTTTGCATTCTTGTATCTGCATATCCATACAAAGCTACTAGCTTTCAAGGCCTAAAGACCGAAAATATCTGGAGAGAGATATTGAAATTCCAAAGAGCCAGCATATGGCAGACTCTACCGCCTCACCCTTCATGAATCTTCTTATGGAGGTTCACCTTCCCATTGTCGAACACTGCGACCATGCGTCGAAGGTCTCCCTCTACTAAACCAACAAATACCTCCGCTCCCTGGTCAACGTCCAGACGCCGGAAGATGCTACGCAACAGGAAGCCTTCCTACAGGGTTACGAGCTATGGCGCGAGTGAGTTCAGCTCCACCCTAGACAAGCACTATCGGAGCTAACAATTCCAGGAACTCCAACAAACACGCTTGCTTCAAACGGCGCACGATGCTGGCAGTCGAAAAGTTTGACGACGGAAAGGCTCGTAAGCCCAGCCATAGCCCCGTTAAGTGTTTTATGGGCAGTTACTAACTCTATACTAGTCAGAAAACTTGTGATCGCGCTGTATACGTGCCAGGTCGACGCTTTCCGACTATTGCACTAGAAGTTGGTTATATTGAGAGTTTTCAGAGATCACGGGCAGCCGTGCCAAAAACGGCCCCGAAGCTGAGATGCGCTTTTGCATCCGGTGCGGATTGTCAGAGTCGCCTCTATAGCCCAATGGCGCCTGTTTCGATTCGGGGCAAGATTTTACCGATGTGTGTCTTACACAGCAGCGAAAGATGCAGTTGAATAATGCGATTATGCAAACTCTGGTCAGAATGCATGACGCTCCACTCAGGATCCCCCGCGCACGCTCATCCAGATCGTGACAACTTGAGTTCTGGATCTACTGCTTACCTTATTTACTGAGACAGTTGATGTTCTCCAGGGTTGGGTTTACCCGCTGCGCATGGTGCCGCAAGCGCATGAATGTCTTGGCTTTAAGAAGCTCGAAGTGGTCCACATAGTCCGCTGCTCGGAGTGTGGTTGCAGAAGAAGGCTTCCTGATATTGGGCCCGAAGGCAGCGCTGCTCCTCAGACTGCTCAAACGCAGAGTTCTGAGGGTGATACAGGCCAAGGGAGCAGCACGCAGAATTTTGAGGACAACCTCCGAAACCTCCTGGTTTGAGTCCGCTTGGATAATAGTATGTTACCGAGCACTTGAATCAGGAACAACTATTTTTCAGTTACTTTTCTAGTTTTCATGATCAAGCGACTTATTCCGACATCACTACATTATTAAAATGTGCAGGGGGAACTACATTGTATATGAGTGCACACATTGTGTCGACGTCGCTTTTGGGTTTTCAGCATCATATTGTCAGTTCTTCCATTTCTCCTTGCCAGCAAATGCGCGGCGTGCCGTTCAAGTCAGGCAGTGAAACCACGAATTCATGTGGTGCATGAAGTGTTTGCGTACTTCGTTGAATGACTATGACACAAACAGTCCCCAGCCGAAGGTGATCAGGCTGTCTGTCTATTTTCGGAGAAAGTTCAAAGACTTTACATATGTGATCAGTTTGTACTTGCAATCTTCTTCATTACGTATCTTTTCATATCTGGTTATCATGTCGTTGGCGTGGAATTGCAAAGCTAGGGAGTGGTTCGATTGCATTCAATAGTTGTCTGTACAAGCAGCTTACAATCAGCTTTCACCAGTAGACTTCATCTCCTATTGACTGGGACAGATTATTCGGGATATGAGGAACAAAAGTGAGAAAGTCTGCATGCTACTAGCTCTGCACTTCCTGGCAAGGGAGTATCTGTGCTTCATGACGTGCTCGCTGAAGCCCGTTTACAAGTGTTGCTCTTCCTCCCATCCTTCTAGGCTATGTAACGCTACGTAGCCGATGTCCATACTTTTTGCGACAAGACAATATGAATGAGTTTTAGTCCTCCGTTCGCTAATATGACACGGAATTGAGTCCTACAGGGAGCACTTCGGAAGCTCACACACTCATGCCTTGACAGAGATTAGCCAACGTGAATTTTGCCAGGTACGATGCACCTCCTCGCTCCCTTCGCATTTTACGTCCATTCTTGGAAGGCTTACATGCTTGGCAGGGAATCTGGAAAACCTTCTGATAGATGGGAATGCACGTCTGTATTCATTTCATCAGTCATGAGCAAAAACGCTGTAAGGCCAAGGCACTGGTGGCCACCCCTAACCAATCCAACATTTGTCGCTGAATTTGCAGACAAGGGGTACTGCTTCAAGGCCAGCAGGAAATTGAGGCGGGTCTCTATCGCAGAGTTAATTGCAGTTCACTGACTGATCCTATGCATGTCCTTGCCAGACTCGCAGCACTCGTGAAGACACTCCGCCTCTGGACGACCTTCAGTATATTGTCTCATCGGGTGGACAAGTCGAACATCCTCACTCAATGTAACCTGTCCCTGGCAGCAGGAGCTACCATAAGCCTGTTCGTCCAGTTCATGTACAAGGATCATGAACACGAGCGGGATTGGTAGTTTGCGATGCATATCGTATCGTATTGACGGACCGGCATCCTGCAGGATGAACCATACCTCACGACTATACTGCAATGAAGAGCGCCAAGCTACGAGCGGAATGGCTTATTAGTTTGACAAGGTCTCGGTCTAATTTCCCAGTCGTATTCGCTAGTCGCTACTTGTCCTAATAAGTGATAGAATGAATACGACGTGAATGTCGATCGTATACGAGGTTTGTCTGATCAAACACGAGTTTATATTTAGGTAGCTACAAGACACGCCCACGTGCGTTGATATTCAAGAATGTCTGGATAACGCATTCAGGAGGCTTTTTCTGGCTATGACTATATAATTTCGACCGGTCTCCTGCTATGGCGATACGTTGTCCAGCAACTAGCAACAATGCAATCGATGCGCTTCATCATCCTGGCACTGCTTGTGCAGTTCCTCCCAGCATGGGCAGTCAACGACCCGGCCAAGTCGGCCGCCCCCTACCACGATGAATTCCCTCTCTTCCGCAGCGCCAACATGGCCTCCCCGGATAAACTGTCTACAGGAATCGGCTTCCACTCGTTCCGCATCCCCGCCGTAGTCCGCACCACAACCGGCCGCATCCTCGCCTTCGCCGAGGGCCGCCGGCACACCAACCGGGATTTTGGCGACATCAACCTCGTGTACAAGCGCACCAAGACAACCACGAACAACGGCGCTAGTCCATCAGACTGGGAGTCTCTACGCGAAGTCGTCGGCTCCGGCGCAGGCACCTGGGGCAATCCCACCCCCGTCGTCGACGACGACAACACCATCTACCTGTTCCTCTCATGGAACGGCGCCACCTACAGCCAGCACGGCAAGGACGTCCTCCCTGACGGCACGGTGACCAAGAAAATCGACTCCACCTGGGAAGGTCGCCGACACCTCTATCTCACCGAGTCCAAAGACGACGGCAACACCTGGTCCAAGCCCGTCGATCTCACCAAGGAACTCACACCCAACGGCTGGGCCTGGGACGCCGTCGGCCCCGGCAACGGTATCCGCCTGACAACCGGCGAGCTGGTCATCCCCGCCATGGGCCGCAACATTATCGGCCGCGGCGCGCCGGGCAACCGCACGTGGAGCGTGCAGCGGCTTTCCGGGGCCGGGGCGGAGGGGACGATCGTGCAGACACCCGACGGGAAGCTCTACCGCAATGACCGGCCCAGCGAGAAGGGGTACCGGATTGTGGCGCGCGGAACCCTGGATGGCTTTGGGGCGTTTGCGACGGACACCGGGTTGCCGGATCCGGCGTGCCAGGGGTCGGTGCTGCAGTATAACAGCGATGCGCCGGCGCGGACGATCTTTTTGAACTCCGCGTCGGGGACGAGTCGGCGGGCGATGCGCGTCCGGATCAGCTATGACGCGGACGCGAAAAAGTTCGATTATGGGCGGAAGCTGGAGGATGCGAAGGTTACCGGGGCGGGCAATGAAGGGGGTTATTCGAGTATGACCAAGACGGGAGATTATAAGATTGGGGCGTTGGTGGAGAGCGATTTCTTCAACGATGGCACGGGCAAGAATTCGTATCGGGCGATCATCTGGAGGAGGTTCAATCTGTCGTGGATCCTGAATGGTCCTAACAATTAGATGTCGTCATTTCATCGCGATGGTGGGAAATGTTTACATGTATAGAACCGGCAAGGGAGTGTCTCATCCCTTGCCATCCCTAGTTTGGCAGAAATAAATACTTCCTCCCCTATTCTCTATTCTTCATAATACTTACTCATACGATACACAATAGCTACAAAAATGCATCTCTCCTGGGTCATGCTCTTGGTCGTCTCGGCCGCAGCAAAAAACACCACTGTCAGTAAATCCACTCTCGCTCCAACGCAGCACTGACAGGGATGTTGCAGATCGGGCTGGAAACTATCGAAGAGGGCAGTAAAACGGTCAGCGTGCCTATGGGCGATTGCCATAACATCGATTCCTAGTACGTTTGACATGCAAACAGCGCATGCAGTATGGTGCTGACTGACCGCTACAGTGAGGTGACGACAGTGTCAGTCAAGAAGCCATGTCGATTCTTCACGTACGCCGTCCCAATTGAGTCCTCAAAGTTGATGACTATGCTGACCAAAGCAGAGGCCCCATGTGTATCGGACGACAGACACTGCTGAAACCCGGCGTGCACGAGAGCGACGAACCGGTACCGATCTGGAGTGTGTTTTGCGAGGACGAACCGGAGCATAAACTGGAGCTGTAGCTGTGGCTGCCAGCATGTACGTACAGGAAGGAAGGCAATAATAGCATGCAATCATCGTATGATTTGTGGATATTCTCCTAGAGATCGTTCAGGTATTGGCCGATTATTCCCGTGCAAACAGAGCAACGTTACACAGCAGGTGAATCTAGCTGTCGGGCAGATTTAAATACTGGATATGCCTCTATTTTTGGTCTTCAGCAATCATGCTTCTTGTTTTTCTTTTTGCCCTAGGCGTGGTTGCGTCCTCTGCACTGCCCTGTACGCTCCTCAATGCGCGAGTTCGACGAGAATGGTATGTGATGCTGTCAACAGAGGAGAGCAATATTGATTGAATAGGAGCGTCTTGACACCGCACGAACGACGGGACTACATTGACGCGCTGTTCTGTCTACGATCTCTTCCCTCAATCCTCCCAAATGATCAATACCCCGGAGTCCAGGATCGATTCGACGACTTTGTAGCGTACGTTCCATCCTCTCGTCTACACGCATTGATTCATTAACGGATGGGCAGAACACACATCAATTACACCTCGCACATCCACAACAACGGCCTCTTCCTCCCCTGGCACCGTCACTACCTGCACCTCTTTGAGAACGCGCTCCGCACCGAATGCGCCTACAACGGCACCATTCCCTACTGGAACTGGCCCTCCACCCCAACCTCACCGTCTCCCCCCTCTTCGACAACTCGCCCACCTCCCTCTCCAGCGACGGCACCTACAACCCAGACGAGCGCATTCTCTGCGACGAACAGGTAGGCTGCATCGGCCGAGGCACCGGCGGCGGTTGCGTAACAGCCGGACCCTTCACCTTCCCCTCCTGGAAAGCAAACATGGGCCCGCTGAACCTCCACGGCCTGGACGAGCTGTACGGCCCGCTCGATCCGTCAGCCTTTAGATACAACTCGCGCTGTCTGATGCGCAGTTTTAATGCTGCCCCGCTGCTCCGGTTTGCCGGTGCCGACGCCGTACAGCGGATCCTCGCCGCGCAAACGATCCAGGAGTTTCTAGCGGTGCTGGACCCGAGCACTGCGGGCCGGTTGGGCGCGCATGCCGCGGTGCATGTTGCGCTGGGCCCGACGATGGGGGATGTGTTTTCGTCGGTGCAGGACCCAGCGTTCTTTCTGCATCATGCGATGGTGGATCGGCTGTGGGGGATGTGGCAGGATGGAGGTCCGGAGCGCCGGTATGCGCTGAACGGGACGGCGTGGATGTTTGATCCGCCGTGGGCGACGAATGTGACTGTCGATACGGTCGTGGAGTTTGGAGTGCTCGGTGGGCCGAGAAAAGTTGCAGACTTGATGGATCCATTGGGAGGGGAGTACTGCTATACCTACTCGTGATCTAGTGTATCTGTCTATGCATGTAAAGTCCGTCTCAATGCCATGATTCGCGCTGTCCCGGCATCAAACTCCTCCGTATCCACCTCCCCGTTGTCCAACGCCTTGGTCAATGCATCCACGATCGCCTCGCCCTGCGTGACATTCCTCGCCGACGCAAGAATCAGATCCATCCCGGCCTGCGCAGCAAGCAACCCCCTTGCCGCATCATCGCCGTACGCTCCCAGCGCCCCAGCCTCAATCGCATCCGTGATGGTCACGCCCTTAAATCCAAGCCTTCGTCTCAGCTCTCCCTGAATCCATTTCTCACTCAACCCAGCCGGCTTCTCATCCAATGCAGGATACACAGCCCAAGACGCCATGACCATATCCACGCCCGCCGCAATCGCAGCGCTATACGGCGCTTCATCCACCCGCCGCAATTCTCTAAGCCCAAGGTCAATCCTCACGGGCATGAGATCCGTATTCGCATCTGCGCCTGCAGCCCCAAGACCAGGAAAATGCTTCGCCGTAGCAATCACTTTCTGTCCTTGCTGCGCGGCGATGAACGCCTCCACACAAGAAGCTACCAGCTCGGAAGTATTCCCATACGACCGGCCGTACTCGTCTAGAAAGTTCCCAGATGAGCGATAGACGCCCAGCACAGGCGCCAGATTCGCATTCACGCCGTATTTAGCCAGTGTAGTCGCAGCCTCAGTTCCAGTGTCTGCAGCTGTAGATGCGGGCTCCGCCGACAGACCGACCTGCTTCGCAGAGAGTGTCGGACCACCAGGAAGACGCCGGACTTTGCCGCCTTCTTGGTCGGTCATGATGAGCAGGGGCGTTCCATTGTAGTCTGGGGACGAGGCATAGGTTTTTTGGATGTTGGCGATCGTGGTGGGGAGGTTGGCGTCGATGTTCTCGCCGAAGAGGATGAGGCCGCCTACTTTGCCCGAGGAGATGAGGGTGAGGAGGCTTGCGGGAGGGGAGGGGCCGGGGTAGGAGTAGATTACGTGTGTTGCTGCTTTTACAGTTGTTGTAGTTGTAGTTGCGGTGGCGGTTGCAGTGTAGACTGCGCTGAGGAGGAGGAGTGAGAGTTTCATTTTGATGTGTGCGTGGTTCTTGGTGATGCTGATGGTGAGGAGAGCTGGGAGGTGGAAGTGATATATAAGTACTTTGAGATTCGCTAAATGAAGCCATTCGGGGTTAGATTAGTGCACCCGAGGTTGCATGATCGGCGGTTTAGGTGGTATAGTCTGGTCATTGGGGATACTAATTGGTTGATATACGATGATACGATGCTATACGAGCGCATAGAAATACACTCAAATGAACGAGTACTGACGGTGCAGCATAAGATGTATCTGACCAGTCCTAGTGTGACGGTGTGAGCCTGTGATGAAGCAGATGGATAGATAGCCCTAACTTACTTTCAGCAACAACAATAACCTCATCTTCACCGTAGATACTCATCTCCCGGAAATCAATGGACCCTCCGGCCAATTCAACCCAGCAAACCTCTTCACCACATCACGAATAACCTCATAACAAGCCCCAACCCTCACCACCCGCATACTCTCAAAATCCACCATGGTCGAACTCGCCCGCGGCCAACCGTCCCTCACCCGTCCATAATCAACCACAATATCCGCCGCCTCGCGAACCTCCTCCTCAATCTCCTCCACCACCGTCTTCGTCCCTTGCCCGGTGAGATTCGCACTCGAACCTAGCAACGCCGTGCCGGCAGCAGCAGCCACCCGTACCAACTCTTCCTGGAATGGACCCCCGTTGACAAGCATGGCCATCGTGCCGTCCATCAAACTCGCCGACAGCGTTTCTGCGTCTAGTCTCGTGATTAACGGGTGATCATGCCGGAACGGAGCGATCACCCCAAGCGGGAGGTTGAGATCCACGGTCAGCAAGCGCACGAGATCCATTTTGTCCGGCGGAAGGACATGGATCTCGCGGTGGAGCGCGTAGCTGCCTATGATAGCGTGGCGCTTATGGGGCTGGCGACGCTTGACTGTGTAGATGCGCTGAAGTGCGGGAGCCTTTGTGGCTATTATCCCGTAGCCGACGCTGGAGGGGATGATGCCTATCCCGCCTTGGGCGAGGACGGAGAATACGCGGGCTGCGTCGGTGGGGATATCAATAGTCGTCCGCATTGCTTCGCTATTGCACTATGAGTGACTTTGGGAAAGAAGATCTATCCAAGCATACTACAGCGCAGGGGGAGAGGTTATATACTGGGAGCCAGTCGTACATGTACAACATCAACGATCCATTGACTTGTGTACTCCGTACAAGGTACAGGATGCTAGGCTACTGAGTAACCTTGAACAGCGCACGCTCAGACTCAAACTCCCCCCTCTGGTCAAGCTGCTGCAGCTGCGAATCCGTCACTTGGTCGCGCGGACACTCCCAAATCCCATGCCAGATGCCCTTGGCCTGCACTGCGTACTCGTGTCCTTCTTCTAGTGGCACATGCGGGATGGTGATCGTCCGCTCCATGGAGCTCTCCGCGGGGATTTCGACCAGATCGTCTCGCGAGGGAGGCAGCTGGCGGTTGAATTTGATGGTGTCGAGGGTGATGGGATGATCGGTGGTGGTGTCGTTGATTTGGAATACGCCCAGGAGGTTGGCTTTAGGGTCGAACGGGGTGCCCCAGTTGAGGAAGGTCACTGGGGTGTTGGCTTGGTTGTGGATGGCGATGTTGATGGGGAGGCTGATGGGTTGAGTGGCCGAGGGCGGGACGGGCGAGAGGATTACTTGGAGGTTTGTCATGTCGTGTCGTCGTTCTCGTTCAGTTCGTCAGTTGTCACTTTGTCAGTTGAGATGTGAAATGAAATAATGTCTATCTGATGCTGGAAGTGCCGGAGGACACTGTGGAGGGGTATGGAGAGGAGGGACGAATGATGAAACCCCAAGCTTTACATGAAGACAGCAATCCACCAATTATATACACAGCGGGAATTGCCAAGCTTTAAGGAGGAAGATAACTGGAAATGGAAGAGGGGAGGTGAAACAGGAAGTCTTGGGTTGCATTTCGTCAGTATCAGCCGGATATTAAGGATTGATAAAGTGGTCATGATCGGCACTTTAATCTATGCTTCTGTCTCTTTCAGTCAATGATGCGAGTCAGTCCCGGATCTCTCTGACAATCTGGAGTCGATGAATCCACTCGTTTCACTAATTCTCAGGGGCACCTCAGGGTCTGACCGTCTGAGTCTAGATACAGCAGATCATGTCTAGACACATCGTCGTGTCAATCAGCGGTCAACCAGTACATTGTCATCAGTATGTGAATATCAACAACACAAAAACAATACTGATATGATCACGATACTGAATGATCACACCGGACTCTTGCCGAAGACCTAGTGAATGAAGACTTACCCGGCAGACAGACGTCTTATCTCGACACAGACACTCCTCTTCAGGCATACGGACTGCCGGCTAAACTTCTTCATCATTTACATGCCGGACCAACCCTCTTGGCGTTCCAATCCAAAGCGTCAACGCTGATATACCTCGAGCAAATAAGAATCTCGTCCCCCTGAATAAACGGTCCTCCGGCGGGCCAAGCATACTCCTTGGCCTTTTCTCTTGGCCGCGATAGTGATGCTTCAAGACGCCTCGCGGAGTGGTTATGTCGGCATGTAAAACGCCATGGCGGTCTTCAGACAATTGAGGTCTTGTCATCCTGTCCAGTCGAGATTCGAGACTGGCAGACGGGGTAGATGTAACCTCCTTTTTTGGGCATATCTCCGTTCGTTCCAAGACTTGTTCCTGATATCTATACTTCGGTCGCCAGTATCTGGAGGTCTATAAATAGGAGGATGGTCCCAGGTCGGTCTGACAGAAGCATCAGCGAGAGCAAGAGCAAGAGCAAAAGCACAGCACCGCATCAGAAAGCTTCTCAATCCAGTTCAATTCATCATGAAGGTCACTGTTCTCGCTTCTGCCATTCTGGCCCTCATCAATGGTGCTCTCGCTCTTCCTGCCAACGCCCCGACCCTTGATGTCACCCTGACCCAGGTCGACAACACTCGCATCAAGGCCACCGTCAAGAACAGTGGCAACGAGGAGGTCACCTTTGTGCATCTCAACTTCTTCCAGGATGCTGCTCCTGTCAAGAAGGTCTCGCTCTTCCGCAATGGTATCTCCTCTTCCGACACCCACCCCTCCACCCCAAGACAAGACATACTAACAAGTCAGCCACCGAGGTCGAGTTCACCGGAATCAAGCGTCGCCTCCTCACTGAAGGCCTCTCTGACGATGCCTTGACCACCCTCGCGCCCGGCGCCACTTTCGAGGACGAGTTCGACATCGCCAGCACCGCCGACCTCACTGAGGGTGGCACCGTGACAATCCGCACCGACGGTGTCGTCCCCATGGCCACAGACCGCAAGGTCTCCGGCTACATCCCCTACCAGTCAAACGAGATCGAAATCGAGGTTGACGCCGCAAAGGCCGCCAAAGTGCCCCAGGCCATCAAGCTCCTTGACCGCCGCACAAAGGTCACCTCCTGCTCCGGCACCCGCGCCTCGGCCCTCTCCACGGCCCTGCGCAACACCGTCTCCCTCGCCAACGCCGCCGCCAGCGCTGCCTCCTCCGGCTCCTCTGCCCGCTTCCAGGAGTACTTCAGGACCACCTCCAGCAGCGCCCGCGAGGCTGTCGCCGCACGCTTCCGCGCCATTGCCAGCGAGGCGTCCTCCCAGTCCTCCGGCAAGACTACCTACTACTGCACCGACCCCTACGGCTACTGTGACTCCAACACCCTCGCCTTTTGTCTTCCCTCCAGCAACGTCATCGCCAACTGCGACCTCTACTACTCCGATCTCCCTGCCTTGACCCGCTCCTGCCACGCCCAGGATCAGGCCACCACCAGCCTGCACGAGTTCACCCACGCCCCGGCCGTCTACTCGCCCGGCACGGACGACTACGCTTATGGCTACCGGGCTTCCACCGCCTTGAGTGCCAGCCAGGCGCAGCTCAATGCGGATAACTATGCCCTGTTTGCTAATGGTACTCCCTTTCCCTCTCCTCTTCCCCCTCATTCCACTTTCAAGTGCTCAAACTAACATGGTACAGCCGTGAACCTCAACTGCTAGACAGTCCGAAGACAGTCACAAGAAACGAGAGATGAGATAGTGCAAGTTCACTTTTAACATACAAGTCAATTCATTCATGTTCATACTTCATAGCATACCATAATCATCATTTCAACCATAACCATAAGCATAAGCATACCCCTAAGCTATTTAGGCACCATTGTTAACCCTCCGACAAATCCCTTCGAGGCATTTACTCCCACTATAGCAGCAATCCGCATCACCCCCACACAACTGGAAATCCTCCGCGCAGCCCGGCCACTTGGGATTCGTGGGCCGGCATTTCGTCGCGGCGCAGTAGCCCGAGCAGCAGGTGAGACCGGTGCCGAACGAGCAGGATTCTAGTCGACTGTCAGCTGGCCAGTGATTCTCATATGTAGTGAGAAGAGTGGAGGGGACTTACGGTATACCCCTAGGCAGGTCGGGGCGGGGATACAGGTTGTTAGGCTTGAGGAGGGTGAGGTGCGGGCGTAGGTTGTGCAGGTGCTTGGGGAGGGACAGGGTTTGTCGCCGCAGAGGTTGTTGGGGCAGCCGGGGGATGCTATTTTCATTAGTATTCTCTCTGTAGGATTGTAGTTGGGTGTATACCTGCTGCGAGGCTGAGGAAGAGGATGGTGGGAGTGAGGTTGGTGAGATGCATTGTGCTGTGTTTACTTTGGTTGTACTTGTGATGGTGATGGTGGTGATGTGCGGGTAGATGGTGAATATATATATCTACATATAGATCAGTGTGTCTATGTCTTACATCACGATGTATGACATGAACACCTGACAGATGGCCTGCCGTCGGCCACTGACTGTCAGAGTCAATGCTGTTGGTTGCGTTTCAGGGTGTTTGAGACCTGTCGAATTGGAGGTTGTCCACCTCGTATAGAAAGGTTGCTTCCATGTCATGACGCGAATATGTCAGAGGCAGTAGGTCTGAGCTGATGCTTTGCTTGCGGATTCTGAACACTAATGATTAGGAGTATGTATTCGTTTAATAGAGGCGATTGGAGGTCTGGTTGCAGCACAGCGGTTGTTAAACCTGTTTGAGATACAAGTCGAGGTTGTTTAAAATAGACAGAGCACAGAGCGTAGATGCAAGACGCAAGTAGCTCGACGCATTGCAAGCTCCATGTCTCTATCAAGATGCAGGAATACTGTTACATCTCGTGCTCATCAACTGTATATCAAAGTACCACCAAAGAGAAATGCTATCTATCTTCCGTATCATTACATTCTGCTGCTCAATTATCGAAGGCTGATCAGCTTTTTAATAGTACAGTAACAACGGCTATATACATACACTATCATACACCACCCCAACTTTATCACGTAAATCTAAACAACCCCCGAAGCCTTTTCCCCACTCTCCCCAGAAATCCCGCCCCGGGGCCTCTTCAAACTCCTTCACGACATTGTCGTAGTGGTCCGGGTTCGTCGCCGGCCGCCGCAGCTTCGGCGGTAACGGATACCGTCTCGCGTAGCGGTCTTCCAGTAATGACGAGAGGGCATTCAGCGAGGCCTCTGAGATTTCTGTTTTGGGGGATGGCTGTGCTTGTTGGGGCTGCGCTTGTTGCGGTTGTGTGGGTTGAAGGCGGGATTGGAGGTAGGTTTGGACGGAGACGGAGGCCGGGCGGACGGCGTCAGTAGGCCAGTGTTTGAGGAGATGAGAGATGCGGTTCTGTATTGTCTGGGGGTTTAGAGTCTGCAGCTGTTAGTATGGTCTTTACATGGTGGTGTGGACTATGGACTCACTGGTTTGCTCATAATGATAACTGATGTGTTTTTGTCTTTAGTAATGCAAGAACAGGTAATTTAGCCCAAAAGATTCTGAGAGACGATCGGAGAATCAAAGGTAAGGCGATACTTAGAGCTGGGGTTCTGTCGAGCTTTGATAAAACAGATGATGGATTGATGATATCGGAAAATCGGAGATGCCCCAGATTCCAGGCCACCATTTCAGCCACAGGAACCACACCAGCCACAGTGATGTCCAGTCACCGCCACCGCTGGCTGCCTGATTAGTGAGGAGATTACGGAGACGGCGGTCGATCCCCTTCCATCCACATCCTAAGTCCACGCCTCACAAGTATCATATCGACTGTTTCCTGCATCTCTCTGCACATTCTTTCATCTGCTTCTTTCTGTCTGCTTTCTCTCTGTCCCACAGTTGTCATTTCTTTTGTCGCAGTCCCGAGTGTCTCTACGTGCACCTGCTCAGCTCGTCATGAGCTCGCAGCGTTATCAAAGGGTAGGCAGCACTTCATCTATATAGACGTATTTATATCGATCCCCTAAAGATACTGACTACTTCCAGGTTAATGCCCATGACGAGGACGACGAGGTTGATTCCCATTCGTCGATTCCTTTGCAAAACGCCCCTTCGCCCTCGTCTCCGCCGCCCTCGTTCCACTCTCGTTCCTCTTCCTTCTCATCAAGAAGACTTCTCCAGAATGACCCCCATCGAAGCGATGCAGACCAGACTCTTGCCGACGCCTTTGGTGACGCCAGCGATTCCGAGGGTGATGACGAACCCGATGACCGACAGCGACTGATGCGGGCCCATCCGGAGCAGCCAGCGGGCAGTGGCGGAGAGGGGGCCCCTTCATCTGCTGCCAGCAACGAACAACCATCACAGAGAAACCCGTCGAGCTCGACGCTTCAGAGACGACCAACAATACTGCCCAGTTTCAGCACACCCTCGTCAGGCGCAGGTCGCGTGATCAGTTCGTCAAATGACGGAGTCTTTGCCAACCTGGCGGCCAAGCCAGAACGGGGAGAGAAGAACGAGGATCTGCCTCCGGTAAGCATACTATCTGATAGTGATATATTCAGGATACTGACGTCTATAGTCCTACGAAGAAGCAGCTGCAGACGCCACCCCTCCGTACTGGGAGACTACCATCTTGGCTCCCGGCATCTCGTCTGATGAGGTTTATGTGGATGGACTGCCGGTCGGCTCGATCTTCTCCTTCGTTTGGAACGCCATGATCTCGATGTCCTTCCAACTGGTCGGCTTCCTCCTGACCTACCTCCTTCACACCACACACGCCGCGAAAAACGGCAGCAGAGCTGGTCTCGGCCTTACGTTAGTGCAGTACGGTTTCTACATGAAAGGGGGGAGTGATGGGGGATCTGACGGTGGTGCGGACTATGTTCCTCCTCCGGATCCCAACAGCCACAGCTTTGATCCAACTTCAGTGTCTGACGGTTCCGGTGGCAACGGCGGAAGCGGTGCGATATCCGACATCACAACGAGCGAGTGGATTTCGTATGTCTTGATGATTGTCGGTTGGTTCATTCTGATACGCGCCATCAGCGACTTCTTACGGGCCCGGCGGCATGAGCAACTGGTACTACAAAGCCCCGAGCGTGGTCTCAGCGTTCCGGTCATCGCGGAAGGCGAACGGTCCGAGACGGTTGTATAGGACAGCATCCAATCGAGACAGGTCATTCCATCTCGAATAGGTACAGAACAGCGGATCATTCAGCGGACGGATTGGAGTTCATATATCTGATATCCTTGGTTTATCTGGTCGGGCAATGGGACTTGGGCCTTCTCTCCTTCATTTTTAATCACGTCTCATTCAGTAATTATGAATTCAGCAACGGGCATAGTTTCTTTGTAGCTATTTTCGTTTCAAGATACCAATTCGATGGAATTTGACTTGTGCCATTGGGTCCATAGATCTGCATTCGTACTACTCCAGGCAGCGATTTTCGTAGATTCGCCGCACCTTACGTGTCTCGTACTCCAAAGAAAACTTGTCTTTTCCGATCCTTGTTATTTCTAGACCTATCTCTACTTGGCCGGTCATCATTTCTCTCGATCTACTGCAATCCATGCAGATCCTCGCTGATATATAATCTCTTGGCGGTTCCTCCGCAACGGCCCAATCCTCCCGGCTTCTCCGCGATTGTTTGTTTTTGCCCAGGAACAGCCCTCCCAAGACCCTTTCAGGCGGCCAGTACAGCTCATTCCGTGCGCCCCGTCACCTACCTGCCACTGCGACTGTACATAGTCAATCAAATGGCCATGGTGGACGGTGCGGCGGACGCAGCTTCTGCATCCTCCCCCGCCTCGGTCCATCCCAATATCCCTCAGCCTCCAGTCGAGGCTCGTTCGCTCTCGTCCATCACTACCATCGCCTCAAACCCACCGGCCTACCCTCGGAATCCGGCGCAAAAGAAGCTAGATCCTCTCGTTCTCTATATCGTGCGCGTACCTGGAAGCAAAGGTATTTCCTAGGAACTGCCCCGCGCCTGTCATTCAAGTCTACTGCATTTGGGGAAGACCGACCGTTCTGACTCGAATAGATGTATTCCTCTCGCCATTGAAGCCTCCGACGAAATCAAGCATCTCCGCAGAAGCCATCAACGCCTCCCTTTACTACCTTCATGTTGCGACGCCAGAGGACGAACTCCTGTTGCAGGAGGTTGAGGAGGAGCGGGAAAAACAGGCGAAACTACGAAAGGAACAATGGAGCGACGGAGCACCGCCAGAGTTTGCGCGATTGAACAATGTCCGGCGAAAGCCTGTACCGGGTGGTCCTCTTCCACAGATACCATTGCAGCAGGAGAATTACTCGCCGTACTCTGCTGCGGTCGACTCTCCGCCTCCGCCGACCCCGCCCCGTCCGACGCTTCGTCAAGGCTTTCCTAGTTCGGAGTCAGCTACCGCTGTTTCGGACATCTCCGACCATCTGGGCGACTCGCGTGGAGATACAGGAGAGACTAGAGCATCCCCGTTACCGCGCAGGCCTCTGCCGTTTGTGCCAACAGAGGAAGCTTCTTCAGATTCGATCAACAACAGTCCGGCGAAGAAGAGTAATCGATGGAGCGCCCTATCGGGGTATCTCAACAGTAAAGGGCTCGATAACTGGAAGGAGAAGTATGAAGCCTTGTCCGCAGGACGTATTAGTCTGGATGCCGGTCGGCCCGAACTACGACCGCATACGTCTGACGGGGCCGGGTCGAATGCTCGCCGAGCATCGCCGTCAAGGAGCCCAGGGCAGTCTCCGCACAGAAGGCCGCGCGAGCATGGCCAGGCCTCAGATCGACAGGGATTTCATATCACTCTCATCCGCCGCGATCCCACTCACGGCATTCAATGGAACGTTGCGACCATCTCCACGTCCAAGACGGACCGCACCGTGGTCAACATCGAGGTCTCGACACCGGGGTATAACCGGTTCCTAGCCCAGGATGAGCCTTTTTCCCTGCAGAGTCTGGGCATAAACCTCCCGTCAGACGGACAGTCTCTGCCCTCATCCACGCTCAAATTTCCTACACAGGCGCACCCTGAAACACGGGCCCTGGACCCGTCCCTGCCGCGCAAATTCCGCCGCCAGCTCTGCGTATCGCGGCCACATCACCACAGGGACGACTCGCGAGGCTCCCTGGATATGCCTACCAACAGAGCCTCACTGGACACCTTCACTGGCAGTCCGACCCGGCCGCACCACCAAGCCCACTCCAAGCTGAAAAGCGGCTACTACACCTTCACCTCCCCCTGGAACGGCATCTGCACCTTCTCCACCAGCGTCAACGGCCGCAGCCTCAAATGCAAGCACATGATCCCCACGCCCTCATACCCAGGCAATGGAACGAACCTCTCCACCCCCAGCGCTCCAGCCGTGACCGTCGCAGAAATCCGCTTCAACACCCCTTTCCAAGCCGGTCATCACCACCACCACCCATCCAACTCCGCCCACATCTCCCCTTCACCCTCAGCCAGACCTCCTCAGACACCCCAGGCCACTCTTCCTCTCCAAGCCAAACATCCCATCCCAACGGACACGGGGTCATCCCTCCTCAAAACGCAACTCTTTCGCCCACCTCCTCAACCCAACAACCTACACCAGACCCCGCTCCCACTCCGGCACCAGCGTGAGCACCTCCTCCGTCTCATGCATACCGGGGCACACACACCCACACAGACAAAGACAAACCCACACCCGCAACCCCTCCTCAAGCAGCACCAGCAGCGGCGCTGCAGACGACCCCGACCCCGACCGTCTCGACTTCTCTCTCGCGCGCGAACCAGCAGGCGGGGGACTCCGCGGCAAAAGCGCCAAACTAGGCAAACTAATCATCGAAGATGAGGGGATCAAGATGTTGGATTTGGTGGTTGCGGCGTGCATGGCTGTTTGGTGGAGGGGGTATTATCATTAACCTTGACTTGACTCTAGGTAGACTTAGCCTTGTTTTGGTTTGGTTTGCTTGCGGAGCAACTTATGTTTTGGATAAATAGTTGGTCTATATGCTGTCGCCATATATTGAAGATTTGATAGGATAGGGTAGGATGGGGAGAGGGTGGTTATGTAAAGGAGGTACTTGATTGTATATGATTGGATGATAATGATTGATGCATGTTTTGTTTATAGAGTTTCTGTTGAATTGATGGGTCATGTATGTACTTTACTGAGCTTGAGCTTTCGAGGCGAACACAATGTGTGGTCATGTATCTGCATTACATTGGCACCGGTATGGACATAGTTCAGTTTCATCCAGACTAGGATGGCTACTTATTTTGCTATATATATATAGTGATTTGAGGTACTAGTGGGAATGCCCTAAGAACAGAGGTATAGTTGAAGTGATGATATACTAAGTTTATGAACAGTGCAGCAATTGACATGATACCGAGACATCCTCCAACGACAGCAAACGTCTATTGGACATCCATCCCCCGCTGCAATGACGATTCCAGATCGTTCGCGTGGCCGCCCGCGGCGTGCACCTCCTGAGGCTTGGGCTCCTCCTGCTTCCAGCCTCCCTGCTGGTGGTCAGGGATGGGGACATTGGTCTGTTGAGCAATCTGCTGTTGCTGCTGCTGTGCGGCAGCGGCGGCCTGCGCCTGGGACTGCTGCCGGACGAGGTTGCGGAAGCGCACCACTTCGTCGTAGATCATCTTGCGCATCTCCTGCACGTCGTCGACGACCTCGAAGTGGAAGTCGAATGTCGTCGGGCAGGTGGGCTCGTCGGAGGCGTCGTGCCAGATGTGCAGGTATGGGTGTTCCAGCGCTTCCTCAACGGAAATACGCGACGCCGGGTCAAAGGCCAGCATGCGGTCGAGCAGGTCGAGAGCGTCGGGGTTGGCGTTGGGGAACAAACGCTGGAAGGGGATCTTGGGCATGAACGGCAGGTTGCGGACGTATTCCTGCGCACGAGGGGATCCAATGCGGCTGAGAGTCTCCTCGTTGGGAGTACCCAGGTAGTGCAGGATCTGGTTGAGCTGGTCGACGTAGTCCCGGCCTTTGAAGAAAGGACGGCCGCCGAGCAGCTCTGCCAAGATGCATCCTACGGACCACACATCGACTATGATCGTCAGCATACCGGCAGTCTAATCGCAACGGAAATGAGTCACGACATACTAGCTTTGGTGTAGCTCTGGAAGCTCAGCATAATCTCAGGAGCACGGTACCACCGGGTCGCAACATATTCAGTCATGTAGCCGGCGTTCTCCTCGGGGTCGATCGAAAAACCACGTGCCAGACCGAAATCGCAGATCTTGAGCTCGCAGTCCGCGTTGACCAGCAAGTTACCAGGCTTCAGATCTCGGTGCAAGACATTGGCGGAATGGATATACTTGAGTCCACACAAAATCTGGTAGATGAAAGATTGAAAGTGTGCGTCGGTCAGGGGCTGTCCCGAACGGATGATAGCGGCCAGGTCACATTCCATCAACTCTGCGTAAAATCAATCAGTGGCTGCTACGCACCATAGCCGTCGTCACACTGACCTTCGTATAGATAGGTTTCGTTGAAATTGTCTGGTCGTGGAATGTCCATATCGTATAGACAGGTGATCTGCAGTACCGATCAGCCCTACCGATCTTATGAGCAAACAAGCAATTGACGTACATTGCGGTGGCCGCGGAAGTGCTGCAGAAGCTTAATCTCTCTCAATGCCCGCTTGGCCAGAATTTTCTTGCTGAAGACATTGGTAACCTTCTTGATAGCGACGCCCTCGCCAGTATGAACATTCGTGGCAGCACTACAGTCGAATGATCGTCATCAGTACTTAATTCAATGGTAGATCCACGACTCTTGACCACTCCTTCTGATGTAGCTCTGCCGTAACAGCCCTCTCGACTGATACAGACAAAAACAGATACCCCGGCCCAGCCTTGAGAATGCAGATAACCTACCAGACGATACCGTACGCACCCTGGCCCAGCTCCTTGGTCACATTGTACCGTTCATCCACGACAAAGTCTTGATTGAAGACCTTGAAGACCTTCCGACCCTGTAGATCAGACATGACTCAAATCCGACAGCTTTTTTTTGTCCTGGAGCGACCGGCGTATGATCGACGAGAAAAGTCGGGGCGGAGAATCGACAGACGAGTGTCGTATGTGGCCGGACTGGAAGTCAAATCGCAATGCTTCTGTGCCAACGAGAGTGAAGACGAAGCGGGTATCTCAATGGAGCAAAAGTCGCAGCTGAAATTGCCGAACAAATTTAAGGAGAAAAGAGATCCGGTGCACCTGAGACAGGCTTGGTGGAAAGGGAGCTGTCAGTAGTTCGAGCCCCGCAGTACAATGTGCAGCCGCAGGAACAGATCGAAACCTCGGTGGAGCGACGGAAAGAGGGCAAAACAAAAAATGAAAGGTGTTCAAAAGGAGAATGAGGGGTAGGAGAGGAGGAGAAGGAAGAGAGCAGGGAGGGTTAAAAGGAGAAATAGAATGTGTTTTGATGTGAAGCTGCGCAGCTGGGGATGTGACGGGGGAGTTAATTAAGGAATGATTGGGGCCTGCAGCTGCTGGAGCGCCGGGACGTGCATCAGCTTAATCAATAATCAATAGTAATCACAGTGCTCCGCCGCAGTTGTAGAGAAAGAAAGGGAGACACCATCAAGATGATCCTAAATCATGATAAAAAATATATATAAAAGAAATGAAAGAGGTCCTGCATTTACGGCGAGTTCATGCTACAAAAAGGACTTGATGTCAAAGAGAAGAGGTGACATCGAGAACAAAGGAAGATAGATGCCTGAGGGCCGTCCGAGACAGAAGAGGGGCTGCGGTGGGGATTCCCAAGGCTCCATATTCCATATTCCATAATGGATGGCTCTTCTGTCGTGAAGCTTAGCCAGCCAGGAATCACAGCGCTGAGCAGCCTGATCATACGGCTCGAAGTCTAGAACAAAGGGCAAACTCAATTCGACAGTTTATTATTCGCTACGTAGCCAGAGACATCAAAGTAACAACAACTCCGCCATTGCTAAGTCGCATCAGAACAAAGAACGAGTATGCTTCGACCTTAATGCTAGAAGTCTCTGAGAGTATTCTGTACCGATAAGACATTCAACGATTTTTGTAGAAGAACTTGGACAGAAGGCAACGTCACCCAGATGCAGGTGTCCAGACTACTTCCAATACTTCGGGAGGCTTCTCAGGCCCCAAGTCATGAATATAGACCTGTCGAACAGACCCTGCGTGTTGAGTTGCGTTCTGCAAGCGAAAGGACACCTTGCCTTCATCCCTTGGGCGAAATGGACCCAGACTGAATGCGAAGCCGTCCCCGCCTCTGTATTTACTATCCTCCCAGGTCTTCTCCATCAGATCAACATTCCTGGGTGAAGTATACTTAATCATGGAGAACCCGTTCACGAGGAACCAGTTGTCCTTCAAGCGCCAACGGTGCAGTTGACAAGCGTCGCCGCAGACGGCCGCAACCTGGCCGAGCCCAACCATATCTGCATGGAACCATGATTTCCAGTGATGGACCGACAGCGGCAGCGGGCGACCGGACTCGTAGAAGCCAGAAGCATCCCCTTGGAGGTCCAGCTGATACAGGTCGCGGTCCCAGGTGAGTTTCGTGTGTGTGTGCGTGTAGATGCACCTGGCGACTCTTCGGTCGCCGGTGGTTTTGAAGCTGTTGCAATCATCGTACACCTTGTCGAGTTGCTCAAGGAGTGGTATTGAGAGGAAGATCCCACCACCTCCAAAGGCCATATAACTCCAACTGAACACTTGTGCGAGATCCTCCGTCACAGCCCCGACATACTGTGGCTTCGTCGCGTCGTAGGTTGCGAGTCTGTCCACCAGATTCCGCATAGAAGGGAAGAAGGTGTCGTCGTCGATCAAGACAGCCCACTGCGTCGATGCATCACGGTGCTTGAGCAGAACCCGGAGTAGAGAGAAGTACTGATCCAGTCGCTCCTCATCCGATAGAATTATAGTCAAACGGACATCCAATTCCTTGGCTCGTTGCTGCACCCTTCTTATTGCCGAGCCATCGTCGGAGTCCACCGAAGCATATATGCGAGCGTCCGTTCCTGCCGCCCAGTGTGCAAATGCAGGCAGGGAATCATCCAGCCTTCCCAGTGTTGTCGCAACGCCGAACAGGATGTGGGACGCGTTGGGTGGTGCGACCGGTAATGGAGCTTGAATGGTCACTGCGGGAGAGCATGTCTCCGGTGACAACGGTGCTTCTTGCTCGGCTGTGTCCAAACGAATCTTCTGATAAGCGGGGAAACGAGTAGGCAAGGTGTCAGAGAATCCCGTAAAATTCGCTGTCCGCCTCACGGCTATCTCGAGCCGTGCGTATTTCGCAGTAGAATTGTACCCGTGAGATCTCAAGAGGTCGAGGTCGACATAGCAAGTGCCTTTGTTTTCTATTTCGTTGTTGCTGGAGGGTAGCGAGGGAACGAGGCCAATATCAGAGGGACTGACAGGTCTGGAGTAGAACACGAGGGAGGCGGACACCAAGATGAAGGCGGCAGCGAGGGCAAAAAGTTTCAGTGGGGATGCATGTCGCAATTGACTAAACGAATGAAGGCGCTGCATGATGATTCAAGCATGACTGTTGATGTTAGATATCGCCTGCTTGCAGTGAAGTCAGGACTCGCTAAAAAAGGAGCGCAAAATAATGGCCTACCATCTCCCCTTCTCCCTTGCCAATGCCAACGCCAGAGATGATCTTGGCAAATACGACCTGGTGTCGTTGATGGCGACTAGTCTACCCTTGACCAGACTGACCAGTCACTATCACCACTTTGATTAAGGGGTGATCAAAATTGCATAGGCCCACAGTACTCATGGTGGGACCACCAGTTGGTATTTAGCGATTCATGCAGGCTGCTTCGATGTATCTACTGTCCAAAATACATGGTCAGAGAACCCCAAGTTTTCTAGATCAGAACTCTCTTCATGTCTTTATCGCTAAATACTCCAGATCTACTTTTCTGTAAGAGAGGCAAATCAATGCCTACGTAAGTCATAAACCTCTACGCGAGATCGCTGGCCGTAAAAATAGCGGCCCTCGAAATACGCCAACCAATAAACGCTAGATACCAGTGTCGAATCCTCTACAGAGCATTCACCAGTCTGCGCTCCTTTCTCAGAGCCCGGAGCTTCTGGCGAGCCTCTTCAAGAGGAACCATGACGCCCTTGTGCTGTGTAGCAGGGTCGTCACGGTTACGGATGTTGACAGAGCGAGACTCCTTTTCTTGAGCGCCGACGACTACCCAAAGTCAATACCGTCCAGGAAAAAGATGAGGATTCGCGATAAGACTTACCAAAGATGAAGTTGTACTGCGCTAGCTGACCAGTACGGATCTTTTTCTGCATGGTGTTACCACTGATGTCAATGTCCACATTCAATTTATCGCCACGCAGGATTTGCTGCAGCTCTTCAACATAGTCGTTCACAGCAGGCATGACGGGGACAATCAGAATCTGACGAGGACTGATCCAGAATGGCCACTTGCCGCCAAAGTGCTCAATCAAGATACCCAAGAAACGCTCAAAGCTACCAATGATAGCTCTGTGAATGACGACGGGGCGCGCCCGACCCGGACCAGGCTCGTTGGACTTGGTCTCGCCTTCCTTCTTAGACTCTTCCATAACAGCCTGGCCCTTCTCGTTGGTCATGTACTCGAGCTTGAAGTTGATTGGTGCCTGGTAGTCCAGCTGGATAGTAGCACATTGGAACTCTCTCTTGAGAGCATCAGCAATGGTGATGTCGATCTTAGGACCATAGAATGCACCATCGCCTTCATCAATCGTCCAGTCTTTACCCTTGAACTTGGTCATCGCAGACTTGAGCTGCTCCTCGGCATAGTTCCAGGTCTCGAGGTCACCGAGATACTTCTCTGGGCGAGTGGAAAGCTTCAGCTTGAACGTAAAGCCGAATAGTCCGTAGATGGACTGGAGGAAATCAAAGAGACCCTCGATCTCGGAGGCAATCTGCGACCAGTTAGTTGACTATAGGACATGAAGTTTGCTGTAAGATCCCTCCTCACCTGATCATGGGTGCAGAAGATGTGGGTATCGTCTTGCTGGAACTTGCGCACACGGGTCAAGCCGCTCAAAGCACCGGAAGCTTCGTTACGGTGCAGAACACCAAAGTCCGCAATTCTCAGGGGGAGTTCTCTGTAACTCCTCTCGCGGTGGCCGAAGAGCACGAAATGGCCCGGGCAGTTCATGGGCTTAAGTGCCCATTCTCTTTTCTCCACGTCAAGCTTGAACATATCATCCTTGTAATGCGCCCAGTGACCAGATGTCTTCCAGATGCCGACGTCGTACATGTTGGGAGTCTGAACTTCCTGGTAGCCGCGCTTGCGGTACTCAGCCCGCAGAAGAGCCTGGAGCGAATTGAAAATCTTAGTTCCGTTGGGAAGGAGGAAAGGACAGCCTGGAGAAACTTCATCGAAGAAGAAAAGCTCCTGGTCCTTGCCGATTCTCAAGTGATTGCGCTTCTCCGCCTCCTCCAAGAACTTCAGATGTTCCTGCATCTGCTTCTTATCGGGGAAAGCAACACCACGGATACGTTGCAGAGAGTCGTTAGTCTGATCACCAAGGAAATATGCGGAAGAGTTCTGGATATAGCAATCAGCAATGGACTCGGCAAAACGGCTTCCGCAGGATCGTGTTCATACCTGCATAATCTTGAAGGTCTTGATCTTTCCAGTGTTCTGGATGTGGGGCCCTCTGCAAAGGTCGACCAGGGTACCGCATCTATAAACGGTACTCTTTTCTCCGGTGACAAGCTTGTCAATGTAGTGCAGTTTATATTTGCTGTAGGCAAACATTTTCTTGAGGTTTTCCTTCGTAACCTCCAATCGGTCGAAGCTTTGCTTTTCCTTGAAGATCCGCGACGCTCTGCTATCCAAGGCCGGCCAGTCACTCTCTCGTACAACACGGCTATTCTCTAGAGTCAGACTCGTATTCCATCACGAGGCACACGTAGGGGAAAGTAGGCATGGCAAACTGACTTGTCAGGCATGGCCATATCGTAGAAGAAACCTTGAGGAGTAGGAGGTCCGTGGGAGAGTAGGCATCCATATTCGCATTCGCATGCTTCACCCAGGCAGTGCGCGCTCGAATGCCAGAAAACATCCCGACCTTCGGGGCTGTCGAACGGAACATAAGAGACGGTGCAGTCGCGCTCCAGAGGGCGGTTCAAATCCCAGAGCTCCTTGCCATCAATTTTCGCGAGAACGACATTTGCGCTGATATCCTTGGGGACGTCTCTCAAAAACGATCCGGGGGTGGTCTCCCAGGCTTTGGCGGGGACAGGAGAGGGGTTCCCGTCGCCGAGATCGAGAAGGACATTAATTTCCGGGTGAGGCTTGTTCTTGAGCTCTTCAAGATACTGTTGCCACAATTCTTCAAATAGCTTGTTCCGTTCAATTATGAAATCGGGGAGAGAGTCGTTATTCGAGGCTGCATTAACTTTCGCAGCCTTTGGCGGGGCAGTAGCATTGGCGTCCTGGGCCACTGCAGGCCGCACTGGCAATTCTTTCGAGTCTTCGGGAGCCATGGCTGTATCCGTAAGTTCAGACCAGCGGTTCGGGAGACGCGCACAATGAGTAGGGGGCAGGGCTCAGAACGATGACTCTTCTTCGGCCGATGCGAAGAGTCATAATAATTCAAAACGGAGAGGGGAAGGAAGGCGGTGAAGCACGTGACATTAAACTGCCCTGGCGGCTAGCGACACTTTACCGTTTCGAGGCTCCCACCATTTGAAAACTTCTCCGGACTCCGAACTCCAGACAGCTCCATCAATCGCAACACCACAATCAAGATGTCGTTTCGTGGAGGTGGCCGTGGCGGTTTCGCCTCTGGCGCCAATCGTGGTGGAAACTTTGGTGGACGCGGTGGTGAGTTCGAATAGTTGCCAAAGTGGAAGATTGATGGCTGCTAACGAAATTTTCGTCGGGCAGGCCGCGGAGGATTCCAAGCACAAACTGGGCCGCCAGCACAGGTTCTGGGTAAATATACATTTGCGGGTACATCGGGGGAGATGACGGATGACTGATTTTTTGTCAGAGATGGGTACTGTCATGCACGCTTGCGAGGGCGAGATGGTTTGCGAATCAGTGAATCCCAAGATTCCTTACTTCAACGCCCCTATCTACCTCGAGAACAAAGTACGGCATAGGCTTGCACCCTACCTTCTGTCGCAATCTTAGTGACTAACCCTTTTCGTCAGACCCCTATTGGCAAGGTCGACGAAGTTCTCGGTCCCATCAACCAGGTGTACTTCACCATCAAGCCTCAGGAGGGCATTGTTGCGACATCCTTCAAGCCTGGCGACAAGGTCTACATTGGAGGAGACAAGCTTCTTCCGCTTGAGAAGTACGTTCTGCATCGCCTTGACTTGCATGTTTGCGTGACTAACTGTCCAATAATAGGTTCCTTCCCAAGCCTAAGCCCCCTCCGGGTATGCCATTAGTTTCGTCCAGTTATCGTACACTTATTCTAACTTTGTCTAGGCTCGAAACCCAAGAGGGCCGTCGGTGGCAGAGGTGGTTTTACTCGCGGAGGCGCCAGAGGTGGACGTGGTGCACCTCGTGGTGGCCGAGGCGGCGCCCCCGAGGACGTGGAGGACCTAGGGGAGGTGGTTTTGGTGGAGGTGGTTTTGGTGGAGGCGGTTTTGGTGGAGGCGGCTTCCGTGGTGGGAGCAGAGGTGGTGGCAGAGGAGGACCTCGTGGTGGTAGTGGAGGTTTCCGACGATAGACAGTTTGTTTTGACTAGTACTGTCTTATTATGGCGTTATGGGAAAACGGGAGCTCTTGCAGGAACCTTTATTTTCGAGATATTTTATTATGCATATGAAAGTTTGCTGCTTCAGTTTCTGTGATGTTGTAAAATACACAGCGCGAGTCCAAGTTCGTCCACTTGCAACAATACTACGTCAATTATCCTTTTTAAGTAGATGTTAACCAGCTTGTAGCATCATCGGATGCTAAAAAGCTGGAAATTTTCCCTAGAAGCATGTGGCTTGATCTTGTGGCGCAGCTTGCACCGCCTTTCCAATGACGTCTGGACCGCCCAGGAACCAGAGAATCTGTGCGTTTCGTCAACACTGGAATCCTCAACCTGTTTCAACCTGCTACTTACCTATAAGAGCCGTCTGATCGCTTTGAACTTACATCTTAGTTTATTTTTCCGTCATATATCGTCTACTCTTGTTCATACAGATCGAGCATGTCTCGTCGAACAGCAGCCATGTCGTCAAGTCAATCTTCAAATAGCGGTGTCGCAGCTTCGGGCGATGGAGGTGAGTTTGGATCACCAGCGGGTGCAATTGTCCTGCAACATGCTCACCTATTGATTGCAGGTCAGGAAAAGCAGAAGATGCTCCTCTCGTCGGAGACGGGTCACTTTAGCTTGGTCAGGTTGGTATTTGAGTGTCCGGTGGGAATCAAGATATGTTGCTCATTTAAATTTCCTGCAGGGCGTTGCATCTTGCTGATTTGGTGACCGAGCTCAATGGTAAGATCGGTTAGAACAACATTATCCGTCTTCAACGCTGACAGCACTTGATAGGATTCTGTGGAGGCAAGGCCGCAATCTCATTATAATCGAAAGTATGAACCGACGCTGACTAGATCTCGAACAGTCATGTCCGTATTCTCGTCGATGCGTTATTGTCTAGGAGACCCACATGATCATGGTGCTGTTTGGGCCGCTCTTGGTTTCATGCCTTTCGGTTTATTTTTTGATTTTATGGATGGCAAAATCGCGAGATGGAGGAAGAAGTCATCCCTCATGGGACAGGAGCTTGACTCTCTGGCAGACTTGGTATGGCAAACTTCGCACTCCCCGAGGGGCAGCGGACGCAGCTGACCTTTATCTTTCCGCTCTAGATCTCCTTCGGCCTCGCACCAGCCGCATGCGCCTTCGCTCTTGGAGCCCGCACCCTCGTCGACCATTTTCTGTTAGCGTTCTTCGTCCTTTGCGGCTTGACACGGTTGGCCCGATTCAACGTTACCGTCGCCGTCCTTCCCAAGGATAAGACCGGCAAGTCCAAGTACTTTGAAGGCACACCGATCCCGACGACATTGGGCATCGCTTCGCTCATGGCCTACTGGGTATCTCAGGGCTGGATTCTCGAGGATCTTCCTCTTGGCCTCGCCGCCCAGGGCACGCCATTTGAGTTTCACCCCGTTGTTCTGCTGTTTGTCCTGCACGGCTGCATGATGGTCAGCAAGTCGATAAAGATCCCCAAGCCATAGAGGGGTTAATTATCTGTACAGACGAGTTCAGGCTTGGCTGCTCAGAATTTAAGTACCGTGATAGAGAGATCTTTCTACGTACATATATACTGGAGAGGACGTGAAGAATTGTTGATACAATTTTGAAAAGTTTGCATTCGATTTGTCTGCCTCAGCTGCATTCCTTTGTACCGGTTAAGCTGTTGTCGAGCTTCGTCGAAACATCTGGTAGAACCCCGGCTCCAGTGCATCAAATGAACTTTTACCGAGCACTTCCTTATCCTAGTCAGATACATCCATTTTTCATATCGAACGTTTGTCAAATACTGTTATACAATTATGGGAGGTTATAGCGGATACCATATCCTAGCATTTCTTAAGAAACTGGGATGGATGACAATAAGGCTGTAGTATTAACACATACTGCGACACATATATATACAGCCGGCTGCGCTGCGGCTCAGATCTTCCACCAACATGATGAATATCTGCAGCTTATTCCAGAGCATGCAGCTAGATCCTTTAAATCTACTTCTCGGTACAGCAGATTAATCATCCAGATGTGTAACGTGGATAGAGAGCCTAGTCAGCCCTCAAGAGTCTTAAGTCTATTGATCGACGATGAAATGCATCGCTGACAGCGATCCCCATCAATTGCCTCAAACTTCCAGTCAAACTTGCAAGTTGAGAACAAGGTCGACGACTGAGTACGCAGGAAAACAAAACCTAGAGTCCCAGATGGGCGCGAGGTTGCCATGGGAGTCAGGTCTGGGATGCCGAAGCCGGGTTTCTACTTGTCAAGCAGTGGAGTGAGGCAACAGCAGCTTGCTTTTTCACAATCTTAGCTCCAGCGTAACTCAAAGAGTTCTAGACAGTCACAGTGAACTCGATAAGTCGATAGATCATCGGGTTAAGACAAAACTGGACTGGATGCAAGCCTGACTGTTGGGTTGTGGGTCAATTGACAGGTTCTAGACCTGCCCGAGGGCTTTACGACTTCGTCGGGACAAATCTACATATCCGTACAGCTTCCGGTTTTTCCGTCTAGGTATTCCATCATACGGTGGCTTGCACGAGTTGAGGTGAACGTGAAATACTGGTGTATCCGTTTGTGGTATTGAAGCTTGTTCTGGAAGGATGATAATGTTCTTAGGTAGAATCGTTGGTGGCCATAAGGAGAACAGCACACGACCAGGGTCTATCTGGATTTGGTTCTCGGGATGTGAGCAATGATCTGTTAATACTCTGTATTAGTGCGACTGTGCGAGTTGGTATTCCTGGGGAACCGTTCGTACTTCCAAGATCTGGTGATCTGAGGCTCTGACAGAAGCGCAGATAAATCCGTTGCTGTTTCTTGACCATGAACGCCGACGCGACTATCGAGTTGCTCTAATCGCGTCGAGTTCTTGCGGAAAGTCTGATTGAATGAGGAAGATTCGCGAACTGAAGCAAGGTGAGCCTGTCTCTTCGAGCAACCCACTTTATCTCAACGTCTCCAAGGAACATTCCTCTCGTTTTCTGGAATGGCTGGTTCTTCCATAACGTCCGTACAAGGAGGTATTCCTCGGCATGTACTCCGTATGCCATGTCATTCGGTGGAAAGGATTGTCATTGTCATTTGAGTCATTTGGCGGACTCCCAGGGTTCACAAGAATATTGACTGACCGCAATAAGGATGATGGGTTTTAAGAAATTGCAAATGGAGCGGCGCAATGACGACCACAAGTAATCCCAGGAGCCATATCTCAGATGAACATAAGCTGAGGGCTTTTCTCCGTACTGGGCTACGAATAGTCAGGAATGAGGGGCAGTATCCTGCTCTCATCACAATAGTAACAACATCGAGTTCGCACTGCTGATATACGTGTGCTACTTTTCTCGGCCTACGCCGTTCTCCCATTCAGCAAAAATGATGTATGGAATCCTTTTTGATTGATCTCCATCGACATGCGTCCGTTGGACAACGTAAGTGGCGAAGCCATGAACTATTATCTTCGATCTACCGAGTAAATCACACCTGTTGGACAATGAAACTAGTTCATCATCATCGCTCACAGGAGAATCCGTTCTGTCATTGGCCGAGCCTTGTCGATCAAAGGATGAGCGATCGAGGTATTATCGTTGTGTGTTCGTTGTGCGTTACATCAGTACCCAAAGGTGGTGAACCTTACAGTTTCTTTACAGGTTCCAGCGACCCGCGTTAACCTGCAGAAGCCACGAAGGGGTTCAGACCCACACAGTCCGGGAGTGGCCGCTTGGAGCCTTGGAACTTATGGAAGCTGACTACCAGCAGGGAGTTTTGCACGAGTTCCAAGGTTAGAGGGGAACCTTCGGTTGTAACCATATTGATGTGATCCTTATTGTCCTTGAAGAAATGTGACACATGCTGATCTGGGTTATCAGAGGGTAGGGTAGTCTACGGAATCGGGGCTCGCATCACGGGTCTGTGTGTGTGCGTGTGTGTGTGTGATCCATCGGGGGCGCTTGGCCGAAACAGGGATCGACGACGCCGCGTCCTTGTCATTCCAATGTGGCTGCAATGGCTTGTCGGGAATAGAGAGTGAGATACGGAGCATCTATCTACGGCAATAAGTAACAAGAGAGACGACACAATGGTAGGCAGATAGATAGCTTGCTAATAGATGGTGGGTTGACCTCGAACTTCGACTCGGGGACGAGTTGAAAAGTGTTACAAGGGCAGCAGGATGCTCTTGAGGACAGGCAGTGAATCACAAGTTATCTGTTTGCTTTGTTTCATAAGGATAGTCCAACCATGCGACAATGAAAGCCTACACTGGCTTTGAGGCCAATAGAGGAAAGTACATGACTTGCGACTACTACTGTAGCAGATCACTGATTATCCCACAAGATGGACTTGCATGAACTTTGCCAGTGTACTCCATACTCCGTATCTGAAGATCTCTTGTATCCTCTCCTCAACTACATCTATTCCCTCTCGGTCCTGGAGCTTGATTCCTTTCTGATAAGGAAGACTAGGCACTATACAGGTACCTATATAGGTACCACATTGTACCTTTGCCATGGCTGTGTACCTTACAGTTTGCAACTACCTTACTTAGCACTCCAGGCAATTCATACCTCTACTCCGGATTAAGTATTCTGTACCTTACTTATCTACCTTACTCCGTACAGCAGCAGCCCCTCTTTCAATTGATGAAACTGAAAAGCAGAGCCACCACAATTCAGCAAGCTAATGCACGCCTTTACCACCTCGGGCTTAGCCTGCACCACAAGGGCTCCCTTTTTCCGGCCGGGTAACCAAATATGGAAACGAGTTACTGTACCCCTGGTCATAAGCACGGCAAATGCGCTTATATAAACAGTGGTACTTCATATCATTGGGCAGAATTATGAGTGGAGCTCTTTACGCGGGATGTAAAATTACCGTCAGAGGCGAACCAGGGTAAGGGCCCGTTTGGACACTCTTCCTCCTTAGGCACAAAAAAAGGCGTACCGTGTATGCTTCCCAATCCCTAAGGCAGGTGCCTTTCCTTTTAGGTGCGGCAGCGGTCGCATTGTTTACTTACCCTGTATACTCCGTACCTTAGGCTAGTACCTCCTAATAATAATAGCTAATCTGAACCCGGAGATTATCGCTTAAGCCAATAATCCCTCGACTGTCCATTCAATAATCAGTCCCTCTCACACTATCATCAGTCACAGTCAGTCACTCAGTCACTCTCTCTGTCTGCCTTCCGTCTTTCTCCAGGTCCTTCTCCTACTGCTTGTCCTCTTCTCCTTGTCACCCCTTCCATAATAATCCTTTCCCTCCACTAAATTTCCACTCGTTTCTATCGTATGTTGGAAGGGTTCGACTTCAGTAGCCACCCTTTTTGTATTCTTCGTCGACGTCCTTGTCGTTTCTAATTTTCTACTTCGACGCCTCGCTTTCTCTGTTCTAGCTCAGGCACAATTTTCTCTTATTGACGTGAAGGAGGTGGTTGCTTGACTGATCACACCGTGGTGCGAGCAATTAGCCCCGTCCAGGTTGCTCATTTCAGCTTCCCGACAAAAGGGGTTTGTGAAACAGCCGGTCCTCAACTTCTTCCCCGCCAAGGGACCGTCTTCTCCAGAAGGATCAACACCGGCTTTTCATCGATATCACCCTCTTCGCTTCAACTTCGCCTCAACTAAACCTCTTTCGTCGCTCTTCTCTGGCATCTCACGACCGTCGACTCGTCATATCAATTGTCTAAGCTGGGTCCGACCGTCGATAAATCGCGACGACTGTTTCTCGTTTTCGTTCCTACCGCTCGCTACTCAGGAAGGATAAACGGGAAGTAGATTGAAGACAACAATCGCAAAATAATATCTAAGGGCTACGCTGGTCGTCCCTTGTCTCTCGTTTCTCACCAAACCTCATCAACCGCTTAACGCCTCGACTCTCGCTTTTTGATATTACAGTCACATATACCAAACTCAGAATGAAGCCTTTCACTGTCCGATCCGCTTTTACAGCCTCAGCGCTGCTCCTCACCACCAACCTTCCAGCAGTCTTCGCCGCCGAAATGGTAAGCGAGGGCTGTTTCAGTGACTCCACACCCTTGGTAGACCAAGGCCCCTATATGTATCAGAGTAACGGCTACTGTCAACAACTCTGCTTGAAGAGCAACAATCTTGTCTTTGCCTTGACGAAGGGATCGAACTGTCTCTGTGGAAATGAGCTTCCCGCGAAGTCTGCTAAGACGACCGATTCGGATTGTAACGTCAAATGCGCTGGTTGGCCTGATGTCATGTGTATGGTCTTCCCTATAACTTTTGCTGGTTCCGTTGCCGTGCTGACTGGATGATTTAACAGGTGGTGGTGCAAATACATTCTCTGTCTACCTGACTGGCCTAAGTTCCAACGTTCCGTACTACCAAGATGATGATGAGTCTGCCAGCACCAACTCGAGCTCGACATCAACGACGAATGGCGGGTCGACTGTGACTACTGGCAGTCAGGGTCAAGTCGTCACGCAAGGGGAGCAGACAGTCGTCGTCACAGCAGCAGCAGGCAATGGGGTGGGCGCGACAAACGGACTCAACGAGGAAAAGAACAAGGATGGCCCGAACACTGCTGCCATTGCTGCTGGTGTTGTTGTCGGTGTGGTCGGATTCTGTTCCCTTGTCGGAGCTGGATTCTTCCTCTGGCGTTTCAGGAAGCGCACAAACGTGCAACCGCATTACTCGAATAACGCTGGCGCCACCGAGCACTTTGGCAAGCCCATGTCGCAAGATTCCATGTCCGATTCGCGGTTCGATGGCGACTTCATGGCACAAAGGCGGCAAAGCAATGGTAGCATTGATGATGATCAAGACTTTTCCCGTCGTATCTTACAGGTGAGTCTCTTCATTTCTGCGCTTGGAATATTTTAACTAGATGCACTGACTCGAAATGCTAGGTAACAAACCCTGACCGACGTTAATTCGACATGTATCGAAGCAACCCCTAGCCGTATTGCACCAAGCGCAGCGTCCAAGTTCACCAAGGCAATTTGAGTCATCGCATTTGCTATGAATTCAACATACTGTTACGAATTCCTCAACGTTTTTCCTACCCAATCACTGGAAGATATTATTCCTCAGCACTTTATCGAGCTTGTCCTCCGCGCGTTATGAAGAGGCTTATTCTTGGAGGCACCGACTTTCCAATCTGTTCGATATTGGCAAAACTCGGAAATCCTCAAACCACGACGTCCTCTTTTCTATGAAAGATGCAAATCAAGGAGCTCCCGGGCAGGTCACACCGTTTGCACAGGATATTCGGACGATATCGCATCATCCCAAATCAATCATATATACCTTGGATGTTACTTCCGGCAGGGTCATCGGTAGGGTCATGGGCCCAATATTGTACTTGGACGTGTGTCAAGGGACTTGTATTATTCAAAAGGCGTTCCACAGTTGGCATGTCGATTCATATTTTCTTCTGTAATCAGTTCATTTTTCTTTGGTTTCCCCTCTACTTAAGCTGGACTATCTCTTTCATTTTGATTTCTTTCTGTGATGTCACATTTTGCTTTTCCGAGTCATCACTCAACTTTCTCCTCGTCCTGGATTCCATCTCTCGAGTGGACTGAACGACCGGCTGAACAGGAGAGTCATGGACAGGTCTTGCAGTTAATGTTTGAAATGAATATGGATACCACCTCTAAGCACCCATCTGAAGTTAATAATAGATCAGTTTACCTTATAGTACGGTAGCATTTCAACCCAGTGACTGCACTTCCAACGCCTTGCTGCCAGGATCCATTCATATCGAACCCGCGTTGCAGCTGCGTGTCTGCTATCAACCACAGTTGAATTCGCGGGATATCTCTATAGTTTCTTCTTGGCAATTTCTCTCAAGATCTGCAGAAAATTATACACATCCATTCATGAGTAGATCCCTTGAGCCCGACGACTTTCGAAGTCTCTGAAGGCAGCCTACCTTAGCTTTCGGTCGAAGTATTGACTCCGCCCAATGAACCATCTCGATATCCCCTTAGGTCCTCTCAAAAGTGCTTCCCTTCGTCAATCTGAAGCCATTGCGGGCTGCTGCGCGGGTTGGTTCACACCCTCTCCGCATATGAGGCGACTAATGTGCCCCGTCGTATGTTATCCAGAAACTAAGAAGCCTATTCGGTGGTAGAGCAGGGATCAAAAGCATCCCGTGATTGACATCTGGTTCTCAGGAACGACGGCTATGGTACGCTATTTGTGCTTGTGCTGTCTGGTCGGGTGCTTACGATGTCCTAGATATACCAGAAAAATACGCCATTGATATTGACTGACGATATCGATACTTCTGTCGATAAGGCATATCCATGGGAAAGGGTCCGATCATAGGTTGGCTCGCGATCGAGAGTTATCTATGTTCCTTTTTGCAGATTTAGGAGGCGTCATGATATAACTGAGGAAGATAGGGGGGCGATTCTTATCGCAGAACCTTGTCTCGGTCGTGCTCCGTGGTGTTTGTTTTATATATGCGTCGGTTCCTTCAGCAATGGAGGTGAAGCTGATGGCTTCTGTCTTTTGTATTGCGGCTGTCCTCCAACAGTGCATCCACATACGAGGGCCCCTTCTCTCTACATTGATGGCTAACAATATATACTTTGGAGAGGTTGACCCACGGCCAAATCTCGCCATCGGCAACTTTGTGAAGTCCCTTTCGGATATGCCGTCTATCAAGCATTTCCAATTGAGAAGCGGATGGCTGTAGGCCTTGAGCAAAGGCCTCTTCCGATACCTCATGTTTCGATCGGATCTTGAAAAGCACTCTCCGATGCCTCCACTACCGCCGAAAGCAAATACTCCTGTTCATGCACAAGGCAAGGATTCTTGGTCATTTCTAAGTCGTGAGGCCGATGGCAAAACATCCCATTGTTTCTCAGACCGGTCGCCTTTAGGGCTCCATATCATGCAAACTGACACCCATTTCAACCTGGGGCCCCGAGCATTGTCTTATCCGGGCGTTGTTATCATCTTGAAGTGATCCTTTTCCGCACCAAGGATGAAAAATCACCTACAGAAGCACTCGTATGCGTGGCTTCGGATCGACTCAGCTGCAAAACTTTACTCGCCTGCAGGGGCTTCCGCTGTTCGCTGATACGGGATTGACTCATCTCGCTGGCATGAGCCCTAAGAGGCTGTCTTTCCGCAACGTTATGACCTCATATCGGGATGAGTTATGCTGACATGCTACCAGATGGGATAACGTTCATCGCAAAGGGAGTAGAGCCTTTCAATGTCGAGGGTAGGGGATCTCTCGTAGAGCTCTGGTGCGTGACCTTATTGTGCAGAAGTCTGATGGACGGTTTCCTGCATTGAGAGGCTCGACTGCCCTCTTACAGCTGAGGAAATCCTCAGTGCCCGATGAAGACAAACTAGGGTCACATACGGGTCAGGCCATGTTTCTTCGAGTGGCAGGCTAAGGTCACTGAATGAAAAAGCTTAGGCCGACGCTTATTGAGCCTTTACCAGGCGACAAGTATAATCCATGCTCCTAGCTTTTGTTGCATACCTGACTCGCATACCGACTACCAAGACAGGACTGTCAGCTAGACTACATAAGGCTTGACCTCGGGTAACTGGGGGGGTGGGAAAGCCAAGGGCGGAAACCCCCGCCATCACCAAATGCGCCACGCTCTCCGACTGGTCACTACGGATCGAACGGCACACTGTCTCGGTTCTTTGATTCATCCTTTTCATTGATGTGGAGACTGAGAAGTCTTAGTCGTTTTGACTGTAGACTTTGGAGTCACTATGAATCGTATCTGGCAGACTCAGAAGAATGGGTTCCGCATGCGGAGAAAGACCGAGAAGAGGGACTGCTCTCCCACTAAGAGCAGCATCGAGACAGAAAGCGCGTACAAGAAAATTGACATCTCACTGGCAGAAGACAAATCCCAGCTACCATATTTTGAATGCTCAATTAAATATTGAAGAGGAGATTGTTGTCTGGCAGAAAGTGGGGAGAATCAGTCCTCGAGTAGATATACACCTGCCTCAAACGGCGCCAGCAGGGAACGCTCACTTCTTTCTGTTTTCACGTCATAGGTATTTCCCTTTCACTTCCTTCCTTCTACGACACTTCACCACACTCAAGAGGACGCCTTGACATATCTATCCTCTTGAAGTGAATTACTCCACTACTTTCTGAAGAACATGGGGAAGAGTCGCTGCTCTCTTATATATCCACCAGTCTTATTAACTGACATTGCTACAGTTGCAGTATTTGCACACTATCTTCATTTACTGCCCTATCATTCCGTCATCCTTTCTTCTCGGCTTTTCGCTCTTCTCTTCGGACGAACTACCTGTTGGGTCTTCCCGGATCTCCCAAGATCTCAAGACTGATGCTACCTTAGATGGGGTTGCATCGTGCGTCATCGATCTTATACTCCCGTCGGTTTGCAGAGGAACAACAGTAGGAATTTTTCTTTCACGACAAACGAATTCCCCACACATAAGAAATGACTTCCGGGGACTTGGAGGAAGGTGTTCATGAAATCACGTCGGCGGAAACCGCATATACGGATGCTCCAACAGTCAAAAGGCCCGGAGATGAAGACGTATGTGCCGAAAAAGATGGCCATTCTTCGTTCGCTGCATCGCCCGCGCAGTCGGCCATGGATATGAAGGGCACAGCGATTGATATTCCATATGCAGAGCATGAAAGCTTGCCGATAGCGGTGCCGAGGCTGAAGCGCCGAGGGCTTTTCGGACAACTTACCCTGCTGGCAGAGGTTGAGAATCCGAAGACGTATCTCCGAAAAACGAAGTGGTTTATCACATTTATCGTCGCGCTGGCAGGATCTACGGCTCCCATGGGTAGCTCGATACTATTCCGTAAGTGGCTCACAGTTCAGCTGCCCCTAGGATTGAACTCGTGGTGGCCAACCCACTTGTTCATGCGCTCCCCTTGTCGGTGAACAACTCTCGTTGGTGACTTCGCTACCCTCACACTTCGAGAATTCCTCGCTGACCGAAACGGTCGATATATCATTCATTAGCACGTGCTAACAGGTTCTTACAATAGCCTCTCTTTCTCAAATATCCAAGGAAATGGACGCACCAACCACTGTCGTCAACCTGAATATCTCGCTGTACATGCTGAGTATGTCTATCTTTCCACTTTGGTGGTCGTCTTTCAGCGAGAGACTTGGTCGGCGAACGATATACCTCGTATCCTTCGGTCTCTTTGTGTTGTTCAACGTTCTGAGTGCCGTATCCCATTCCATTTCGATGCTAATCGTCATGCGCATGTTGAGCGGTGGGGCATCGGCATCAGTTCAAGCAGTTGGCGCAGGGACGATAGCAGATCTGTGGGATCCGCATGAAAGGGGACGCGCAATGAGCATTTTCTATCTGGGCCCGCTGTGCGGTCCTTTGCTCGCTCCCATCGTGGGGGGTGCTCTGGCAGAGCGTTGGCAATGGAGGAGTACCATGTGGTTGTTGGCGGTTTATGGCGGAATCATCGTGATATTCATCTTTTTTGCACTTCCTGAAACATTGGCCAATCAAAAGCAGCGTGATGGGGATGAACAAGCACCCGTTGAACGACAGCTCAGTCGGATATCTTCACGCCAGGTCGTTCACCTCACTGCCAGATGGTTGAAGGTCCTCAAGATGGTTTTCCTTGACCCTCTTAAGATCGTTCTTTACTTGCGCTATCCCGCAGTGCTTTTGACTGTATACTACGCGAGTATCACCTTCGGCTCCCTATACGTGTTGAACGTTAGCGTTGAACATACGTTTTCAACGAACCCCTACAACTTTAGCACCGTTATTGTTGGGTGCCTCTATATCCCAAACTCGCTGGGTTACATAGCTGCGAGTATTTTCGGCGGGCGATGGATGGACAAAATCATGCAGCGTGAGGCGAAGAAGGCCGGTAGATATGACGAGGACGGCAAGTTGATCTATCGCCCGGAGGATCGCATGCGTGAGAATGCTTGGCTGGGCGCATTTCTGTATCCTGCTGCGTTGATCTGGTACGGCTGGACTGCCGACAAGGGGGTCTTCTGGTTTGCGCCGGTTAGTTGGTCTAGCACTTTGTTTTACTGGGAGGGTGAGAAGCTAACTTTGTCTCCCAGATGGCCGCCAACTTCTTTTTTGGTGTCGGATCAATGCTCATATTCAGCATGTCAACGACAATGTTGACAGAATTCATGCCCAAGAAATCATCATCTGGTGTCGCATTGAACAACTTTATGAGAAACATATTCTCATGCATCGGATCGCTAGTGACAGCCCCCATTATTGATGCCATTGGTAACGGATGGCTCTTTATGATCCTTGGACTGGTCGCTTTCGCCAGCAGCTCGGTGATTCTCGCTATGAAAGTATTTGGACCTCATTGGAGGAAGTCGATGGATGCCGTGAGTCACTAATCTGGTCTTCTTTTGGGCCAGAATGCAAAAAGATACCCCAATAACGTTATTTTTATGAGTCATGTTAGCATAGCATAAAGCGATGAATCGAATTGTCTGCTCTTCTGGCGCCTGCTGTAGGTGATCTGTAAGCGCGCAATTGCATTTTGATACAGAAATAATAACTTCAGCGCAGCGTATTGACCGTAGCGAGTGACAGATCCTCTGTATTACTATGCTCCATCCTTCGCTCTATTGACCTTGGAGGATGATGGTGATTCTGAGCGTAGGGAAAGCGCCGCCATGATGAGCGGAGGCTATTTGGATGGTCTGGTTGATTTTGGTAGCAATTGTTGGATGATCAAAAGCTTCAGCACATAATTCTTCCTTGTATTGGCATGCTGTGAATCAATTGCCTTAGGAGCAGAGAATACTTCTGAGGCAAGCAGTGGTCGGTGATGGATCAGGGATCATCCGCAATCATGCAGGTAACCACCGCAGGCAACTCTCTCGATAACCTACTTACTATCCATCTTCTACATATCCAGTTGCATCTGGCTCTATGATTCGTCGCCCTGCTTATGGCTATGGATAGCAATCAACCGACTTCTCAAGGTCTATCTATCTCAAGTCAAATTTGCTTTTCTGGTAGCATTGAATGGGCTGAGATGCTCTTTTCGGGCTGCTGCTCAGCGTGGCATACTCAAGATAGCTCCATGCATTATTACTATTCTGCTCTTCTTTGCTTTCGGAGAGGCGTGACGAAGAGCCCTTTCAGTTTCAAATGGGCCCAAGCCGTTCTGGCTAGTTAGTGCTCCATAGTTAGGTGCCAATTGACCACTCATTGACCGCCAAAGCAGCAATCCTCGCCTCATTTTTTAGGTGCAGAAATAGTAAACAAACTGGCTTATTACTGTGACATCTTTTGGTGTTTCACAATCAGGAGTTCTGGGTCGTTCTATAGCTTCTAGATTCGTCAGATTCCTTTTTTGGCAACATCATAATCATGCGGATGATAATATCAATGGTATTAGATGTTGTTTCTTCAAAGGACAACAGTAGATGGAGGTTGGGATTTGGTGGTAATTTGGCCATTGCCTAAAGCAGTCTAGACTGATCTTCAAATGCTGAAGTGTCTCGGTGGAGTTGGAACGCCTTCTCTTTCTCCCCTCAAGACTCGGTTTCATCAAGATTGTCTATTCTACGTCCCAACCATCATCGTTGATGTCGTAATCACAGAAATGAATCAAGCTGGCGATCATGATTGACACTTTGCTGCAAAGAACAGGACAGAAGTCGATCATGCACTCCAGTCTGATCCCAGTCATTCTGGCCGGCGCTTCAACGCACCACACATTATGCACCTTATTCCGGCCACCGCCCGCAATTTGCGTTGGGCAGGAATCGGTGATTGAGGAGTGTCCCTGAGAGGTTGGACATGTTTGTCATTCTCGTTGTCTGGCCTCTGAAGGCTTGCTGTCTATCTGTCTTCTAAAGCATAGGACACAACCCGAGTCCTTCCTTCTGCATGACGGTTCGATCTCTTTGGCATCTACGATGCCATTAAGATGATGTTTATTGTCTAGCATATGAGCTACCCGACGAAAGCCCTCTCGTTGCTGATCGTTTCAAATCCTACTGATCTACTCTTTTCGGCCACGCGCGTTGGCTTAGCCGCGCGAGGCTATTGCGGGTTATGCCCAAAAACAAGAGAAAGCAACACAGACAATCATGATTTATCTATCGGTGGCACCACCCCCACCAACCCTGCGGTACCCAGTTATCCACCACCCACGCAACTCCATCACTGGACGGCTTCCCTTTCTCGCCCCGCTGCCTGTGCTGGCTACTGCATGACCGTCCTGCTTTGTCCCGGCCCTAACGATGCTTTCGGGAGGGGGTCTCCCAAGCTCTTTTCCTAAATTCGTCAAAGGCGATTGGATCTGTGAGACGTGGCCCAATCAAAAACCATGCCGTTGGGTAGTTCGCCGGTGACGTCCATCCGGCCTCAAGACTCTAACTGTAGTTTGACAGTATTCTATCCCAATGGGTACAGGCGGACGGCTATACGTCGCCTCGCCTTGGGACTTGGGGCGGAACCACCATGCTGTTGGCGGAGGGACAAGACGTGTGCTGCTTGTTCCATCCCGATTTGACCTCCCTAGCACATGAGCGTCTGCCCCAATTCATCCTTCCCATGCCTGTTCATGTCTGAATCTTCCATTCCGTTCTCTCGCATCATCCTTGTCTTTTTTCATCCGATTGACCCTTTCCTACCCCTGAAGAGAGTGTGACAGGAAAGGCGTACTTTATCTATATAAATCGATACATCAACTGGGCCGAACCGAGAAGCTCATAGCTGGACGTACTGTGACTGATCCGATGCCATGGCCAAAAAAGCAGCAAAGAACAAAAAGAAGAACAATAACAATAATAAGCAACGCCTACCAGTGAACGATAATAAGTTTTCCCTCCCTGAAGACAACCCTACCCCGAGCCCGGCCTTGAAGAGGCCGCCGAGGCTGGGGACCATGGCCAACCTACAGTATGCACAGCTTCCCAAGTTTGAATATCAGACATTCGAGCGTCAATATCAGACCTTCGACCGTCAAACTTTGCAATTTTCATTTTATCCCGTCACTGCTACTTCTTCGGATGGTCTGACATCGGATAAGGATCAGGATACCACCAATAATGCGACCAATCCAGAGAAAGGCCCATCCCCAGAGAGTGCTCCCGTAGAAGAATCAAGTAGTTCTCCCGATGACGCTGCGCCTGCGGCGGAATCTCAAGGTACGTATGCTTGTCAATCGCCATCTCTCTTTATCGGGGTTCACCTTTGCTCACATTCGTCTAGAGTCATCTGAAGCGGCAGCTGCCCCACCTCAGCCAGAACCGTCAGCTGAGCCTGCACCGGAAGCCAAGGAAGAAGCAGAACCTGCGCCAGAGGCAGACGGTACCGAGCAGAAAGCCGAAGACGCTGCCACCCCCGATGAGTCCGAGACGCCAGCAGCCACTGAAGATGCCGCGCAAGACCCACCGCCCGAGGAAGGTGATGGTGCCGCAGCTGCGGTAGATGAAAGTCCTGCACCGGGAAGCAAGGAAGGAGACAGCAACGGTATGCTTGCGGATACCGAAATGCATAAAACCAGCTGACCTCATTCCAGGGGATGATTTCCCAGAATGTGATCCGTCCGCGGAGCTCGATAAGGTCGAGGCCGAGAAAGAGGAAGCGGCACGGCAAGCGGAGGAGGATGCAAAAGCAGAAGAGGAGGCAGAAGCAGCCGCAGCCGCAGCAGGGGTCCCTGATGACGTCGATATTGATACTGGGAATGAGAACTCACCTACAGATAATCTAGACAGCGAAGAAGCTACTCCCGTTCATGACGACCCACCACCGGCCGAGTCGGCAGAAGAAGATGCGACGAAACCCGACACGGAGGATAGTCCAGCTCTGGACGAACCTGCTGAAGAACAGAGCGATCCGCCACCCGAAGCAGAGCAGCCCGTCGCTGAAGAACAAGCCCCCGCCGAGGAACCACCTGCTGAGGAGCAGCCCGCTCCTGAAGAGCCTGCACCTGAACCTCCTTCTGAGGAGGAACCCGCCGCGCCAACGGAGCCGGCGGAGGACAACACTCCAGAAGAAGCGGTAGCTGCCGAGGATGCAACTGCAGACGATGTTGCAGACGAAACCGCAAAGGAAGAGCCCACTGCCGAGAATGCTCCTGAAGAGCCTGCGGCTGAAGATAGCCCAGTCGAGGACAAACAAGAGGAGGTAACCGAAGCTCCCGCACCGGAAGAAGCAGCAACTGAGACACCGGCTGTGGAAGAAGCTGTGGTTGAAGATGCTGGCGCCGAAGCGGCTCCAGAAGCACCGCCAAGTGATGAGGTGGCTCAACCAGAGGAAACTCCTGCGGAAGCTCCAGCAGAAGAAAAGGAAGAAGACGCACCTGAAGAACCATCGGAGCAACCTCCGACTGAAGAAGTTGTCGAAGAATCTGCTTCCCCTGAACCTGAGGCTGAAGAGCCAGCACCTGCCGAGCAGCCCCCTCCTGCAGATGAGCCTGCGCCTGAAGAATCTCCTGCTGCTGAGGAGCCGGCCCCTGCTGCGCCTGAAGCCGAGGAACCTGCGCTACCGGAGGAGACCCCAGCTGAAGAAGCTCCTGCTGCTGTTGAGGATGTGACCCCTGAGGAACCTGCTCCCGTTGAAAAGACACCGGCAGAGGAACCCGTTGCTGAAGAGCCTGCTCCGGCTGAGGGACCTGCTGCGACTGAAGAACCTGCTGCGACTGAAGAACCTGCTGCGACTGAAGAACCTGCTGCGACTGAAGAACCTACGCCAGCTGAAGAACCTGCTGCGGCAGAGGAACCTGCTCTGGCTGAAGAACCTGCTCCGGCTGAGGAACCTGCTGCGACTGAAGAACCTGCTGCGGCTGAAGAGCCTGCTGCGGCTGAAGAGCCTGCTCCGGCTGAAGAATCTGCGCCAGCTGAAGAAGCTGCTGCGGCCGAAGAGCCTGCTCCGGCTGAGGAACCTGCTCCGGCTGAAGAATCTGCGCCAGCTGAAGAACCTGCTCCGGCTGAAGAAGCTGCTGCGGCTGAAGAGCCTGCTCCGGCTGAGGAACCTGCGCCAGCTGAAGATCCAGCTCCAGTTGATCCACCTGCGCCTGTTGAAGAACCGGCTCCCGCTGAAGACCCTACTGCCTCCGAGGAGGAACCAGCCCCGTTGAAGAGCCTGCTCCCGTTGAGGACGTTTCTACTGAGGAGCCAGCACCTGTGCAAGAACCTGCTGAGGAACCCACGCCGGTTGGAGAGTCCGCCCCTGCTGAAGAGCCTGCTCCAGTGGAGGAGCCTGCTGCTGCTGAGGAGATTCCTCCTGAAGAGCCGGCTCCTGAGGAACCTGCCGCCGTCGAGGAACCTGCTCCTGTGGAAGAGGCTCCTGCTGAGAAATCTGCTCCCGTTGAACCTGCCCCCGTTGAAGAGCCTGCTGCCGCCGAGGAGATACCTGCCGAGGAACCTGCCGTTGTCGAGGAAGACGTTCCTATTGAAGAACCTGTCCCAGTCGAAGAAACTGCTCCTGTGGAAGAGGCTCCTGCTGAGAAATCTGCTCCCGTTGAACCTGCCCCCGTTGAAGAGCCTGCTGCCGCCGAGGAGATACCTGCCGAGGAACCTGCCGTTGTCGAGGAAGACGTTCCTATTGAAGAACCTGTCCCAGTCGAAGAAACTGCTCCTGTGGACGAAGAAGTCTCCGAAGAGGCTCCAGAACCAACGCCCGTTGAGGAAACCTCAAGAGATATCGATGGCTTGGAGGCCTTGGAAGCAGGCTTGCCAGCTGTTGTTCCAGCCGCCGTAGCAGCCGAACATGCACGCAGGAGAAAGAGGCGGTCCCCGGATCAGGGACAGAGTCGACATTCGAAGAGTTCTTCTGAGGAAGTACGAAGATCATTGCCACGGCAGAAACTTGAGCGAAGTGGCAGTCTCCTTGATCGGTGGAACAAAGCCCTCGAGGAAGCCAAGCGACAGCATGAAGAAAAGCTAAGGCAGGAGGAAATACGGAGTAAAGACAAATTCCGGGCTCCAGAGAAGGCAGAGAAGGACAGGCATTCCTCGGAGCGAGAGCGCTCTAAACGAAGCGAGCGTTCGTCAAAAGAAGCTGCCGTGGATGTCAAGCCCAGTCGACGAAGATCCGAGCGCTCAGCCACCTATGAAGTCGAGCGTTCTTCGCGGGAAAAGGCTGCCGTGACTATCGAGCCGAGCCGACGGGTCAGCGAGCACTCGAGTAGCCACGGAGGCGAACGTAGAAGTACCTCCTCAAGGGATGGCCATGCATCGGGTTCGAAGCCGCGAGCCTTCCTGAAATACATGACAGCAGCCGAATCAGAAACGAATGGTCCCCTTCTCAAGATCAACGGCGACAAGGCTGCTGCAAATGTGTTTGAGCGTCGGTCTTCCACAACCCATTCACACAGTCACCGTCACTCGCACGAAGGAAGAGGGTCCGACCGGTCCGCGAGCTCCCATCATACGGCGGAGGAAGAGCAGGCTCGACGCGAGAGAAGGGCGCGACGAAGGGCTGCAGAGGAAGCAGAGCAGGCAAAGGAAAGAGAAACGTCCGACCACCATCGCCACCGTCATGGTGGAGAAACGCGCCATCACCATCACAGGCGCCGGAGAGATGAGCCTCCAAAGGAAGAGTCGAAGCTCAAGAATATCCTCAAAGCAGTTGTTGCTCATTAACTCAGGTGTCATTTCACTTGTTATCACGGCCTACCCACCTTGATTTTTACTCCCATGTTACCGTTCGGGTTATTGTCAACGTGATGTTTCCCAACAATCTCGCATCGCATCGAATGTTCTCTCGGCATATTAGCATAAGCATATGTGGTGTTTTGTGCTTTTACTTCGTCTTTTCTGACTTGTATTCCATATATGTTTTCGTGAATGCATCTAGAGGGGTTTTGTACAGCAATCTTGTCGAGCGAGCTTTTTGACATTGGTTGTGTATTTAAAACGTGGGCTCCTCCAGCGGAACACTGTTTCGGAATTCGTGCCTATTTGCAATGCAATGACTTTACTTCTCTTCCTTTGATTTGAGCCAGAGCATACAGATGCATCCTAGTCGTCTCTTCTACCTTCCGTCGCCATTAGTTAACGTACGGTACAGTTGTCAGATATCACAATACCGGTATTCAACGTCTCTTCGTCATTCGTCATACTCCTATGCACTTGCAACATAAGATTTAACTTCTGCACTGCACAGTCGGCGCCTGCGCCCGCGTCTACTGGACCCTACTCATTGCAGTGCTGGCATATATCCGTCGTGTCGAAGCGAATCCCGACCCGAGCCAGGTGGTTAATGCCGTATCCTACTCAAGATATCTGGCTCGGCTGAATCAATACGTGACCCTCCCTCTGCCTCAGTCGAACACACGTTCAAGACAGTTCTGTCTCGTCCCTATGACCGTGAGGAACATCTGTGTTCGCTTAGGGTCGTGCATGATCAGCAGAAATGCCACTCACATCATCTCATCCTCTTGGCATCTTCTACGGACGACTCCTCGGAACGCTGTGACTGAGGCAGAAGACGTGGCGAGGAGACGGTCATCTTCAACTGTCGCGGTATGGGGGAAGACAGAAGACGAGTGGAGAAGAAGAAACGGGGTAATGTCCGCCCGTCCACGCAGAGTAATCCGACGTCTGTGGCGACGGGGATATCCAATCTCAGCTCTGAGAGACTAGTCGAAGGGCTGACCATGTAGTCCAGTCATAGAAGTAGGAAGACTGATGACGACGATCGCAGCTGGACTTGTCAGCTAACAGACCAGTAACGCGTTCTAGCTAGACATCTGACCGTATCCTCGTGGCCAAGCGCATGATATCATGATACCGTAGTCTCACAGCAAGCAAGACAAATACTCAGCATGGTCTGGAGTAGATATCACCATCTCATCTCACCACCCTGTCTTAACAAAGAGCAAGGATGATAGGAAAGATGATGTCAGCTCAGCTCACTTGTCGAGTGCCATGTAGCCACACGGGTTGTCTACCCGATGCATGATGACCCGGAATACGAGCAAATCACCGTGTTCGTTCGGCAGGAGGTGTTGGTTCGCGAGGGTCGGCCGGATACGATTGGTGGTAGACAACCATCAATGTTGGTGATCGACTTCTTTGCGGATATCCTATAAAAAGCTGTACTCCATATGGCATGTGGCGGCCGCATGTGTTAATATGCGAAGTGAAGATTGAGACGAAGCGAATGGTGTGAAGAATGGTCTTTTAGCAGGTAGGTGGTAAGCACTATCGACTGTCTGTGGGTGCGGGTGCCTTGATGATAGCATGATTGATCAATTAGGCAGTTGGTAAAATATAATTTCAATCGCCTTAAGGCTCATGCACGTCCATTAGTGGTTACCCATTACCCATTACCAGTTTCCCATCCCGAAAAATGAAAGTAGGTACGGAGGAGAGAATCCTGGTCTATAGCTGGCAATTGGCTTGGCTTGACCAATTAATCTAATTTGTCTTTCATAAATTTTCATGCTACGCTGTAATTTATGTAGATGGGATATAACAGCCAATTACTGAATAAATCTCTGTTGGCTTGGACTTATGCTGCTGCTGTATTGGCCATGTTGTGTTAGACACTATCTGCATCCAAGAAAGGAATCCTATCCAAACGCGAAGAAGTAGTTAATTATCTGTTTCTTTGCCTCTTCTTCACAGTTTTTTTTGGTTAACCACCTGCTTTCTTTATCTAGCTCGAGGAGACCCATCTTTATCAAAATACAAGGCCGTTGAAGCGGGGAATGACGGATCTGGTTCCGGCTAGTATATTTTAGTACAGTTGGCGCAGTTCAGGGTGTTACCAAAGCTTCAAGATCTACAAGCGTGACACTGGTGATTGGGATGTCAGGGTAGTCTAGAGACCAGATGCCGCTCCCGAAAAGTGTCTCTAAACGGGAGCTAGATCTGTCTTCATGGGGAAAATGCTTCCACATCTAATGGCAGGAACATATGTCGGTCTTTGGCTGGTAGAGAGGAATATACTCATCCAACAGTTTCAGAGCGCATAAAGCTCAAGGTAAGGTCATTGTCTGATTTCTCGACCAGTAGATATGTATACAAAAAGCAATGCAGAATGGAGATTGCCAAGGCTTGGGCACTCTTTGCATGCGCTTGGATACAGAGCTGATTGGTATGGCGCCGATCGCGCACCGCCTAGTCAAGCGAGACGGAACGGTGCTAGGCAAGATTAAGTAGTCACGACGACGGAAGACTGCCGAGCCAGTGAGCCACTGTCCAGGGACAGCAAGCTAATAGGTAGCGTTAAACAGTTAAACAGCGATAGTACGGAGTATTAGTGAATCATGCAAACGGCGTTTGCTGGGCTGGGTTGACTCGAAAGCTTTGACAATTCGAGATTTCTCGCCGACTCCTACTCAATCGGGTATATGTTCTGAGATAAAAGGAGCCAACCTTGAGATCGTTGTCCAATACTCCAATTCATTGCTAATTTCGGTCGCGGCACTTGGCGATGACGGGCCGCTATTTCACTACTGGTAGGAGCACAGACGGTTCCTGCCGTTTGGTTTGCGGTGGACTCGAAATCCTCGAGATAGACACCTAGATAGGAGACATCGATGAGAAACTATCGTCAACACAAGATGGAGTTTGGTCTACTGGTAGACAAGGTTCAGTACCAGAGTCCGGTTCAGTGGAATCCACGCAGATTCAGAAGACTGTCTCAGTCTTGGGATCAACTAATCTAACTGTTGGCGAGGCATTGGCTGCAAGCCGCAAGCCACATTGAGTTAGTGGTTATTGAACCTCAGATGATGTTATCTCGGTGATTGATCTTACTTGGTGGCAGAATTCTTATTGATAACGACACTTGTGATTGGTGAGATTCTGCTCATTTCAGGGGTCGTCGCCTGCTCAGGGTCCAGTCTTACAAGACCCTCTGGTGTCCACGATTCTATAGATGCCTGACGACAATGAACGTCAAAATAGGCAATTGGTATGAGCCCATTAACTTGGTCGAGCCGGAGCCAGGGAGGGTCAATAATTGCACCAATTGGAAACCCGAAAAGGTACGCCGGAGTTCTCTCCGCCATCCGAAAAGAAAGGTCTTGCTTTCTCCACTGAGGCTTTTACGTTCCAGCTTCAGGATCAGGATCAACAGTGGACTCAAGCTTGTAATTTTCTCTGCACCCTAGCCTAAGTGTAACAGATACAGCCCAACGTTCTTGGTGATTTACATGACCCAACTCGCAGCCTGAGGCAATCAGGCAAGGCTGAATCTCCCTGGAGAAAGGTTAACCCTATGAACAAGGCGCAGTACCAACACCAACCTTTCTCATCCTTCAAGTTTCAGATTCCGATGCTTTAATCGAGGTCTCCATGATGACGGCAGATTTACCTATGTCATGTTTGAGATAGATGAATGACAGGAGGTGGTCGCATGGCAGTGCAACATCCCTACAAACGGTGCACCCGTGCAGGGCTTGGCTGTGAATTGCACTAAGAGTCGAGACTGGATAATAATAATACCGCCATGATGCCATCGGTATCTAGTTCGACGCTAATAAGCCTCATCGAGAATAGACCGCGTCGGGCCCGAGTCCGGAAGATTGGCGAATTTGGTAACCATTGCAAATTAGCTATCTAGCATTATCTAACCTTTAGACTGGGAGCACAATCAAATGACCCTTTCGACCGGGGCGAGACTGGGCTCCGGCTGCGGGATCCTTGTCACGGAGTGCTTTGTCTACCGATTCTCCGACCTCGAATGTAGCTAACCAATCAAGATACAAAAGTCAAGGGTGCGGCTTGATCAAAATGGGAGGCTATACGACGGAACCAGGTGAAGGGCAATGCTTATACAGGTCAAGATCCTCACCTCATTCCTCAGTTGCCCTCTGTTTCAATGATAGATGTTTATGAAGCTCTACCTTCTTATCCACAACTGTTTTACAGCATCCGTGGTAACCTGTCCTGGGTACATCGTCTGTACTGAGTTCTTCAAATTACAGTTGACTATTGTACCTTACCGATTACTTGACCAGGCAAGGTGCGCTTGGTTGAGAAACCCACTCCACCGACTTGGCTATACCATAAAAAGGCTAGTGGTTTCTGGGTTCCATACAGCTTCCATGATGGTTGCACAGCGGTGACACCAGTGACACCACACTTGACACTAACAGAGGCCTTTCCCCACAGACAACCACGTTGCTGTCTCACTCTCATAACAATCTCCAGACACACGTGCGACTAGCAGAGCACTTGGGTTTGGGAATCTCAAGGGTCGCACATCTCGCAACCATTCATCCTTCCCTTACCTTGTGTAACACTGGATCTGGACTTGAATTGCCTGCATCCTCGTAACAGTCTACCTTTTTAGGGCACCACCTGATTCGCCGGGAAAGCAAGCAAGTATAAGGAATTAGAAGGAAAGAAGCATATTGGCCGCTCGCTCTCCAGTTGCCACCTCCATCAACACAATAGACAATAAATAAAGCAATTACGGAGATACTAGTCTAAGTAGTCCGTAGACCGTGGTTTATCAGTAGTAGTGTCTCAACGCACACTCGTCTCGCCTGTCTCCTTGATCCACCGGCCCGCCTCGAAGGATTAGGAACCTTGCATCATTGCAGGCCAACCACACCACGTGATGACTCTGCCAAAACCAACACGCCAGAATCGCTCAGTGGATTCGACAGACTGCAGCCTGGGCTGCGTTGTGTCAGCGTCGAATGTTTCATCCATGCATGCACTTGCACACCTTGCACACACCCATGACGGCATGGCTTGTGCGAGTACAAGTGGAATGTAGGTAATGTCCTCCCTAAATCCTGTGGAATGCGGATGGTGCTTGGTACGGGGTACGGAGTAGGGTGAACAAGTGCGAGCAGGATAAGGTAAGGTAAGGTTTCTTAGATCTGAGGGACTTAGAGCCAATGAGCTTCGGTTGCAATCTCCAAGGTTAGCCCACAGCCCTACTACTACTGAATAGCTATGGAGTACAGAGTAATACTTAGTACGGTGTACTTCAAGATTCCATGGCCATACATTCAGTATGTGTAAACAAGACCAGTTATGCAGAAATCCAGAACTCGAACGACGTCCGTGTCCGTGTCCATGTCCGACGCTCAAGACCACATGGCCGACTGGCAAATATCGGTAATGGATGGTGGGCCACGTCTTACCCTACCCTCCATCAACCCATGTTGCCATGCTCACTGCAGCATTCCCAGCTAATGCACTCTAATGCGGATTACGTGACTATGTCCATGTGGAAGTGACGATCATTCCCGGGAAGGAGGGTTAAGTACTGTGTATTGGATAGACTGCCTACAAATCACCAGCGCAGTGTTGTATGTTCATCTGGAGAGAAAGTTACGGAGGACTGGTTTCCGGGGTGATTGGCTAGGTTTTGCAGGTGTGGCTCGCTTGCAGAATGAGCCGATAGGACTGTTTGTCTGCAGAGTGAGGATATGATGATGATAACTGGGATGCACTTTTTTTGTTGGATGCATACAGATACAAGCACCAGGATTCGCTCATAATGAATTGACCGAGGCTGTAAATAACGACGAGACAAATGTCTCGGTCGTTGGATCCGAAACCAACCGATGCCTTGATAGACCTTCGCTTATTGTACCAAAAATCGATCGTGGTTGTTGATATTCGAATGATGCAGAAATCCTGGGAGATAATTCCAGAAGCCAGAGGACTGTGCACAATGGGACAAGCTTCAGAAACAACAGTAAACCCAAGGTACTTTTTTTTTTTAAAAAAAAAAAAAAAAATTTGCATGTCACAGGCTAGAGACGGTCGTCCATGTATATACAAGATAGAGTACTGATCACCCAGATGAAACAAGCTAAGCCTATGCTTGGATGCTCAATGACAGGGAACGGCCCACTCCTCCTTAGTCGTTGTCAATTTCTCCAGGAGTCCAGGGATACTGAGAATGCATTATTACAGGGGCCAGAATCTGGATGCCTTGACAGGGAAGCGAAGTCTGGAAGTACGGAGGTGAGGTGGTACAGAATCGACCGGACATTTGGGGCAGATTGCCGGATCTTCCCCCGGAGGGCTGCATAGGTATCAGTCGATGGTCAAGTGTTAATATCGACGAGTTGTTTCTCGAGCACGAGCACGGAGTCCGGAGTCCGGAGGATAGTGCAAGCGAAGGATGCAAGGTGCTTATGGCATTATCCACACGTGGATGTGCTTGTCCACGTTTACGGGGGCACCTTACTGCTCCTTACTCCTTACGTCAAGCCGTGATCCATGCCTCTGACGCAGGAATGTTACTCAAGATATCTAGATCTTTAAATAAAATCGAGTAGTGAACGAATTGTAAATACGAGACGGGTCCCGAATACATAGACCCTATACGGAGCTATATTTAACTACAAATACGGATGCCACAGCCTGGGGAGGCAGACTTGACACGGGACGAACCTTCTCCAGTATCTAAAAGAGGAAGTTCGCGACTAATGCTGGACTTATGGCTATTCAACAGAATTGATCTATCAGCGAGATGAAATCGGGACTTTCCTGAAAGGGTATGTGTTGGTGTTGATTGCGGGGCAGTGTCATGGCCACGAGGGCCAGACAGACGCACTTCTGGTTGGCTCTTCTAACTTGTAACAAAAGCGACAATAACAAGGGTTGGGAAATTGGAACGACCATTTGGAATAACTTCTTAAAAGACCTAGAAAGGTATTCAGGGAGAACAGATGGCAGTACCCGTTTTCTTTTGTTTTCTTTTTCGCTGGTTGTCAGAAGCCGAATGAGCCGCCCGAGCTGATTCAACCTTGGCGGACGTTTAGGAGCCCATAAAAGTCCAATTAGCATGCCAATTGAGTCAATAATAGTTAATTTTGTTCAGCTTGTGATTGACTGTGTCTAGGGCTGACCTGAGCGAAGCCTGAATGCCTGGTGTCAGCGGTGCTGGAGGAGCCTAAGCGAACAGAAGAAAAACAAAAGCAAATATCCCTGCAGACAAGCGAAGTAAACTCAAAATGGATAGAGAAAAGTGGTATAATTAGCACACATTCCATAGGAAAATGCAGCTAAGATGGAAGTATTTACGAAACAGCCAATCAGACGCACTCCTCAACCAACACTTTCGACCTCGCCCTATGGACTGCTATTATTATATTACCCTCTCGTGATTATTTGTTTTCTGTTGGTTTTCATGCTGCTGCAGCGGTCCAGGATGGCCTCTACACCCTTGACCGTCGGAAAATCATCTCGTCATTATGACTTTGAGGGTACCTATAGTCCGTCCGCTCCTCCATAGTGGTAAGTACTTAACCTCATTTCAAATGGAAAGAAAGGATTAAGAGAAATATGTAAAATGCACAATACGTGGTGTCCAGACAATGCTAAGGTACAATTCTTTTGTTCCCTCAGGCATTCTGACCTCTAAAAGCTGTGGCTTGGGATTCAAGATCTAGTCTAGCTTCTTCCCTGTGCATAAGAATCAGCCTAACCAAAAACCGTTGAAGTATATTTGGGGCTTGGTTAATCCTGGCTGTACACGTTGTTGGCTCGAGGGTAAAAATAAAATAATAATATTTCAAATCTTTACAGGTCCATGTTTTTCGAATGCGCCTCAGCCGCATGAGCTAATTCGAGCCCTTCTTGGTCCAGTGTGGATGTTGGTCGCCTGCTTATGGCTGGAAATGGGGGAGGCATTATTTTCAATTCTATCCAATACCTTTTTATCCAAATTTCAGGGGAAATTTTGACTTTCCCGTAAGGTATTCGCTGTGTAATGTAACCTCCGCAATCTGCCCTCGTTCTACTGGGGCCCACCATGCTTTATTTCTAATCTATTAAACTTTGAACTTTTGATGCTTCACTGATTTCCACCTTCGAGGTCCAGAGTCGAGGTTGATTCCAACGCAACTAAAGACTGTTGGACTTACCTAGTGTGGCTCTGTAGTATTTTTACTCTAGTTTCACACTAATTCTGCAGCCGGGAAACGCATCGATAACAATATGTACACCAATTTTACCGAAGTCATCCAAGGTATACCTAACTAGTAGGCACATAGCCATGCTTGTATGATCACCCTGCAGATTGATCATCAAACCTGCACCTCTCGCTTACTTACATGATTTGTTTCTATGTTTGACCAAAAATAATCATCATCGATAATAGCATTGTTTCAGGTTTTTTTCTCCCCCTAAATTCTTAACTAACTTCTTCATATCAAACCATCCAATTGTGGGCCTGGGGGTGAGGAAGATCTTCTGGAGCAGGCTGACTTGGTACCTCGCATATCCACTCCGACGGTTCAACAATCTATATCAACTTCCTCATTCTCACCTCCATTCCCCCAGTCTCTAGAGTCGTTTGCCACCATTCCGTGAGTTTCATCTTGACTAGTTCCTTTTTCTTCCCTCCACTGCATCTCGGTCACTTGCATGCGAGGCTTTTTCTCTTCCAACATCTATTCTTACCCTCCTCGCCATCAACCAATCTTATCGCTGTTAGCTGTGAGGACTCCAACAATAACATTATCACAGCCTACCTCCCCCACACATTGTCCAGCGTACCTGCCTCATGCTTAGAGGTGCTTATTCAAACTCTGAAGCTATATCTTGCTCTCTGTCGCCAGTCCATCTATCCACGTTCATCCGCACCTCAAACACATCTTCCGCAGCAACTGCTTATCAACCACGACATTCTGCCTCCAAAAAATCATTGTCCTCCAAAGCCAGTAAACAAACCACCGTGACCATGCGTCGGAGCAATGCAGCCTCAGAGATTCCTCTTCCTATCACTTACACACCTACCACTCATCGTATCAGCAAAGCCAAGAAGGGCAAGCGTGTACATGCTTGCGAATTCCCAGGATGCAACAAGGTTGGTCCTAGACACCATCTGACTGTGTTAGGGACATCTACTAACAAGGTCTTAGGTGTTTACCAGAGCAGAGCATAGAAGGTAGCATAGCCTCTCAATTGTGTGACGGAACACTTACTTACCATCTTATAGACGGCATGAATTGAACCACAAGCCTGAAGCTTTATACCGCTGCCCTCATCAGAACTGCAAAAAGGAGTTTCATCGTTCAGACTTATTAACCCGGCACTTGGCAAGACAGTAAGTCTCATCCCGGAATGGGGCTCTTCTGGAGGCGCAACTGACACTCGACCTCTCAGTGAGCTTGAGGCACAGATGGAGAGCTCATCACAATGGGACCGAGATACACAAATTCCCACTATTTCAGAAACCACTCGAGTGTCCAAGTGCATGCCGATAGATCCAGCCATAAACACATACCTCGCTACCACACAGTCACCAAGCACAATGTCCGTCGGAGCCCTGGTGGGCTCGTCCATGCACCCGAGCCTCACGAGCAACTGCAGTCTCTTGTGGAACTCGATGGACATGCACTCAGCTTCTCAGGTACCCATGTATGGCAATCACCAGATCTTCGAGTCCGTTGAGGACACTCGTTTCTACGCAACCCCGGAAACATGCCCGTCGCCCGCCTCGGATGGCACCTCGCTCTCTCTCCCGCCTCATAGCCGTTCCTCACTCTCATCTACCCCAGCTACAATGGTCGATTCGTATCCAAGTAGCATCATCGACTCTGATCTGACGTCCTCGCCGGTTCCTATGCACTCCACGTTACGTGGTTGGGATCCTGCCGAGGCCAATCTCTCCTCAATGGTTCCCATGTCGTTGAATGGAAGCCTGCTCTCTCCAGTACGTTGCCATGACTCTCTGTATTACTGAGTCTTTGAACTAACAGATTTTTAGCCTATTACTTGCCATTATCCTTCCCCTACATGGCCATCCTCACACCATGTCGCCTATGATGACCTCCATCATCCCCAAACAGTAGCCTTTCAATCTGTACCATGGAAGTCCTGGACGCTGTAACCGGTATACCCTCGCAATCAATCCCGCCATCCCTCACCATCTATATCACCAAAAGGCTGGTTGCAAGGATTTCCAGCTCCTATTATATCCTCCACGACCACACTCCATGGCAATGTCATCAAACATGCCTCAATCCTATCCTCACCTACATCCTCTGATAAAAAAAACCTCATGGCCAGGCGCATTCTTGTATAGCTCACCACAATCATATATCCAGGCTTCAGGTCCTCATCCCGTTGGTTTATGCGATGTCTTTTTTTTTTATTTCCCTTATGTCCTTCTTTATGTTGCTTAACGAGCATATACCCACGATTCGCTTTACAGAACTGCAACAATACGATCGTTTCCAAGTATTGTACAATTACATTACAGCTTCCCTTCGCTTGCACGTGTCTCTGGACAGAAACGCCCTTATGATAGATCTTGTTTGGATTGATTTATCCATTTGCAATGGTGGATTTGGTTCCATGCTTCATTGGCAGATAGATTTTTCTTTTGCTTTAGCTGTTTATCAATCGATACTGGTGTTGATGAAACAATAAACGCATATCTCTACAAAACTTAATAGATTTGGCCTGACCTAAGTTATCCACTTGCATAAAGAATTCTTTCAGATCTCATTAGATCTGGAAGACATTCATACCGGTAATTACCACACATTATTCTTCCACTCTCTTCGCTTTCGATCTGTTATTCCATCTAACATCCTCCTTTCGGAGCGCATTCCTGCCTTGATAACCATGATTCCAACTGGTATCTCTACGACTGGCTGGAGGAGGACCACGAGAGATTGTGGATGTTGGACAAATCCAGGGCAGAGATTCAATACCGGAAAGATGCCAAATCGGGAGATTGCGATGCAATATACCTTAGTGTATGGGGCTGTACTGTACTCGTCCAAATAGGCTTTCTCGGAGATAGCAGAACAGGATGCGATCGATTACTGCGTTGAGTAGGCGTGTCTGATGAGCGAATCTGTTTGGTTAATGAGTATACTGTGTGTGCATTTGGGGATGGGTATTGTCAAAGAGGTCGAGGGCTGATCATAAGATCCTGGACATGATTTCTTTGGCTCGGTATGCCGACAGGGTTCTGTTGCGCTATTGTCGGTCCTCATTAGTACCTATCATTTCGTATCTGTTTACAACGGAGACTTCAACTTCGGTATTAAAAGAGTATAGAAAGTCACTATGTTCCAGTGCCCATACTGCACTATCCCTATATACTCCGGCTGATATATGTTAAGACTTGCTATGCATCACTGTATAGAAGCGAGGTCATCCTTGGATGGGATAACCCTGCAGCACCAGCCGCACCAGCTCCGATTCAATCCCTGCTCTTCTCGAGTCAAATATTGACCGGTATCACGCTCATCCTCATACTCCACAACACAAGCACCGATAGTGACGCGCTTCTTCGCTTTTTGCTTGACTCGTCCGCCTATCCCAATGATTTCCTGTCTGAAGTACCCCGGCTTTTCTTCATCACGACTGTTACTTCTTTCCAATGACCGATCCCGGAGAAGTTCATCCTGCGGACTGAGGTGACCGTGTGCGCGCGCATTGCCCTGATGATGGTTGTGCGGACTTCCTGAGGGCGACGACTCGTCTGCCTCACACTCCACCTCCAGCTCAATCTCTTGAGCAGCTAAGCAATCCTCTTCCCTCCCGCATTTCACCCCTTGACATCCCTCACCAATCCCGGTGCCTAGGCCGCCAAGATATGTGCTATACCGAGTGCGCCAAGTCCACACACGGCGGTAAGTAGTGTCGCTACTGCGCAGGGTCTTTCCGCATGGATGACAGAGCCATACCAGATCTTCGCACGAGCATGGTGAATGTATAAAAGCTGATGCCGTGAAACTGGAAAGGTCTGGCGGCACCTGGGTTTCAGAAGTAGTTGTACTAGAAGGGCTCCGGGTAAGATGGGCGGCCAAGGGTGCTGTACGGCAGGTGGTACACAGGCGACGAACGCGATCTTTGAGAATATTTCTGGGAGGGGTTTTGATGGTGCAATTCTGTGGACGCCATTAGTCGCGCTTATCGATGACACGTGCTTCACTCGGTCATACCCTGCATATGATCCTGGAGCATCTCCGACATTCCGCTACCATGTCCCGAGCACATCTACCAACCTTGCCCCTGACCAGTCTACCGGCAGTCAGGGTTCCCTGACTCACAAGCCGGAGGACAGATCTCACGCTGTCAGGAATAGCCGCCCTGCCATCCAAGAGATCCGACAAAGTTTCAACATACTCGTTCTCGCAACGAAGGGTCTGCTTCACGAGCTGATGGCGATATGGCGCTAGATTTGCATGGAACTGACGGCAAGTTCGGGAGAGGGCATAGAGTGTATTGAGATCGACTTGTTGGGCGATTTCCTTGACGATTCTGCAGCTTCAGTCAGCAAACAGATGATTTTGCCAGAAAATGTCGGCCAGTATGACATACGGATAGCAACTCAAAGCAGCTGAAAACCCATTACGATTCAGCATCTCATGAGGGCCGTCATTTTTTGTATGATCGTGCATCGAACCAGCAGAATGATCATTGTCAGGAAGAGTTGGCGGATCAGAGCCAATAGCCTTTAACTTCGACAGCGCAGGCTTATCTGGCTGAAGGTACGCCTGATAGGTGCCATCACGGGCTCCGGGGAAGACATCATGGTCATAATCGACAAATACCACCATTATGCCATCAAAGAGAAGGGAAAAGGAGGACGCGCTCGGCTCGAGCCAGCCCCAGAGATGGTAGACTCAGTCTGGAGCAGAAGAACTATTGAAAGTCCAAATCCAATATAGACAGCTATCACACCGTCAATAGGGAAACGCTGTCACTCTTGTATAGCAGCCATCCGTGCAGAATATACAGTGGAATGATGCGGATGAGGACGATCACTCCGTTGTCGGCGCGGGGCGACGGGGCGCCAATCGTGGTCCGTTTCGGGGATGGAGAAGCCGAAGGCGATCGGAAGACCTTAAGCGTGACAAGGGTCTCTTTGAGGGTTTGTATACACAGTCTCTGTGACAATACTACTTGTTATCCAGAGCATCAGCGTCTCAACGCGAGAGGTGGTTATGATATGACGCCAGTGTCCCTTCGTTCTTATCGGAAAGTCACGCGTATCTCTCCCGCACTAAACCCGAAGCAGTACAGCTGCCCCTCATTCCCGAAGAGGAAGGTGACCCCAACTTCTCCATCTTCTCTGTTTTCCTCGGCAAGATGTCCAACGCTTCGTTGAGAACAAGCAAAATCGAGGCATCTGATGCGGGCGATGGATGGTATTGATGATGACAGGAAGATAATTCAAGCATGCCATATCTCAACTAATGTTGCGTATGTTTCTTCTGCGAATGGCGGAAAGGTATTTCGGAATTCAATCTACCCCAATAAATGATAAGGTTACGGCTGTATTCGAGCGGACGGCGTAAAGGAGCGGAGCATCCCGATATTAGTACGGTAGTATGTATGAGTCTTCGTCTGTTGTCCTACTTAAGAGTCGACCTCCCCTCATCGCTTAATTACAATCTTCTGCTTGGTCATTCTCACTGTCTACTGCTCTTCATTTGCCATCGTCATTTCTCTCCAAAATGCCTCTCAACTCCCACGCTGTTTATTCCAGACTGAACCCGGACTTTGTCCCGTTTGCCAGTAGAAGGAGTACTGTCCACAGTACCAAAGGCATCGTAACATGTACTCAACCTCTGGCAGCTGCTGCGGGTCATAGAATCTTGAGGGAAGGAGGAAATGCTGCGGTATGTGTGCAGGGGACATTTCTCCGGCCATCAGTTTCACTGACTATTATGTTTCACCAGGACGCTGCTGTAGCAGTGGGTAAGTGCTGATTGCAATAGGCGATGATAAGCAGGTTTGACTCGTTTCAACAATAGCCGCCGCATTGAATATCACCGAGCCTTCGTCAACCGGGATTGGTGGAGACATGTTCTGTCTCTTCTATGATGCGAAGTCAAAGAAAGTCCATTCACTCAACGGTTCTGGCCGATATCCCGCCAGCGCGACGCTCGAGAAGATCAGGAATGATTTGAACCTTGGTGCCAATGAGAAGAGGAGCATCCCAATGACCAGCGTCCTATCGGTGACTACCCCCGGCGCAGCTGCTGGATGGGTAGACACAGTGGAGAGATTTGGCAGTGGCAAGCTGTCCTTGGAGCAGATTCTGACGCCAGCAATTGAATTGGGTGAGCAAGGGTTCGCGGTGTCAGAATTATCCTCCTACTTTGTAAGTTTATCCTTTTTTATTTGCCCAGCTTTTGTAGTAATGTACCGTTCTGACTGCTTTGGAAGTGGCGTGAGAGTGAAGATCTGCTACGAAACGCATCTCCAAATTTCCGGGAAATGCTCAAGCCTGATCCGAAAGCCAGAGATGGTGTTAGAAGCCCCCATCCTGGTGAAATTATGAAGAATCCGACATTGGCTAAGACCTTCCGGAAGCTCGCTGCGGAGGGTAAGAAGGGGTTCTATGAAGGCGAAGTTGCAGAAGAGCTGGTCAAGGTCGTCCAGGACCTGGGTGGCTATATGACGCTGGATGACCTTAAGTATCACGCTGAGACCGGAACACAGCATACTGAAGCTATCTCCCTCAAATTCACGGGCCAAGATATTGTCAAAAAACAGACCGCTGGAACGGACGATGAAGCAAACCAAGGGGTGGAAATATGGGAGCATCCACCCAACGGCCAAGGCATCGTTGCTCTCATGGCCCTGGGTATTCTTGAGGAACTCGAACGCACGGGAAAGATCCCCGTGTTTACCGAGAATCAGCACAACTCGGCAGAGTACCTTCACGCAGTTATCGAAAGTCTTCGCATTGCTTTCGCCGATGCCTCATGGTGGGTCACGGATCCAGACGTGGAAAAGGTACCGTCGAAAGAGCTGATCTCCAGGGAGTACCTGGCCGGACGGGCGAAGCTGTTCAACCCGGAGAAAGCAGCAGACATCGTCGATCACGGTAGTCCAGCTCACAATCACTGCGATACTGTCTACTTCGCTGTGACTGATGAAGAGGGCAACGGTATTTCCTTCATCAACAGTAACTACGCTGGCTTCGGTAGTGGTATCATCCCTAAAGGCTGTGGCTTCACGCTACAGAACCGCGGCGCCAACTTCTCTCTGGACCCAGGCCATCCTAATGCTTTGGCTCCACGAAAGCGGCCGTACCACACCATCATTCCTGCGCTGATTACCAATTGCTCAGACGGCTCTCTTCACTCGGTTTACGGTGTCATGGGTGGTTTCATGCAGCCACAGGGTCACGTCCAGGTCCTCCTCAACACGCTTGCGTTCAACTATCATCCTCAAGCAGCGCTGGATGCTCCACGGATCTGTATCGCGGCCGACTCTGAGCCTGGCAATCAGACAGTCTATATCGAAGAGGGTATCAGTGACGAAGCTATTGAAGGCCTCAAGCGGCTTGGACATCAAGTCAAGGTTCTCGCCGGGTGGCAGAGGGGAATGTTTGGTCGCGGACAGATCATTCGCTGTCATCACGACGATGGCCAATTGGTCTACAGTGCAGGGAGTGACCCCAGAGGCGATGGAATGGCGATTCCTACGGTATAAACTGATTGGCTCACCTTTCTGATACAGGCTGAGTCAGTGAACCTGACGTTATCGCAAACCTCCTCTGTGAAGAATAGACTTGCAAAGTGATTATGTCTCCACAAGCTTGGAAATATTGTTAGTTTCCGCTTGTTCCGGGGCATAATTCCTGTGATGTTCCCTATACATGTTGGACACCTGCTTTCGAGAATCAATCAGCTTCCTGTGTATATTGATATAGCGGGGTACTCTCGAGATCGCCCAAGATTTTTCCGATCACTGACTGGTCTTCATTTGCTGCCGAAGGTAACATGCCACCTCAAAAATATTCAGCCAGGTTCTTAGTACAATTATGCATACATGAGGATTTCCTTCTACAGAAGCAATATGGTTGATCGCCTGGCTTATAAACAATTAGTCATAATGAGAGAATACGAGACATAGCCGATTGAAATCCTGGAGAAGGAGTGAGTAGACTGGCCGAAGTCACCGAACGGTTCATTCGGGCTTCCCAGAACCACAACTTACCCCGCCTGGTACTATATAAGGCTTCGCACCTTGATTCACGGACGGAGCTGCATTCGAGCAATGTTGAAGGACAAACCACCATAGGCTCTGTTTTATCTCACTGAATCGATAATGTCGAACGACCCCAAACTGCCTTCGAGTATCCCAGAATTCATAGCGAAATACAAGGAAAATTACGTTGAAGCATGGGCTGAGCTCTGGAATAAGAGTGAGGGTAAACCTCTCCCCTTTGACAAAGGTTTTCCCAACCCAGCATTTGAGGATACGTTGATCGAGAAGCGCGATATCATCGGTGGCCCCATCGGCCGGGATGCGCAAGGCAACACGTACAGGAAGAAGGCATTAGTCCCAGGGTGCGGAAGAGGTGTCGATGTACTTCTCCTGGCCAGTTTCGGGTATGATGCCTATGGCCTGGAATATAGCGCCACTGCCGTTGAGGTGTGTAAAGAGGAACAGGCGAAGAATGGGGATAAGTATAATGTACGAGATGCGGAGATTGGGCAAGGCAAAATCACATTCGTGCAGGGGGATTTCTTCAAGGATACTTGGCTGGAGAAACTGCAATTGCGTCGGAATTCTTTCGATTTGATCTATGACTACACGGTATGTGGATCTCAGAAGTCCTTTGTACAGTGCACTCGGCCTGGTTTCTATCTTCTTTCTCAGGAGCAGAGTTCAGTTAGCTCCTATCGCAGTACTGTGCTTCTCTCGCTAAACAGCTGTGTTTGATAGTTCTTTTGCGCCTTGGACCCGTCAATGCGTCCGCAATGGGCACTCAGGCACACCCAGCTTCTGGCAGATTCGCCGCGTGGGCATCTCATTTGCCTTGAATTTCCAAGGCACAAGGATACGTCACTACAGGGCCCTCCATGGGCCTCTACGTCCGAGGCTTATATGGCACATCTGAACCACCCTGGCGAAGAGATCCCATATGATGCAAACCGTCAATGTAGCATTGACCCATCAAAAGCGCCAAGCCCACAGGGGCTTGAGCGAGTGGCATATTGGCAACCAGCTCGGACGCATGAGGTAGGGATCGTTGAGGGAGAGGTCCAAGACCGAGTGTCGATATGGCGCCGCCCGAACTAGGTTGATCAATCCTTTTGTTCTTTGTGCCGTAATCCGGGACCCCGACAACGATCGGAGATGCTTAAGAGCAATTAGCACATTCGAAAACCAGATATCAAATCGCATGTTTCTCCCTTTTAGAATGGCTGCTCTATGATTGTTTCGTAAGGGCATTATAATGCTCTCCCAGCCCGTATGTATGCCGGTAGTATGCCAACCAAATGACCCGCTTGTTTCTTTCTTCCTCATCAATCCCATCCATATCGCCGGATTCAATCCTCTCTATCCTGCCATCGCCTTGGATGACATTAATATTAACTCCATATGCCCGAGCGATTGCCTGCAGCTCCAGCTGTCCTCCCCACTCCGCCGTAAGCTTGATCTTCCGGGTATACGAATCCAACGGCTCCTCCATAAAGGGCTCGAAGTCATCTTTGTGCTCGACGATGAAATCCGCCGTGACTGCTCGAACCGCTCTGTAGCCATCATGTTTGGGCGAAGCAACCGTATCAATCCGAGACTGTGTCTGGGGCTGAATGACTATCCGTTGTGGATCAGGCCTGAGCCCAAGCCCTGATTCTTCCAGCTGATTGGCAATAGCTGAATATAAACAGTGCCCATCTGGGTTGATTTCCACCTCTTTCAAGCCCAGTCGTTTGTAAACAGCCTCCATCACCTCCTTTTCGTTCCCACGATGGTCAACCTGTTTCGCGGCCTCTTCTGCGGCAAGCGCCGACTGAGCCGCCTGTTCTGCTGCCCGACGTGCCAGACGAGCCTTTTGTCGATTCGGTTTCTTCGTACGCGGGGCGGAGGCAGGTGAGGAGGTTGCCGTCGAGTCGATCGTTGAAGGCTCCGGGAGGCTGTCTGTGCCTTGTGTAACATCTGATGTAGGTTTCTCTACTGTATCTGCATCTTCGACATCGGGATCGCGAAGACTAAGGTCTTCGAAGCCATCGACTGGCTGGACCGGCTCGCCGTTGAGCGCTGCAATTTCGCCTTGGTGACGATCGGAGAGCTCTCGCTGCAGCCTCTCGCATTCCTCGTTGATTCCGCGACGTGTCTTCTTTGTAGCTGATTTCTTCTTCTGCGTGATGCGTGCCTGAAGATCTTTCTGCTCCTTGCGCTGTCTCGCTAATAGTTCTTCCATTTTTAGATAAACGCAGGCAAAATGCAAGGTAAAGCGAAAAATCTATAATCTTGGGGTATGAGAGCAAGAATAAACTGAGTAAATATGCGAGAATGTAAACGATATCAATTAAGATATGCTGAAATCGATAATGCCATCTATGGGACCAACGCCATACAACTGTAGAACAACTGCAACTCAAGTGAATAATCATAAAACAGTGGGCTCGCCCCTCCCCGCACAAGCGCCCAGACCGGCCCTGGATTTTCCTAGATTAGGCATAGCGTCTACTTGTCGGTGCTTCTGTTGTTCCTGCTCCGAACAGCCTCGGTATTCTCCGCCAAGCCTTGCAACAGTCTCTCGGTCGTCGGATAAGCATCGTAGCTAGACTATATGAGGAGGGCTTCCCTCGCCTCGACCATAGTGAAGAAAGTCTCCCTTGAAACATTCTTCCGAATTTATTTCCTTCATTCTTTTTCTTTCCGCCCCTAGAATCTCGTTTTTGACACTGTTGCAATGGATACCCAGTCTCTTTTCAATGTGGAGGTTAGTATCGGTGCTCTCCGCTTGCGCACCATCATTTTGCATGTTGCTAACAATTATGTAGGGCAAAGTGGTGCTGGTCACCGGCGGAGCCAAAGGCATTGGGCGTATGATCTCCGAAGGTTACGTCACCAACGGCGCAACAGTTTACATCTCGTCTCGAGATGCCAAGGCTTGCGAGAAGGCCGTGCAGGAGCTGAATGCTATTGGCCGGGGAAAGGCGTATGCTATTCCCGCGGACTTCTACAAGGAGGAGGAATGCAAGAGGCTAGCTGAGGAGATTGCCAAGCGCGAAAGCAGTAAGTTGGTTTTGGGAGCCCTGCTCAGGCGGAAGGCTAATCCCATGCTCTATCAGAGCTTCATGTCCTCGTGAACAACTCCGGGTCAAACTGGGGTGCTCCTTACGATGAATATCCCTCATCTGCATGGACCAGAGTCCTCACTCTGAACCTTCAACGAGTCTTTGATCTTACCAAGCTCCTTACGCCCCTTCTCGAGAAGGCTGGTGCGCCGAATGATCCAGCTCGCATAATTAACATCGGTAGCATTGATGGGCTGAGAGTACCGGCTCTGGAGACGTTCGCATACAGTGCTAGCAAGGCTGGCTTGCATCATCTGAGCCGTGTCCTCGCACATCACCTTGGCAAGAGGAATATCACGTTCGTACACCTTGTGCTAACTACGTGCGTCGAAGGCGGCTACTAACATGGCTTTCTGACAGATCCAACACTCTGGCGTGCGGTCCCTTCGAGAGCAAGATGATGGCCGCCACCTTGGAGAAATTCCGGGATGCTATCGAAGGTGCTAACCCGCTGGGCCGTATTGGCACGCCTCAGGATGTTGCTGGTGCTTGCCTTTTCCTCAGCAGTCGGGCCGGTGCGTACATCAATGGTGCGACGATCGCGGTGGACGGTGGTAGCGCGATTGCTGCGAAGATGTAGACAACATACACAACCAGCTTAGCGCAGACTAGAAAAGCAAAACCGTTTGAATGGACACGCTTATCATAACCTATTCAAGAAGGTCTTGCCGAGTTTATCTCAGATCATTGCCTTCGTTGTGGCTGCCTTCCACTGTTATGAGCAGTTGAGCAGGGGTTGCATACAAGAAGTCTTGGTCTTCTGGGAATAATAATAGCTACACAGGGTCAACAATATCCACGTGTCTAATCTAACTTCTGCACTTCAGCCGATCCCTAGGAGTTTGCATGGCACTTCCGCGAGATAGTCATCCTAACCCCATTCTTAGAGAGCGTAATATTGTCTTGGCGTGGATAGATCAAACCGACTCCCTAGTATCAAGGGGTCAACTGAGCAGATCTTCTGACGCCTTCATGCCGTAAAGGTTGTGGTAGGTAAAAGCAGGTCCCGCCTTGACCAAATTGAGGTTTTCAGGCTGACAGATCGTCCTTTGCGACTCTCAGATCTCATCATTTCCAGCCCGATGGCGGTGGCTCAGTAAAAATATCTTGAGAGCTCGTATTCCCACAGCTTTTAACCAGTGGATAAGATAATTGCCTCTTACATCTGAAGCTTTATAGACGCAGGGGAGCTTCATAGCTGCGTGGGGTTGCTGTTTGGTGAGCTTTGGATTGGTCAGGCAAATCCCTCAGCTAAAGCGTCCTATAGTATAAAGCTTGAGATGGACAAATTCGGCGTGAGTCTAATATATTAACCTTCTACTTCAGGGCACTTATTGAACGAATCAAAAGTTTCTAAGAGTATTCAGCTTATCATTGGTTCCTAGACTCGACCCTAAAATTTATCGGCGTTCTGGTAGCGAGGGAAATATCCCAAGTTGCGGTCGAGATCTATATTATTGAGAGCTAGGAATGTGGAAGCCACCACTTAATTTCATAACCCTGCATTGTACGTTAACCTTATCTGATTTACATCATTCTATGCAAGCTCATGAAGAATAAGATGCATACATCGTTACACTGGGCATCTTAGGGATTGTTATCCTCTATCCATACGGCAACCTCAGTGCAGTCGATGCCTACCTTTTCGGAGTGAGCTCTTCGACAGAATCAGGACTGAACCCGTTGGTTGACCTCACTCCGAAGTTCATGGAGACCACTTGCTGATAAAAAATTGATCAAAAAATAGTGTTGACGTGAAGGAGCTGAAGACCTATCAGCAGCTATTTCTGTACTTTGTGCCGATTGTGGCCAACGCTGGGTTCATCAATCTTATAGTGGTCGTTGTGCGACTGCACTGGTTCGAGAAGCGTCTGAAAACACTGGGTATGTGTTACACCTCATCTATCCCGTTACAATCCGATCTATGTTTCCTTGTTGCTAACTTCGTGAAGCGCCTACACTTCTGCAATCAGAATCATCGCGCTCGAAAGATGCAGAAGCGCAACCAGCCAAGTTCAATGCCGATCGGCCTTCAGAAGCCAATACAGCGCAGATGCAATCGAGTGCTCTATATGATAGTCACTTGAAGCTGAATAAGTAAGTACTTTCACTAAATTGTTTTAATTCCGACTGGGTTGTCTAAGCACCAAGGAGGGGTTTTCAGGGAACATGATTGCATCGTCTCGAACAATGACAACAATGGCGGCGAGAACCCGACCAAACACAGACAAATTTCCTTTGCAGACAACTCAAAAGCTCTACACATACCCTCGCCGCGCGAACGCGATAGAGGTAATTCCTGGTTCTTAGCTGAGTAACTCAGGTCTGCGCTAACAGGGTCAAGGTCATGCTATCACGGAGATAGACGACCACGGTATGATCTCTATATCTTCATAGAGACGTAAACCACTAATACTCTGTGTCAACACCAGACCATTTCGAACACGCCGATGATGATCATCAGACCGATATAGCTCGCCACCGAACTTTGGTCAGTGGCATCCCGTTGGAGCGCGTTGCTTCGTCGATGTTTGTGCTTGGATCTTATCCCTCTAGATCTCAAGAGCGACAGACTAGAAGAACCATGTCGCTTGCTAAAGACCCGGAGCTGCCGCAACTTTCCTCACAAGCCAGTCTCGGCAGAAACTCAAAGTTCTACAACCTGACCCCTGAAGACAGAGAAGCTCTGGGAGGAATAGAGTATCGCAGTCTTAGGCTACTTCTCAAGATAACACTGGGTGAGAGCAGACTTGAGATATTTTCATACGGAGAACCTGACATATGTGCATAGGCTATTTTATTGGCCTCCATGTCTTTGGCGTCATTTGCCTCGTGCCTTGGATTCAACATGCGGATCCCAAATACAGGGACTATCTGAAGGAATGCGGACAAGGAAACGTCTGGTGGTAGGTTTGCTGCTGCATGAGCATTTGACAGTCCAATATCAGCAAGGCTTACTATGCTCGCCGCCGGTAGGGCCTTGTACACGTCCCAGACGATGGTTGACAACCTAGGATTCACACTCACTCCTGACTCGATGATATCGTTTCGAGATGCAGCATTTCCGATGTTCATCATGAGCTTTCTCGCCTACGCAGGGCATACTATGTACCCCTGCTTTCTACGCCTCATCATCTGGATCATGTTCAAATGCGCCCCCAAACACTCCTCCATCAGGGAGCCGCTGAGCTTCTTATTGAATTATCCACGCCGTTGCTATACGCTGCTCTTCCGTAGCCGACCTACATGGGTGCTCTTTGGAATCCTTTTTGTGTTGAACTTTGTGGACGTCTTGCTCATTGTGGTGCTTGATCTCCATAATCCGGCCGTCAACACTCTATCCGGTGGGCATCGCATCCTCGCGGCCATTTTTCAGGCTGCTTCGGCACGCCATACGGGAACTTCGTCCTTCAACCTCGCAGAAGTGAACCCTGCAGTTCAATTCAGCTTACTGGTCATGATGTACATTTCGATTTTTCCGATTGCCATCAGCATCCGTGCTTCGAATACATACGAGGAACGTGCTCTTGGGCTATATCCCTCTAATCAGGATGAGCTGGATGAGAACAATGGGATTAATTACGTGACGACGCATATGCGAAATCAACTCAGCTTTGATCTTTGGTATATATTTCTTGGGATTTTCTGTATCTGTGCCACCGAGGCACGGAGGATCATGGACCCTTCGGAACCTGTCGGTTTCCAGTCTTGTTTCGCTTTTAGGGCTCGCATCACTGACTTCTTGCAGGGCTTCAGCGTGTTTGCCATATTCTTTGAGGTCGTCTCTGCATAGTGAGTACAGTATCTATTCCTTTCCTTCCGAAGATGTCTGACGAATTGCAGTGGAAACGTTGGTCTCAGTCTGGGATACCCCAATGTGACCACCTCATTTTGTGGACAGTTTAGCGTCTTTAGCAAAATCGTCATCTGTGCCATGATGATACGAGGACGCCATCGTGGACTGCCTGTTCAACTCGACCGCGCGATACTGCTTCCTGGTGAACGCATTGCGAGAGATGACAGACTCGTTGATGAGTCTTTTGCTGGACGTCGATCTCAAACACTGAACAGTTTTAGACGCTATCATACAAAATAGTGAGGGATATGGAAGTATAATCGAGGAATGACATCTCCAAGCGAGTAGTCTGAATTAATATTGGATTGATGTTGGTGATATCTCTGGTATAGGCCTTCGATCTATCATATGCACCAGTGGTCGACACCGGGAAAGTTTTATACAACCGTTTTGATCGTAACCAACCGATTTCGATGCATTTCCCTCTTATTCTTCGCTCCGATCTGTCACTTTATGATTTGTTGATTCGATAAGATTTATTTCATTCAGCCCCTCCCCCTCCGTTTGCACGTTCTCGATTCGAGCATATCCTTGTCAAGACTGCTATCGATAACTTTCTTTGACGCGGCGGATACCCTATAGGCTACGAAAGATAGTAGTGATGAGCGGCAATGATGTAGTGATGGAGTACTGTGGAGCGGCGACATCATCAGTTCACTTATGCCGTCATACCAGCACAATGAACCTCTTTATCATTGTCGGAGTTGAATTGTTCAGGTAATACTCAAGAAAGCCCAGCTTCGGAAGTCACTTGGACAGGAAAAAGAAAGAAAGCCAAATCAAGCGGAATCCGAAGGAAAAAGGAAAAACAAAAATAACAGTGCATCCCCCCACGGCGCACGTTGTCATTCCTCCGTCCGTCGTCTGTGGTAACTAATAATTGATCGGTGTGGCCAATTCGTGTGGAACTCCCCTTTGTCTATCTTTCTCCCTTCGTCATTTATCACTGAGGACTCTTCACACTGTGTTGCAATCCGGAATTCAGACACCAAGAATCATAGCAATTTTTAAGGGACACAGCAAGAACGCCACGGACGACTTTTGGCGTGGTCATTGATCTCGCTTTACCTCGTTCAGCCCAACAATCCTTGCTCTGATCTTTATTTTAGCCTTTTTGACTCCGAGATCGCTTCCATTTATTCTTCCACGACCGACAGACGATGAGCTCATCCAATACACAGCATCGACGAACTAATTCTCTCGATCCGTTTTCTGATCCTGACGTTTATTATGGAGACGAGGACTCAGTTGCGCGGATTCGAGACCGCAGGCGTGCGTTTTCTTCGGTGAGTTACAATATGCTTGCGAGAGATTGGAGACCGGGGCATTTTGCTGATCGATATCGGTAATATACATATAGACTTTGAAAGCATTCAACCGCGAGGATATTCAGGATCTTCTGGGCAAAATCCCTGCCAGGAGAGGCAGCCATGGTACGTATCTGAAGCCCCTGCGAAGAACAAACTGAGAACAAAGTTGCGGTGACTGACCTGCACGTGCTCAACAGATGAACTCTCCGCACACCCACGAAAGTTCCTTATCGACGTTGACGCAACCCTGCAGAGCTTGTTGGAAAGGGAGGATACGGACAGGAACATGCAGATAACGATTGAGGATGTTGGACCGAAGGTATGTGATTTGGTCTTGCCATTGGCCCGGAACGGTGTAAGTCATGTTTCGAGCGACGGCTGATTGGTGCTATTCAGGTGTTATCAGTAGGAACCGCTGCGTCATCCGGGTACAACCGATTCGATGTGCGAGGAACGTACATGCTCTCCAATCTTCTCCAGGAGCTCACCATCGCCAAAGACTATGGGAGGAAGCACATCATTCTCGACGAAGCTCGTTTGAGCGAGAACCCTGTTGCGCGTCTATCTCGCCTTATCAAGAATTCATTTTGGGACGCTCTCACACGTCGCATCGATGCTTCCAATATTGAAGTCGCCGGCAGGGATCCCAAAGACTGGACTGATGACCCGCGGCCCCGGATCTATATCCCCCACGGTGCCCCGAGCAGTTCGAGTACTACAAAGGGATCGCCAAGGAGCATCCTGAGTTGCGACTTGATGTGCAGATGCTCGATGCGAACATCACAACGGACTATGTGAGGGATCTTAACTCTAAGCCCGGATTGCTCGCGTTGGCAATGCAGAAGAAATACAATGAATCTACACAAAAGACCGAATACGTTGGCGTGCCGTTCGTTGTCCCAGGAGGAAGATTCAACGAGCTGTATGGGTGGGACAGCTACATGGAGTCTCTAGGCTTGTTGGTCAGCAACAGAGTGGACTTGGCCAAGGCCATGGTCATCAACTTTTGCTTCTGCATCAAGCACTACGGCAAGATATTGAATGCCAACCGCTCATACTACCTCACCCGTTCACAGCCACCGTTCTTGACCGACATGGCCCTGCGTGTCTATGAGCGTATCAAGAACGAGCCGGACGCAATGGATTTCCTTCGCAACGCAACACTCGCTGCGATTAAAGAATACTACAGCGTCTGGACGGCTGCACCGCGTTATGACGAGCTGTCGGGTCTGTCCAGGTACCGTCCAGAAGGAAGAGGTGTTCCTCCCGAAACTGAACCGACTCATTTCACGCATATCCTCACTCCGTATGCTGAAAAGCACGGTATGACGTTCAAGGAGTTTGTCCAGGCTTACAACGAGGGCAAAGTCCAGGAACCTGAGCTTGATGAGTACTTCTTGCACGATAGGGCAGTCCGTGAATCAGGCCACGATACCAGCTATCGTCTCGAGAGAGTCTGCGCGAATTTGGCCACGGTAGACTTGAACTCTCTTCTGTACAAGTACGAGGTCGATATCGCTAGGATTATCCGGACCTATTTCAAAGACAGGCTAGAAATCCCCCCGAATTCCGCACTGAGTCGACCAAGGATATCCAAAGTGAGTCATCCTCCGTGTGGGATCGTCGTGCAAGAAGACGCAAGGTGCGGATGGATACCTACCTCTGGGATGATGAGAAGGGCATGTACTTCGACTATGACACGGTTCTGCAGAAGCGGACGACTTATGAGAGTGCGACAACATTCTGGGCCATGTGGGCCGGACTGGCGACACCGCACCAGGCGGCAGAAATGGTGCGGAAGGCTTTGCCTAGATTCGAGGTATATGGTGGTCTGGTTTCCGGAACCGAGGAGTCCCGCGGTGCTGTCGGCCTAGACAGACCTAACCGGCAATGGGACTACCCGTACGGCTGGGCTCCGCAGCAGATGTTGGCGTGGACGGGCCTGCTGAGATACGGCTACCAGGAGGAAGCTGAGCGTATGGCCTACAAGTGGTTGTACATGATCACCAAGGCCTTTGTCGACTTTAACGGTGTTGTCGTCGAGAAATACGATGTCACTCGGCCTATCGATCCACACCGGGTTGATGCCGAATATGGCAACCAGGGTGTAGATTTCAAGGGTGCGCCTCGAGAAGGGTAAGTGTGCTACGTCTTTCTTCAGCCATTCACACCAGATGACTGACGATTGAATACAGGTTTGGCTGGGTGAATGCCAGTTATGTGTACGGCCTGGAGTTCCTAAACGCCCATCAACGGCGGGCGCTGGGAGCTATCACCCCTTGGGAGACGTATAGCAAAGCCATAGCCGTACAGGACGCTTATTAGAATCGGTGATTCGACGCTTACTACTTCCAGTTTTCAGACTTCTCCTTTCTTCGGAGCATCTTCTACTACTGGTTAGAGAAGCATTCATCATGATTTGCGGCAGGTTGATTTGTCGTTTCGTTAGTATTATCGTTTTAATCGTCAATCGCGGCTCGTTTCTCAAGATTCAATTCGACTGAATCGGATGCAGAAGACCCTTTCAGGCACCATGGAGTTTGATGTTTTTCTGGATTTTGCAGATGCTATCCTCTTGTCGTCCCAGTCGGCATGTTTCTTCCAAGCCATGTCAGCATAAGCAGAGAAGAACGCAAAATTTATTTCCTCTACTAGCTCTGTCTTACCATTTGAATTTCCTTCTTTCCAAGTCTAGTCATTTACCCAAATTGCCATCTGTTTGCGAGGGACAAGATAACTTGTCTCTGGCGGGAACATCCACATAGAGTACTTATTATAGGTATAATCGATCTGATCTCAATAACATGACCTCATTCACAGGTTTTGGATTCTGATGGATCTAATCGCTGCATAAAGCCATCATCACATTGCCAAATCTACTTGGGAGATTAAGAACATATCTCCGACTCATGTCATTTCTGACTACGTCATCTCCGCTTACCCCTGCCTTGGAGATTGGTAAGCTGTAAGCTATCTCCGCAGTCAGCAGGATGCATCCCCGCATTACCCAAGAGTACCATCTTGCAGCTACCAAAGTGCCCTCCCGCGTGGTCCTACGTATAAATAAAACACACATCTTCTCAAGATGCACACCCACAAACTCAATCCTGAAATCCTTCACACCGACAACCATGTCTCCCATTGACAAAAACACACCCGCCCACGTACTAGTCCAGAACTATGCCAGCCACATCAAAGGCAAAATCATCCTCACGACCGGCGTCTCCCCGGGCAGCCTAGGCAGCCACTTCGTGCAGTCCACCGCAGCCGCCGAACCAAGATGTCTGATCCTCGCCGGCCGCAACAGGAGCAAAATCCAGCAGACAGCCGACGAGATCAAGGCCTCGCATCCAAACGTCGAGACCCGCCTCCTTGAGATCGATCTTGCCTCCTTGGATAGCGTCCGACGGGCAGCTGCGCAGATCAACTCGTGGGATGATATCCCGGCGATCGATGTAGTGGTTAACAACGCCGCGGTTATGGCGACGGAGTATGCGCTTTCGGCGGACGGGGTGGAGTCGCAGTTTACGACGAACCATCTCGGGCCGTTCCTGCTTACGAATCTGATTATGGGGAAGGTGCTGGCGGCGAGGAGTCCGAGGGTGGTCATGGTTGCTAGTGATGGGCATCGGTTGAGTGGGATTCGGTTCGCGGATTATAATTTTGATGTGAGTGGCGCTTGTTCTTTTTTACTGTTGTAAGTAAGGCTGACAGTGTTTTCAGAATGGCAAGGTATACAATAGATGGCTTGCATATGGGCAGACCAAAACGGCGAATATGCTCATGGCCGTCTCGCTGGCTGAGAAGCTTGCGTCCAAGAATCTTCTCGCATTCAGTCTGCACCCCGGGGTGATCTTCACGAATCTTGTGAACCACCTTCTTGAAGATCTGGAGGGGAACTTCGAGGAGCTCGGTACGTGCCCTTCATTTCCTAGTCTCATTGTTTTTTTGAGTCTGACTGGCAGGACAGCTGCTCTCGACCGCGCACAGGGTAACCCCGAAGGATGGAAGGGATTGGAGCCGAGACCAATAGAGACAGGCGTCTCGACTCATGTCTATGCAGCGTTTGATCATGACCTTGCTGGTAAGAGCCCTATCGTAAGGTTTTAGTTGCCAGACTGACACAGTCAGAACACAACGGCAAGTACCTGACCGACTGCCATGTTGCAGACCCGTGGGTCGACACCGTCAAGCCATGGGCTACGAGTCCGCTCGAAGCAGAGCGCCTGTGGAAGCTGAGTGAGGAATTAGTAGGCGAGAAGTTCACATACTAGTCTAGTCCAGGTGCCTGTTCGAGCAATATGCCTCGTGTCTGTTTATCAGATTAGATACAAATGTAATTGTACTCTGATATACGTTTTGCATGTGAACATTCCACACAGTAGTCTACTTAGAGCATCTCCGCCTCCAAACGGAAATATGCCCAAAATAGCCACTATTATCAAGCGTCGAGTCGTCAATCAGAAAGACGATGATGGGCATTCTCGTCGACAATAAAACGGGCACAGAACGAATTCCACCTCCTTGTTTTCCCGAGGCTGATTTTCGTGATCCTTTGGACAGATGCGAGTCACTCCTGGACGAAGCGTTCCGGGCCTGTGATTGGTGCTCGCTGTGCCGAGGTTGATGCCTACCTAGGTACCCTAGGTACTTTTCGATATGTTGCTGTTTTGTTTCATCTTGGATACAGAGTACATGTTGAAGTATTTGAGGCTTTCTGTATAATTGTAGTGTTCTTATATCTACTTTCTCTGACGGAATGAGACCATTTGCCCTCAAGGCACGATAACTATGAGGAGCACTGCCTGAGGCATTAGACACCTGAGGTTGAGAATGATTTAAGCTCTGCGATGGTAACCGTACGTATGTGGGGTACAATTACCGGGGTCTGACATCGATACCTGAGATGACTCAGGTTCTGATATCGGCACCGAGTTCACCGGATTCTATGGAGCAGAAGGACAGGAACATTCGGGGATATTCCTTTTCAGCATAGTAGGATTTGATAATGTTTGACAAGGTCGTCGAAGCTCCGAGAATCGGTGTCAGGGAGTGTGCTTTTGAACTGTCAGATGCTGGAGTACGATTTCCATTGAAGATTGGTACTGTCATGTACTGTTATGCCAAGCTAGCACATGTTTTTACGTCATCCTGTCGCATTTGAGATTCTTGCTTTCCAGCTTCATGGCAATTCATAGAAATTCGAATCAATTTGGTATTACCTCGAGAGGTACTCAGCTAGTACAAACGTAAAGCTATGAATACTAAATTGACATTGTTATCAGTCAGTGGCATGCAAAATGGTTGTGTGGCAATGGGTGTCGAATACAGGCTGTCCATTAGACCGAGGATCATCAGCAAGTCTCGATCCTCTCTCCCGAGCCACCACCAGTGAGCTTGGCCGATTCTCGGGGCTAGCTTGTGAATTTGGGACATGTTAACCCAAATTTCCTGATGAGCAGGTCGACGAATGATTCCCCGCGGTTTGCGAAACTCTCTGGTACTCTATTCAATAATAGTGCAATGCTCATATGGCCGGCCCGCATTGGATTCCTCGTTGTCCCGCTGAGCCGAGCGATTACCGACCATAGACCTTCTGACGCATTCGCGATGGCGCATGCTTCAAATGTAATAAGTACCCTGGCTTTTGGCTTGTGATTCTGGATTTGAGATTGCAATTCTCTTTTCTACCTGTTCTTCTTCAGCTTCACCTACTTTCTTCTCTCCTCCCTGGGTACGGTTCTCCTTTTATATCTTGTCTTGCATGTTCCTCCTAGTGTAGGGTTAGCTACTGTTACGTTACTGCTGTGAATCAACCTTTCTGTGGCCAGTTCGCCCCAACTCTCTCTGTTTAAATCCTCTTCATACCTGTCACAATGGGTTTCCTTGAAGACGAAGATCAGAAATACTTGGACGACGTCCAAGCCGTCAAGGCCTGGTGGAAAGACTCGAGATGGAGGTACACACGACGCCCGTACACTGCAGAGCAGATCGTGGCGAAGCGTGGAAACCTGAAGATTCAGTACCCTTCCAATGATCAGAGCAAGAAGCTCTGGAAAATCCTGGAAAGCAACTTTGAGGTACGCAGGTTCGAATGGAGTGACAGAGAAACAGCACTGACCTTAATTCCCTCCAGAAAAAAGTTGCCAGTTTCACCTATGGCTGTCTCGAACCAACAATGCTCACCCAGATGGCCAAGTACCTCGACACCGTCTACGTTTCCGGCTGGCAGAGCTCTTCCACCGCCTCGTCCACCGATGAACCCTCCCCCGATCTCGCTGATTACCCCATGGTAAGCTCGTATTCAGCCTCGGTCCTATGATGAAGCTCCGTTGTTGCGCTCGTGCTAATTCCGTATTGCGCAGAACACCGTCCCCAACAAGGTAAACCAGCTGTTCCTGGCACAGCTGTTCCATGACCGGAAACAACGCGAGGAACGCATCACAACCCCCAAGGACCAGCGGAGCAAGCTGCCCAACATCGACTACCTGCGCCCCATCATCGCTGATGCCGATACCGGCCATGGTGGTCTCACCGCTGTCATGAAATTGACCAAGCTGTTCATCGAGAGAGGCGCTGCCGGTATTCACATTGAAGATCAGGCCCCTGGTACCAAGAAGTGTGGTCACATGGCTGGAAAGGTCCTTGTCCCTATCAACGAGCACATCAACCGTCTGGTTGCCATCCGCGCGCAGGCGGATATCATGGGTGAGTAGACACATGCAGAATGCCATTCCACCAGAATATCAGCTGACAAGACCCCAGGAACTGACCTGCTTGCCATTGCCCGTACCGACTCTGAAGCCGCAACACTCATCACCTCTACCATCGACCACCGCGATCACGCCTTCATCGTTGGCTCCACCAATCCCAACCTGCAGCCACTGAACGACCTCATGGTGGCGGGTGAGCAGGCCGGCAAGGCTGGCGAAGAGCTCCAGGCCATCGAGGATCAATGGATTGCCCAAGCTGGCCTGAAACTGTTCAACGATGCTGTTGTCGACACCATCAAGGCGGGCGTGCATGTCAACAAGGATGCCCTCATCAAGGAGTATCTGACTGCCGTCAAGGGCAAGAGTAACAGCGAGGCTCGTGCTATCGCCAAGGGCATCACTGGCGTTGACATCTACTGGGACTGGGATGCTCCCCGTACTCGGGAGGGCTACTACCGGTACCAGGGAGGAACGCAGTGCGCTATCAACCGTGCTGTTGCCTATGCTCCATTCGCGGACCTGATCTGGATGGAGAGTAAGCTCCCCGATTACGCTCAGGCGAAGGAGTTTGCCGACGGTGTCCACGCCGTCTGGCCCGAACAGAAGTTGGCGTACAACTTGTCGCCATCCTTCAACTGGAAGAAGGCTATGCCACGTGAGGAGCAGGAGACTTACATCAAGAGACTCGGCGCTCTGGGCTATGCCTGGCAGTTCATCACCCTGGCTGGTCTGCACACTACCGCACTCATCTCCGACCAGTTCGCCAGGGCCTACGCGAAACAGGGAATGCGCGCGTACGGCGAACTGGTGCAGGAACCTGAGATGGAGCAGGGCGTGGACGTGGTGACTCACCAGAAATGGAGTGGTGCCAACTATGTGGATAACATGTTGAAGATGGTCACTGGCGGTGTCAGCAGCACCGCCGCCATGGGTAAGGGTGTGACAGAGGATCAGTTCAAGCACTGAGATGGTGGATAGTCAAGAACCGCCTGAAAATTTCTCATGACACTGACGTTTAATCTTTTTTGTTTATCTGACACCTTGTTCTTGACGCTGTCAAGTCTTGTCAGTGTACAGTAGACTGTACGCATTGGGATCTTCGGAGTTTTTGTTTTGAAATGTCTTCTCATACAGAGAAAGCCAATACCTGGATGTTCGCACCAAAATCGATTCATCGATTCGTTCGGGCTCTGTTTTCAAGTATTCCATAACACATTCTCTCGAAATTCCGCTCATTGTAGACGAGCTCTCAGTGAGAGCACAGATCTTGAGGATTATGGCCACTCCTGAGATTCAGAATTTGCATGGAAGACTTCTACTTTGTACTCCGAGCGGAGTACTGTGGTCTTAGCAGGGTTTGTTGCTGGTTAGTTATTGGCCACCCAAGATGATAGGATCCATGTGCCTGATGATAAACGGTGACTTTTGGACGGAAACCAAAGCATCTCGGCCGAACTATTGCTCCGGTCAAGTTGACAGATTGAGAGAGCGTTGCGAGGGGCGTTGCCGATCATGTGGAGTTACCCCGAATCAAAGTAAGCATAACATGAAGATTCCATAGTTAGGGATGGTGCTGCAGAATGAAGCCAGCACCTCTTCTATGGAATATCCTCTAAGGACTGAGGTTATAGAATCGAGTGATCAATTGTATGAAGCTGATTGCCCTTTTAGTGGGTGGATCAATGTCATTTGTGATGGTGGGACAGTGCAACCATGGATGAATGGATGAAGGGGAGAGAGAATGGGGTTGCCGCGGTTCAAAGATGCACAAAACGAGGGGGAGAGCATTAAGCTTCCAGCGGTTTGACGCATTCCTTGACGGACATGATCATTCTAGCCATCCTGAAAACCAAAGAAATGAACATATTTCCGGGCTTAGTTTTTGAACAGATAGTTAACCTAACCTAGGTACGTAGTAATAACTATAAACGTTAGTGTTCTGACCCTCTTCTCCTTAAAATAATCATCCGCTTGTAGTAAGCTCCATCTAACTAACTACGTATATAGCTCAGCTTCCCTCCCGCTCATCCCCGCCTGAAATTCTCTTCTCAGTTGTAACTTGTAACTCTTCAACGTTTACCCCTTTTCCATCATGGTTGCGTCGGACATTCCCCCACTCCAATTTACTTCTATTGAAGATATCCAGGAGCGCGCCTCGAGACTGCGCAAGTCGTTTCTAGAGCACAAGACGCGCGATGTCGAATTTCGTTTGAAGCAGCTTCGCAAGCTCTACTGGGCGTGAGTGAACCATCCACTCTTTCATTTGTGCATTTTTGGACTTCTTTCTAATGAATTATGCCCTTCTTTTCAGTATCAAGGACCATGAGGAGCAGATCGTCGAGGCCTTGGCCCAGGATCTGGGCAGGCCACGTTTCGAGTCCGAAGTCTCCGAGTCTTTATGGATGGAGAACGACATCGTGTTTGTGAGCCGGAATCTTCACAAGTGGGTTAAGGATGAGAAGGCCGAGGATATCGACTTCAACTACAAACTTATGAACCCTAAGATCCGTAAAGACCCGCTGGGTTGTGTTCTGGTTATTGGGTATGAGCTAGCCATTTACGAGTTGCCGGAATATAAACTAACGTTCGGTGATTCGAGTATAGTGCATTCAACTTCCCCTTTCAGTTGACTCTTGGACCGGTCATTGGCGCTATTGCTGCTGGCAATACTGTGGTAATCAAGCCTAGTGAGAATGCCCCAAGAGCGCTGCCGTCATGCAGCAGATTGTGGAGGCCTCTCTCGACCCTTCATGCTACACAATGGTTCAAGGTGGACCCACAGAGGTCCAGGCCTTGCTTGCTGAGCGATGGGACAAGATCTTCTTTACCGGAGGCGCCAACGTTGGTCGTATCATCGCCAAAGCAGCCGCTCCTCATCTGACTCCGGTTGTGCTGGAACTGGGAGGTATTAACCCCGCCATCATCACCAGGAATGCCAACCCTCGACTGGTCGCGCGCCGTATGCTGTGGGGTAAAACGCTGAATGCGGGCCAGATTTGCACATCGCAGAACTACCTCTTGGTCGACAGAGCCATCTTGCCCGCCGTGGTTGAGGAGTTCAAGAAGGCCTACAAGGAATTCTACCCCAAGGGCGCTAAAGCATCGCCTGATTACTCTCGCATCATCAACGAGGGTGCCTTCCGTAAACTCAAGTCCATGATCGATAACTCCAAGGGGAAGATCCTCATGGGAGGAACCATGGACGAGAACGAAAGGTTCATCGAACCGACCCTTGTCCAGGTCGATTCGCCCGACGACTCTCTCATCATCCAGGAGAGCTTTGGCCCATTGATGCCCATCCTTCCCGTCGACAACCTCGAGGAGGCGGTCAATATCGCCAACAGCATCCAGAGCACTCCCCTGGGTGTATACCCCTTCGGTAACAAGGCTGATACCGACAAGAGTAAGTCCACCACGCATTCCCCTGGGCAACCATACTTGCCACAGGACCAACCCAACTGACGTGATCTACAGTTCTTTCCATGACTCGCTCGGGCGGAGCTGCCGTCAACGATGCCGCCCTGCACATCCCAACGCTTCCCTTCGGTGGTGTCGGTGAGAGTGGCAACGGCGCCTACAGAGGAAAAGCCAGTTTCGACGTCTTCGTGCACCGCCGCCCCATCACCACCAGCCCCGGCTGGCTCGAGGCGATCCTTTCCATCCGTTACCCCCCGTATGCCGGCAAACTGAGCAAGTTCAAGGTCGCCAGTACCATGGTGCCCGATTTCGATCGCGACGGCAATCAGCTCCGGTTCGGCTGGCTGCGTACCATCCTCACTCTCGGCGGGGGAACCGCGAAGGCTGGTGCCGGCAGGGCCGCAGTTGTTGCAGCCGGTGAGTAAATTCTCTTATCTTGTCTTCCCACAACCCTCTCCGCCGCCTGTGAAGTATATCGTTGTTCCCGACTTCTCACTTCTCCGCGTTACTCGGCAGACCGAGAGTGATCTCTCCCCGACCCCGCCCTTCACACCTTCAAAGCGCTCTCGAGGAGTCTTCCTCCTGTCATTCACTCGCTCTACTACATTTCCATGCCTCATATTTCCTTTCTGCTTTTTGTTCAGTTCTTGGTGATTTCTGGATACCCGGCGGCTTGGAGATACCCTTACATTCGACATATACGGATAATGATCTAATCATCTAATATCTATAATCTTGATTTAATGCATCTACTTACGTCTCTGAATATCTAGTGGCCTACATTGTACTACAAATTCTCGAACGTCGATCATCGAAACTCTAAGATGGTGTGACGGATGTGTCTTTTTCTTTTCTTGGTTGCAAATCGCTACTCCATACGGCATTCTTGTCACGTTTCTTATTTGTGTGTCATACAAAATTGGTCCATGATATAGCCTGAATCTGACCGGCGATCTTGAATGTGCGCATGTCATAATGTCATGAGATGTACCGTTGTCATGAGAGTCCTCAAACCCCAAATTTATCTTCGTAGCTAGGTCCTGCGAACACTGTATATTGCAAAGTAATGATATATCATAGCTCATCTCATGCATGTCTAGATCGTGATAGCTTCTGTCTAGGTAGCACGCTGGACTGATGCTTAGCATCTAGCTTCCACGCCCTTTCTGCTGACGCACAGATACTTCACGCCCTTGTATGGCTTCACGCCTTCTCCGAGGCCTCGACTGCGCCGCGGGTCGATATTCAGGCTGTCGACTCGGAGCCCCGACGGTAGCCAACCTTTAACCGAGAATGAGACAGAAGCGGAGTTCGGCATAAGGCTGGCATTCAGCTGTGCCTTGGTCTTACGAGGTGGTGTATAGAATAAGGAGGAAGAAGACTGGGAGGAGGATTGTGCAGGGGCGGGTGCGGCTGGCGATGATGACGATTCCGGTGCAGGGCTTTGAGGCTTCGAGGGATTGGGAGAGGTTTGCGGTACACTGTCTTGATCGGAGGCGACGAGCGCGCTGGCGGCGGCAGATTTGGAGGATTTCTTGGTCTTTGTAGTCTTTGTTGCCTTCTTCTTTTTCTTCGTTTTCCGTTTCGTTGTACCTGTTGCGGCTTCCTCCGCGACCTGGTAAGACGCTGCTGTTGAGGCGTCGTAGTACCCTTGCAAGAGATTTGCGTCTGCGTCAGCCCCCTCGTTGTCTTCTTCAAGCTCATCGTCCACATTCTGGTGTCCGACAACCGTGCAGCGAAGAGTCGCCGTGCCGGAAACAGTTCCGGAGTCTTTGGTAGGTATGCGCCACTCCAGTGTATCGTTGCCGGGCGCGAATATCGCTTCTCCGCGACTTGCCTGCATATCGGTGATGTTTCGAACCGTCTTCGGTATTGGTACCTTAACCACGACCTCTTCTAGGACGGGTGCTGAGGAGTTCCCGCCTCCTCCAAGGAACGAGGGAGTAGAAGTGCCCGATCCGCCCCGCCCTGCTCCGGGGCGGTTGAAAGATGAGTATCCCGGAAAGCTTGTATTTAAGATCAATCGGACCTCAAATTCCGATCCCGTCGGTCCAAGTGATTTGCGTACTTCAACAATGGCAGGTAAGAATACTTTCTCCATATGCGTGGGAGGTTGGTCGATACTAGGATCAATAGGGAGCAGATCCACTTCATAACCCGCAAGAATAAATCGGCCATCTGGAGGCACAAAGCTGAGTTCGCCAGGTCGCTCCCTCCATCGAGCTAGTCGGACACAGGGATGGAATACCGGCAGGTCTATCTTCTTCCCAACAGCCTGGGGACCGCTGGGAGTGGTTAAAGTGAGGAGCAAGTCGGGTATCCCGGATATTTTAGCCGTGAACGCAATGGTTCCCGATACCAGCGCAGACAGAAGCCGTCCAGATGGAGCAATCGTGACTGAGAGTGATTCAATAATGTCGACGTATAACTCATTCGACGTGTGCCGCACACCGGCCTTTCTCCAAGGGATCGCAGGGCCCTGAGCGACATTGGCGGATGATAATGGGTTTTTGAGAGGGTTGGGATGCCCTAATATAGGTGTGGACGACCTGTGCGCAGTGTAACTCCGTCAGTAAAAGACTTCATATTTTTAGAGAGCCGCATCAAAAGACCGGCTTGCAAGAGCAACAACCCCATACTCACCCCGGTAGTCCAACGCCTCCTAACAACTTCCCCATCCATCCCGGCATCTCCACAACTTCCTGCAGCGCATTTGGCTCCGTATTGCATACGATGCCCGCATCGCACATTTCGTGGAGCAATTGTGCGACCACATCGTAGTTCGCCTGAAGCTTGGAAGAGAGTAATGGAGCCCCGACAAAGTCCTCAAGCACATCAACTACTCGGTGCAAGAACTCCAGCGCAAGAAGCGGCTCGGTATCAACCTCGGAAAGGGCCAAAAACAGCAGATTTGACTGTACGATAGAAAAGATCGTCACCGGGGGCGAGATATTTGGAATGTAGAGGAGTGACGGACGCGGGGGTGAGTGGGCGAGATAGAGGGGGAGGATAGCTGCCGCGGAGGGCGGACGGGAGCGATATACATGCTCCACGAGCGGGTTGCTTGAGAGCTCAGACAGTCAGCACTCATGGAATTGGACCTTGGGAAAAACAGTAAAAGCAGCGCATACTTGTGCTCATCATAGATGTAGAGCGCATCGACCTCGCTCATCATGCCGGTGTGTCGTGTGTCTCAATCGGTGGGGAAGCATTAGCGGAGATCAGTTACATCCTCTGGTTGACGACATCCAAAAAAGTCACTGTGTTTCTGCCGCCGAATCCCGCCTCCTGGTATTTTTACAATACATTGGGAGGAAGCTCCTCGAGGCATTCAAAGTTTATGTCCTCCCAGGTTGCTGATTAACTTCGGGGATTCTTTTTGAAGAAATCCGCATCTGAATTCCATAATTCCATCCTGTTCTGAGACTGTTTCGCCTACCTTCGCACACTGATAAAGTCCGAGTTACAAATGGCGCCGTCAGAAAGTCAGAGCGCTTGGGATGCTCAATCAAAAGACGCAAAGCGTATTCTAGCAGAGGACAAGTACGATGATTGCCTCTCCTGCCGAATAACAGGTACGTCCCTCTCGTCCTTTCTTTACTCCCGCGCATAGAGGGCGGCTTGCTCACTTGAAAACACATAGGTTCGGCCGCGTTCATTGGCCTTGGAGTATACAGTTACTACACGGGAATGAATAATCTACGAAAGCAAGAACAAACAATCATGCGGAGTGCGACAAAATACAAGATGGGATCTCGGAAATTGGGCATTGCAACTATATCTGCAACATTAGTAGGCATGGGAATATGGAGGGCTTTGAATTAATGACCGGCAGCAAAGCTTTGGGTATTGTGCGAGCTCATAATGTACATTATTGAATATCGATGGTATACTATATGTCCTGGGAAGAAGGAAAACAAAGGATTCCTTGGTGCGCATGCAGACCAAAATTCAAAATATATACGATTGAAGGTTCACAACAACTGCCTCACTGGGTATCGCCATATCTGATATCCTCTATAGGTTGAAATGCATGAAACAAACAAAAGCACGAAAAGGTTTTTGGAAAGTGTGATAATGTGAAAGAAGGTAAGAATAGAAAGATGATGATGAAATGCAGAGAAAAAAGCACCAGAAATCACAAGTAATACTCCCACAAATGCACCGAAAATCCACAGTATCAATCAACCGCTGCGTGACTATAAGAATAAAATTCGTCCCATCGTCGACAATTATATTCTCTAGGCGAAGCGGCCGCGTTTGCCACCTCCAAACATGTCTTTGTTGTTTCCCATACCAGAGAGGTCAAAAAAGTCGGGAAAAGTGAGCTTCCGCTTCGATCCTATTCCAACAGATGAGTCGCGGGGAGAGTTTCGAGTATTCGGTCGCGATAGGTTGGTTTGGCGGTTTTGCTGTCGGGAATTTCGGGGCAAGACGGAGACGCTGACGGGGGAACCATCCTGAGAAGATGCCGTAGAGCTATCTGAGGCTTGCATGTCGACGTCGTGTTCCTGGTATTGAGGGAAAGATGGTCCTGCCGTAAAGGTGAAGATAGCATGCCTATCCAAGCCGTTGATATCGTTGGTTGAGGGGGTAGACAGCGCTGTTGGCTGCTGCTCCGGGGCGGCGGGCTCGTCCCGCTGAGACAATCCAGGTTTCTGAGGAGATTCCAACTTCGTTGACTGCCGGACAGCTTCTGACTCAGGCTGCTCCTTACGAACTGTGGCCTGCGGAGCATTTCTGGACTTGTCAAGATCTACACGCTCGTCATCGTCGCTAGGTGTACCAAGGCCGTCACTTCGCTCAGTCGCCCACTGTCGTACTCTCCACCCTTCCCCATCGCCGAGGCCAAGGTTTTCTTTGTCTAGAAACTGAAGAAGATCTTCAATGGCTTCTTGGTAACCTGCTTGTCTCGCCTGGGCTTGTTCCAGTACAGCATTCTTGTAAAGGTTGGTAACGGACAGCGCAGCAGCTTTGAACGATTGTAGGAGCTGTTCGGGAGGCTGCGGGCGAGGCGTCGAGCTCGGTAAAGACGTGTTCAAAGATCTCATGGAGTCCATGATTGTTATAACCGCAACAGAAGCCGCCCTGATGGAAGATTGAAGACGGTAGTCGCTTCGGTGCCACAAGGAGGGGTGAGGTGAACCAGTGCTCCGTGAACAAAGGCCAATCGAGTCACGATGATGTAGCCAGAACAAAATGGTAAAAAGGACTCTGTCAGGCACTGAAACCAATAACTGGCAAGGAGGTAGGTAGGAAAAAGAAAAAGGGAAAGGAGAAAGAAAGGCGACGTAGAAGCGCGGATGCCAGCAGGTGATTGATGGATTGTAATGATGCTCTTGTGCAGGTGATCTTTCTTTTCTTTGCTTTGTCCCGGTAACGTGATCCACCGCGGGAAACTCCTATTCCGCTTCAAAATGGCTCGGCGCTGAGTCATCAAGAGCTGCGCGCTTCAGCCAATAAGCGCGTCTCCTCGCCGCGCTGCTCCGATGAAATGCAAGTCCCATTTGCCATCCCAGCGCGACTGGCGAACATTCTATCGCTCTTCAGTAATCAACTCCCTCTCCTGTCCTTGTACCCTGAGGCTTAACGGTTCGGCCGCCATAACCATCATACAAAGTTGCAGGACAGTCGAGCTATCATTGGTTCCATCTTTCCAAGTCCTTCTTCGGTCTTTTGTCTTTCTCTCGAAGCACTCCTGAGTCGTGTTTCGCGTCATAAGAAACGCTTGCGCCCAGTGCGCGGAGAACCAACATGGCTCCTTCGCAAGTCTTCAACTCCGACACACCTTCGCAGGCAGACACTCCAATGACGGATGCAAACGAAGATGCTGTCACGTCAGTACCCGTTGATAATGTAGACGCGCAGATGACGGTAAGTCTGATTTCGAGCTTTCTGCGCCTTTGGCACTTGACTTTTATCTATCAAATTATACTAATCGTCGTCGCTCTACAGAGCTATCAAGATACTCCAGACTACACGGTAACTGCGCCCAAACCCATTGATGTCGGCAATTCCACCTCTCTAACGACTGGAAATCAGGACTCCGACACGAACCCTAACACAACGGCAAGCAGTGTTGCTGGCGATGCCGCTCCCATTGACGGCCGGAGGAGGAGATCCGAGGCTTTCCAAATGAGGAAGAACATGTTTGGCAAGAAGCATGGGCGATTGGACGAGTCAAAGGTGGGTTTTGCGTGTCCAGCCTCATTTATTCGGTACAGGCACTTACATTTGGGTTTGCGCATCATAGGAAGACGACTCTATCCGAAGATTTCGTTATCTTCTTGGCCTCACCGATTTGTTCCGCCACTTCATCGAAACTAATCCCAACCCCCGAATCAAGGAGATCATGGCGGAGATTGACCGGCAGAACGCTGAAGAAGACGCCAAGGCTAAGAAGAAGGGGTCTTCACGAACAGGGGGCGCAGGAAATGATAGACGTCGCCGAACCGAACAAGAGGAAGATGCAGAGCTGCTAAAGGACGAGAAAACTGGTGCCGGAACTGCTACGGTCTTCCGGGAATCCCCTCCCTTTATTCATGGCGAGATGCGCGATTACCAGGTTGCAGGATTGAATTGGCTGGTCTCCCTTCACGAGAACGGCATTTCTGGTATCCTGGCTGATGAAATGGGTCTGGGTAAGACATTACAGACCATCTCCTTCCTTGGGTACTTGCGACATGTCTGCGATATCACTGGACCTCATCTTGTCGCGGTCCCCAAGTCCACCCTTGATAACTGGAAGCGTGAATTTCACAAATGGACGCCAGAAGTTAATGTCCTGGTCCTCCAGGGTGCCAAGGAGGAACGTCATAAACTCATCAATGAGCGACTTCTTGACGAAGATTTCGACGTTTGCATCACCAGCTACGAGATGGTTCTCAGAGAGAAGGCGCACCTTAAGAAATTCGCTTGGGAGTATATTATCATCGACGAGGCGCATCGGATCAAGAACGAGGAATCGTCACTAGCCCAGATCATTCGTGTATTCAATTCGCGCAATCGGTTGTTGATCACCGGTACACCCCTTCAGAACAATCTCCATGAGCTTTGGGCTCTTTTGAACTTCCTATTACCGGACGTGTTCGGCGACTCGGAAGCTTTCGATCAATGGTTCTCCAGTCAGGATGCCGATCAAGACACCGTTGTACAGCAGTTACACCGCGTTCTGCGGCCCTTCCTTCTCCGTCGTGTGAAGAGTGACGTTGAAAAAAGCTTGCTGCCAAAGAAAGAAGTCAACCTCTATGTGCCTATGTCGGAAATGCAGGTCAAGTGGTATCAGAAGATCCTCGAGAAAGATATTGATGCGGTCAATGGCGCTGCTGGGAAACGCGAATCAAAAACGCGTTTGCTGAATATTGTCATGCAACTGCGCAAATGTTGCAACCATCCGTATCTTTTTGAGGGCGCCGAACCTGGTCCTCCTTATACGACTGACGAGCATCTCGTGTATAATTCCGGCAAAATGGTCATTCTGGACAAGCTCCTTGCACGCATGCAGCAGCAAGGGAGTCGAGTTCTCATCTTCTCACAGATGAGTCGTGTGCTCGATATTCTGGAAGACTATTGTGTTTTTAGAGACTACAAATACTGCCGGATAGACGGTACAACGGCGCATGAAGATCGAATCGCCGCCATCGACGAGTACAATAAGCCGGGTTCAGATAAATTTATCTTCCTGCTTACAACAAGAGCAGGAGGGCTGGGTATCAACCTGACGACTGCGGATATTGTCGTTCTTTACGATAGTGATTGGAATCCTCAGGCTGATCTGCAAGCGATGGACCGTGCCCATCGTATCGGTCAGACCAAGCAAGTCGTGGTGTTTAGATTCGTTACTGAAAATGCCATTGAGGAGAAGGTCCTGGAGCGAGCCGCGCAGAAACTGCGCTTGGATCAACTTGTCATTCAACAAGGCCGTGCTCAGCAACAAGTCAAGAACGCAGCCTCCAAGGATGAGCTGCTTGGCATGATCCAGCACGGAGCCGCAAACGTTTTCAACACAAAAGGTGCAACTGGCACATTATCTAATGACAAGCAGTTGTCTGATGATGATATCGATGCTATCTTGCGCAAGGGTGAGGAGCGGACTGCTGAACTGAACAAGAAGTACGAGAAGTTGGGTATCGATGATCTGCAAAAATTCAGCTCTGAGAGCGCATACGAATGGAACGGCCAGGATTTCACAGAAAAGAAGAAAGATATCGGTATTAACTGGATCAACCCGGCAAAGCGGGAGCGAAAGGAACAGTTTTACTCCATCGACAAATACTACCGTCAGGCGCTGGCCACCGGCGGAAGGACGGCGGAAACAAAGCCTAAGGTTCCACGCGCGCCAAAGCAGATATCCATCCATGATTGGCAATTCTTTCCCCCGGGTCTCCAAGAACTTCAAGAGAAGGAAACAGCTTACTTCCACAAAGAAATTGGGTACAAGGCACAGCTTCCTGAGGGCCCTGAAGAGGAGCTCAGTGAGCGAGAAGCTGAGCGTGACCTGGAGCAGCAAGAAATTGACAATGCCGTTCCATTGACTGAGGAGGAACAGGCAGAAAAGGCCCGGATGTCCGAAGAGGGTTTCGCGACATGGAATCGCCGAGACTTCCAGCAGTTCATCAACGGGTCTGCCAAGTTCGGCCGTACTGATTATGAAGGGATCGCTACCGAAGTGGACAGCAAAGATGCAGCCGAAGTGGAAGAATACGCTAAAGTCTTCTGGAAGCGATACACCGAAATTCAAGACTACCCCAAGTATATCCGTATTATCGAGCAGGGTGAAGAGAAGCTCCGGAAAATGAGCCATCAACGCAAGATGCTTCGCAAAAAAATGGAAATGTACCGCGTTCCTCTGCAGCAGCTCAAGATCAATTACACAGTGTCTACCACCAACAAGAAGGTTTACACAGAAGAAGAAGACAGATTCCTTCTTGTGATGCTGGACAAGTATGGAGTCGATGGCGAGGGCCTTTACGAGAAGATTCGCGATGAGATTCGCGAGTCTCCCCTTTTCCGTTTCGATTGGTTCTTCCTCAGCCGGACACCAGTGGAGATCGGCCGTCGCTGCACTACGCTATTGAACACTGTCGCTAAAGAGTTTGAGGTTGGAGCGAATGGCGAGGCCAGCAAGGGCCGGGGACGTGATCGTGAAGAAGAGGATGAAGAGAACGAGGAAGTCGGTGCACCAGCCAAGAAGAAGAGCAAAAACGGCGCAGTGGTAAGTTAACTTGCTTTCCCTACAGGCGTGCATGACCATAACTAACACGGATGCAGAACAAACAGGTCAAGGCCGTCAAAAGTGGCAGCAAAGCAACTTCCGCGTCAACCTCACGAGCAGCCAGTGTTTCATCGACTACTGCGTCCAAGTCCAAGAGCAAGAAAAAGTAGTTCAGTCTTCTTCTCCATTCTCGCTCCGATCAACAAAATCTTTATGACTATCCTGTACCTTATATTGAAGATTATTTGGCCATGGGATGGGTTGGTATTTTTTCGAGAGTTTGGTATGGCGTTGGCAATAGATGTCACCGATGAGTCGTGGTTCATGAAATTTCCTTCTTTCATTCACAAGATGAATTGTACAACAAGTACCTTTTCGGATCGGTAGTACTCGGTATTCAAAAGGCATCAGATGTAGTAATTTCTTGACAAGACTCTCATTCAAACCATGGTAGTCGGCCTACTTTCTACGGCATTATATCATTGAGTCGTCCAGCATGACAGAACTGCACTTAGAGAATAAAGATGTTCATACTCTAGGGGTATTGTACAAGCTATATACACATAATGGCTGTTAATTCACGTCTATTCCCTGATCATTTATTCACAGTCTTCTTTGGCGGCGCCTCGGTGATCAAGATTGGGATTCGTAGAAACTGTTCCATCAGAATCGCCGCAGCAACACTTACGTTGAGGCTGTCAACTCTGGCGGGATCCTTCTCATATCCCCACTCAGTCGCGTTTCTCGCCCCGGGAATGCTGACAACCGAATCTGCGTGGGACTTGATATGGCCACTCAACCCAGACCCTTCACTGCCCAGCATGATGACGCTAGGTGCCTGCGTGACCGCGTTCCTCGTGAGGTCGATATCGCCGGTTGTGTCAGGATGACTAGAGCCTGGTACCGGTGCATCGGCTGCGAAAAAGCGCCATCCGTTGGCTTTGGATTGCTGGATGAAGTCCACTTCGTTGCTGACTTTGATAAGAGGCATGTTTTCCGCGGCTCCGGCGGATGCTTTGATCGTTATCGGGGAGAGGGGCGCACAGTTTCGGCCAGCGAAGACGATGGCGTCAATTCCCAGATAATAGGCAGAGCGGATGATGCCGCCA